ATCTGACAGAGAGTACATCACGGCAGATGAAGCCGACATCTCTGATTCTGATGAGTACCTCACAGATAATCACTGCCATCAAGAAACAGACGAAGAGTCGTCTGATGTTGAAGAGGGCCTACTACCCTTTAAGCGGTGACGGACATGTGATGTGCCGACACAGGAACTTTCACCAGATTCGAAACCTGCCAAGGAACCGACCCAGGAGCTGGGACTGTCCACACAAAGACAGATACCTACTGAACGGGATAAACGATCAGCATGCCCTGTTCCTGGATGTCATTACCGCTCTAAGCACCTCAAGCATCATGCTTGGGAGTATCATCTCCCTAGGTTGTTCTGGGATCGCCCCTGGAATTCTTTGGCAGCGCTGCCGGAATATCACACTTTGAGAGCATCGTGTTTAAATGTGTTAGGTCAGTACGTCTTGGGACCAACTGCGACAATCGACGAGTTAGTGGTGCACGTCAATGAAGAAATCCCACTGCCCCGAGAATACCCAATTATGGGTAGGACCTTTGTCCAGATGGGTCAGCTGACCCGTACGATGCGGTGGCCCTTCGTGAACCGCTTCACCATGAGTCCAGTAAACAGCCCAGTGGTATTACTTCACTGGAGAATCCTTCTGTCCCTAGTTTGTAACTTATTGGAGGAAAAGAGACGTGCGTTCAAGAGTTGGGGCAGAAAGGAGCTCGCTGAGCTCGAAGAAAGGGTCAGAACCAGAAGGTCACATGGAGTCGGAGCACCACAGGAGACCCACAGACGTGTTGAAGAACATGATGAGATCGAGTGGGAAGTTCTGGATGAATGCGGTAGTGAAGAAGATGTAGCAGATAAAGACAGCGATGGAGATAGCAGTAGTGAGAAAGAGGACACCCCTTATGAAGTTATTGTCCTCCAAGCAGGTTACGAGGAAGACTTCCCAAGCCTAGGAAAACGGAAAATGGGAAGTAGTATTACTCTATTAAAAGGATCGATGAACATCATAGTTGACACGGGAAATCCTTCAGATAGACAATACTTACTGTCCCGCCTCAGTGAACAGGGTTTGGCAGTTGAGGACATAGAATGCTGTGTGACGACTCATGGTCACTTGGACCACATGGGAAACTTGAATGTTTTCCCTAATGCCTACCATGTTGCAGCTTCTCAGATGTGTGTTGGTGATCTACACCACTCCCATGACTTCAAGTTGTCATTCTGGATCAATGATCAAATAGAAGTCGTACACACACCAGGACATACCTCAGAAGACATCTCCATACTAGTCCATGCATCCCAGATGGGAACAGTAGCTGTCGTTGGTGATCTTTTCCACAGCATGGAAGACTTGGAAGATGCATCAATTTGGAGGAGGTTCAGTAGGAATGTGAACGACCAGGACAAGAATAGGAGAAAGATCCTTGATGTAGCAGAATACATTGTCCCCGGCCATGGTCCGATGTTTCGAGTTCCGGGACGAGAGCGAAACATTATATAAACTGTGCTGTTCTATATTGTAATAGATAATTGAATCCTGATATTGTTCATTTTAGTTATAGTTGTAAGTATATGCAAGAGATGCGGCAGAATTCATTATGTTTAATAAGTGTTAGAATTTCTGATGATTCTTTTGTATCATTCGTCATTCCTAAATTGTCATATAATTGTGCTATATTGATTTCATGTCGAAATTTTTTTTAGCCTGTGTATGTGTTATTATTGCATGTAGTTTGAGTGATTGGATGGAAGTGTAAGTCTCATTATCAATCATTTTTTTATAGTTATATTCATATTGTTGATATAATGGTAATATTTATCATTGAGATCTCATAGTGAATTTAGAAATAATTTGTATCTGGATTCAGCATGGTTTATTGTATGTGAACTCAGGTAAAATGATTTAGAGACTGTATGTTGTGAACATTATCTGAATTGTATGTAATACCACTGCTGATATTCAGTTTATCTGCTTCACTTTATCATAGAATCTTTAAGGATCACTGTTTATTTTCACAATCATATAAGTGTTTGGTTGATATTTACATAAGGTACAGGAGTACCTTCTTTTTTCAAAAGGGAGGGGAGTGTAGTGTGATGTGAATGTGTAAGGGAACGAATGTATATGGAACCGCTTGTAAGTGCGCATGTGTGACAGAGTTGTCGTCTGTTCGTCGGAGAGAAAACACATGGTTGACTGATTGAGAATATTCTTTGGTATATTTGTAAGTGTTATATGTGCTCCAGATTAAACATATATGAAAATTACCTCGGTCGTCAGTTAGTTTAATCTTGCATAGGTTATATAACACTTCAGTAGTAATACAAATTAGAAGTATTTAAAGGGAAAAGGAAAGATAAGGCTAGGGTACAGAGCACCGGTCTGTATTTAGCCAAGGAATTGAATTGAAGCACAAGGTGTAGTAATCCTGAGTAAGGGTGAGGCACCGAGTGCTCAGTTCAATAGAAACTTGGTTACGGAACCAGGTGCAAGGAACCCAGTCACAGTACCCAGTTACAAAGAACTAACCTCGGCTTGTAGATCCCGGTGTTTAAATAAAAAAAAAATAATAAACAAGGACAAGTATCCCATGAAAATAATAAATAATCATACTTGTACATAATTTTAATTCCCAGTATTAATTATAGGCTCAGATAGAGCCAGAGGAAAAGTTTATATATATTGGACCCTGTATCTCCTGAAAACGGACCCTAAATTTGGTTACACGTTACATTTTGGTGGCAGCGGTGGGATGCCTAAATGGCACTCTGATTATCAGTTTGATTATACTGTATAGTAAATGTTCTTTGCTAAGTAAGCAATGTTTTTTTTAAATTTCAGATCATGTCATTGACGAAAGTTACCCCCCGGAAACCCGGCGTTCTATGTCCCATTTGCCTTTCCCGACTCTCTTCACAAGAGGAATGGAAAGAGCATCTTCTAGCATGTGCTACTGATGACATAAATAAACGAAAATTTGAGTGTAACCAGTGTGACAAAGCATTTGCTAAACATTTCCTTCTAAGGAGACACCAGAAGAGGTTACATTCAACTACTGGTTTGCAAGGTGGAGAAAAAAATGAACCATCGAACTCCAAATCCGTTGATAACCATGATGATGATTCTGACTGGCAAGAAGACCCAGGAGATCTTATTTATGAGACAGGCCTTGAAGTTGGTAGAACCATCAGGAAGAAAACATCGCCCAGTCTCCCTGGAGTCAAGCGCAAAGCAGACGAACTTGTAGAAAAGATGCCTGACCAATCTGCAGACAAAGATTCAAGCATGGTGGATGATGGTAAGGATCATGAGGCGCCCATGGTTTTACATCACTGCCCCTGCTGTAGGGAACATGTTACTAGGTTGAATGCCAGCACTCAGACGGATACCAGTCGTCACCAGAAGACCGTCAGAGTTGTAAGAAAGTACCAAAAGGATGGTGAATGTGTGGAGAGCGTTGAGGAAGACATTTGGAATGACTAATTATAGGGATGTACTTTGAAAAAGAAACAATGTACATAAGTCTATTGTTGTAAATACTTGAATAATTGTGTAACTGGGTATAAGAAAGGAATTCTTAACCTCGTTTTGTCGATCTTTTCATTGTCTAAAAAAAAAAAAAAAACATAACTAATAAACATGTGGGACGCAAGTGTACAGAGGCATGGGTAGTGTAACGAGTAATGAATAAGGCAGTCGGCCTATACCATTCAAACGCTTGTGTGACGTGGAATAATGGAACAGTCCAGGAGCCTGTTCACCCCTGTTTGAATGGTATAGCCCTTTGCTATATAAACGACTGCAGAGGCAGTCTCGACCTCTCTCTCTCTCGGAAACCCACAGAAGAAGCAAGAATCTGAATAGAAGATTAAGGGTAGTAATACAAATTAGAAGTATTTAAAGGGAAAAGGAAAGATAAGGCTAGGGTACAGATCACCGGTCTGTATTTAGCCAAGGAATTGAATTGAAGCACAAGGTGTAGTAATCCTGAGTAAGGGTGAGGCACCGAGTGCTCAATTCAATAGAAACTTGGTTACGGAACCAGGTGCAAGGAACCCAGTCACAGTACCCGGTTACAAAGAACTAACCTCAGCTTGTAGATCCCAGTGTTAAAATAAAAAAATAATAAACAAGGACAAGTATCCCACGAAAATAATAAATAATCATACTTGTACATAATTTTAATTCCCAGTATTAATTATAGGCTCAGATAGAGCCAGAGGAAAAGTTTATATATATTGGACCCTGTATCTCCTGAAAACGGACCCTAAATTTGGTTACACGTTACAGTAAAGGTCAAGAAGTAATAAAAGAACACGGGGTCAAAACTCATTATAGGAAAGTCTTGTCACAAAATATACACGTGAAAGCCCTAAATCTTCTCATCAAAAAATTATAACCAAGGTTAAAGTTTTTGAAATGTAGGATGAGCTTTGAAGTCAAGGTCACAGGGTAAAAAATTATAGTGTATCTAGAAAGGTCTTGTCACAGGTAATAATTGTGTCTAGTATGAGAGCCCTTTCTCTTCTCATTCAAAAGATTTGGCCAATTTAAAGTAATATAAACATTTCTAAAAAAAAAAAAAACAAAAAAAGGTCTTTTTACAGAAAACACATATCTTTTATGAAAATCCTATCTCTTCTCATTCAAAAGATATGACCAATATTAAAGTTTTTGTGACAGACAGACTGACAGACAATAAAATGTTATGTCCCCTGGCTTTTGTGAAAGCAGGGGACAAAAATAATTTTCCTAGGAAAAAAACATTATTTTAACTTAAGATAATTACACTATACTTGTATGTTTCACTTATCCAAGATTTTTTTAATTCAATTCTGACCCTTGGTGTTTTGGGATGAGGTCATCAAATACATAAATGTTCATGAATAAAATATTTAAAATTGCTATAGAAACATGTTACTTAAGTGACTTTGCCAAGATGAGATGTAATTTAAAAACTTTTGTTCAACTTTATCAATAGGACACCCTAGAATGCCACAAAAAGAATACCATTGGTATCACATGAAGCAAAATTTATTTCACATTGGTAACAAGTTTATAATTAGGAATAATTTACTGGTATACAATAGGAATAATTGTATAATATATTTTATAGAACAAATAATTTAAGCAGTAAAAAAGTAAAAAAAAATATTGGAATTAGCAAAAGATTTTGTCATTGGTTTGCTTTTTCACAGAATGAAATAACGGACCAATTTCCATCTACCATCCATTTCTTGTCCTGTTTTTCTACCGTTTCTTTCTGTCCTGGGCCCAATCCTGCAATCAGGTCAGCTTTACAGGCCCTGAGGGCACACAAAGGAGCTGGGTGAAAACCCCTCAGACTGACCTCAAATGGTGTGGTTGGATTCCAGTTCAAATCCCCAAGGAGTTTCCTGTAATTCAAGTCCCCTTTGAAAAATATTATTCTTGTGTCTTTAAAACTTTCATACAGACTAGATGCTTGAGTTTTCATTTCAGCGAAATTGTAAGGAGTTGTCCAGAAATCTTCACAAGTGAGCCTCCAAGAACCGTTTTCTAACCTCTGACACCACTGTCTACCAAAGTGAGCCATGGCTGGCCTTGGAGATATACAAAGAGAATCGAGCGTCCACTTAAAATCTCTTTCCGTGACATCAGAGACGAACCAAGGCATTGCTTTCCCATGCATTCGAATACAATCCGCCCATCCACATGCTAACAAAATCTCGGCTAAACAGAGATCAGTAATGAGTTCAAATCCTGCATTGTCCAGAACTATGTCAATGTTTCTACTTCTAGAGCTGGATCTGAGACAGTGTAAGACTTGCTTCGTGTCATTAATTAGAATATTGGGCTCTAGATGGTGGAGTTGATCTAGAATGGATTCTGTCTGGGAATTTTCCTGGGTGGCTGATATAGAGAGATCACAACGATTTCCCCATAATGCAATCTACAAAATACATGTAAATATTTTTATTATAATTATATTACTCACAAAAATAGTACCTGGACTGGTATAAAATGAAACATAGGTAATCAAAGATATCATGGAAGCTAATTGCCCTCGACGAATGTTATCTCTAGCATATATAAGTAATGCAAATCTCACATCATATTTTCTTAAATATTTAGTATTTTACTCCCAATAACAATATTGGCAATACGCAAATTGTGTTTAACCCCTTACATGGCATATACACATTTCTATGCGTGTAGCGTGAAAAACATGTATAGTGTAAACAAATATTCATATACTGTTAATACTGCAGATATCAAGGACTTCAAGTTCTTTTGCATTCAAAAAAATTGTTCCAAAAACTTAAACCTGGTCTATGACCTGCAAAAATATCTGTAACAGATCCAGCATCCGAAGCAAGTCTGATAGTGTCTTCCTTAGATGCATTATCCATGCAAATTTGGTTTCAGAACCAGTGAAGGGCTTACAGTTACTTGGGATTGAAAATGATAATTCATGTAACACTTTCCGAAGCTAAAAGTCTGGTAGTGTACATCCCTAGATACATCATCCATGCAAGTTTGGTTTAGCTAGGGCTTATAGTTACTTCAAAAAAAATGAAAATGTAGGTCAGCAAATTACTTTTCCAGCTTAATTCCGAAGCAAGTCTGATATGTCCATCCCTAGATTTTGCATCAACCATGCAAAAGTTTTCCAGGTTTATAGATAGTTCCTTGGGAATAGACCTGCTGCGATACATGTAAAACTTTAACCTGGTCACTCAACTGGAAAATGTACCCTCCCTCTCTGATCCAGCATCCGAAGCAAGATTTGTAGTGTCCTTTCCTAGATGCATCATCCAAGTTTGGTCCAGGTTGGGCTTATAGTTCCTTGGGAATAGACCTGCTCCAAAAACTTTAACCTGGTCACTCATCTGGAAAATGTTGCAAGAAAACACATCCGAAGCAAGTCTGGTACTGTAAAACAGATGCATCATCCATGCAAGTTTGGTCCGGGGTACAATTTATAATTCCTTGGGAATGGACATTTCTGCTCCAAAAACATTTTTAACCTGCAAAACCTGAAAAACTTTTTTTGGTCACTCATCTAGAAAATGTAGGTCAGATCCAGCATCCGAAGCAAGTCTGGTAGTGTACATCCCTAAATGCATCATCCATGCAAGTTTGGTCCCGGTAGGGCTTATAGTTCCTTGGGAATGGACCTGCTCCAAAAACTTTAACCTGCTCCAAAAACTTTAACCTCGTCACTCATCTAGAAAATGTAGGTCAGATCCAGCATCCGTAGCAGCACCTCCTGACTAGAGATCTGGTAGCTGTACATCCCTAGCATTGCATCATCCATGCAAATCATTAAAATAGGTAGGGTTTATAGTGCGACCGTTGGGGCGAAGCGGTTATTTACAATCAAAACCTTTACACCTGGGACGCCACTGCCTATCGCCAACACCGGGGGTATAGCATAAGCTCATTTCGACTTCGTCGAGGTGAGCTAAAAACAGAGAGATGAATGTTCCCTTACAGAAATTTTGAATTAGAATATATCATGGCAAGAGATAATTGCCCATTCAATAATTTTTATCTCTATGGTGCATATATAAGTCATAGCATCAATTAACTACACGTTGTTTGCATTTTTTTCACTGTAAATAACTATTTCTATGTATTTTACTGTTTGTGACCGCAAAGGATTATTGGCAATACATAAAATTTTTTTATTCCATTACTAATAATAACAGAGATTTTACCCAAATTTCCTTTATTGCAATGAAAACTTTGCTCATGCAATAAAATCTGTATAATATACATGTATCCCATTAATAGAGATAAAAATTAAAATGCGTATCATAATAATTCTTAAGCATTCAAAAAAATTTAATAAAAAAGAAAAAAAGAAGTATTTGACCTGCAAAAATTCTGTAACATATTCATCTTTATCCTCCTCTGTCGCTGTTACTATTTTCTCTGTAATGCCCTGTAGGTAATGTAACAAAACCTCAATGGCTTCTTCAGAACCGGTGAAGGCCTTCATTTTCTGCTCCTCAAAAGGATCCAATTCATGTAACACTTTACTGATGACATAAAAATAAAACAATTTTCAGATAATTATTCTCTTGAAAACATTAGATTACTAATATTGCGGAGGACAACATTATTGCAGCTAATTAAATAGATACATACAATTAATTTCATTAAAAAAAAATATTAAAAGGTAGGTCTGACATCCTGGTGCAAATTACTTTTCAACTTAATTCTGAAGAATGAAAAAATGATATTTCTAAATCAATAGATTTTAAAACTAACAATGCAAAACATATTTCCATGTTTATAGAGAGCCTTACCACTGGAGGATTGCCTCCATGATCCTGCGATACATGTAACACTCCACGTACAGCCAGGGGGACACGAACCACTTTGGAGGTTCACCCTCCCTCTCTGTTTCAGCAGCTATGGAAGCATTCCAGATCTCAGTGTCTGGGGCATTATCCTGTAATGGTATAACAGCTTTGTTGGTCTGGAGTTCATTTCGTAGTTTGGAGATGCACCCAGCAATGAACTTCAACTCATCAAAAGTAGCATCCTAATAATGCAAGAAAACACAGTGGAATATCTTAAACTTAAAACAAATGCAGCTAGAATGACGTTTAAAAAATTATCCAGTACTTTTACAATTTTTTATGCCATATGAATGACCATTTCTGTTTCATAAGATAACCTACATTTATTAAAAATCAAAACCTGAAGATGACAATTTTTTTTTTGTCATTGAACCTAAGGAAAAAAATAATTTTAATTTACCTTAATTATTTAAAATTATTTTCTTCAATTTTGAAGAATCTTCATTCCTGCATCAAAGTTAATAAACGGAAATGACAAAACAGATTTACCTCCCCATGGCTGTCCTTTATGGCTAGTTTCTTTCTGTAAACTGTGTCAGCCACCCTCGACAAAATAACAGGAAGTCTGTCTCTGATCGTCAGGTAAGCAAATGAGCTGAGGAGAAAAAATAAAATAAAGTTCATTCATACTCCCACAAGAAAGATAACTCTTAAAGATATTGTAATGAATTGGACCATAGATATGGGCCCTGATAGCTCTGTAGAGCACCTGACTAGAGATGCTGGGGTTACGGCTTTGATTCCCGCTCCAGCTATATATTTCCTCTTTTCCTGTTACAAATCATTAAAATAATATGTTCTACAGTGCGACCGTTGGGGCACAGTTATTTACAATCAAAACCTTTACACAGCTTTTACTTGCACTGCCTATCCGCAATTCATTATAAAAAAAAAAGAAAAAAAAAGGAAACACTTCTTTAGTTGCCATATCGAGTTTTATATAATCCATATAATTTCATGTCTAAGTTTCCGACAAAATGAGTGAAATATGATTTTTATGTGATTTTGGCATGATATGACGTCAAATAAAACGTCCTGTTGACTTAGAACGAAAACGATAGGTTTGTGGCATGGAGATTGCATAAAATCGTTGTTTGTAATTTTTTCAAGTAAGTTATTGCTATGTTTTAGCCACCATGTTGCTATGCACCGCAAAGGATTATTGGGAGTTTGTAATTTTTTCACGTGGTACGATAAAAATTTCTTGGAACAATGTGCAGATTTTAACCCAAATTTCCTCTGTTTGTACACGTTAGTCTATTGAGCTCACTACGCGAGCGAAGCGCCGCCTCGCTGCGCTCGCTATAATTGTCTGTCATTGTCTATTAATATTCCTTTATAAATTAGTCAAAAACTGAAATGTATTTTTGTCGTGATCATCAGATATTCAAATGAGCTGAAAGAAGGAAACTTAAATGCTGCAACTTGGTTGAATGGAAAGTATACATGTATTTCAATCTGTAGCAAATTCAAAGACGGCCAGACAGACAGATAAATGAAATCGACAAAACTTTCAGATTAAGTACTGTCAACAGTTGGGGTTTAACAGTTTAAGTAAAATGAGCCTATGGCTTATACAGCTAGCAAAAGTTGCCTACAAGCACTTTTCACTTATTAGCATAGTTTTTAGTGAGACTTCAGAGACTGACAGCTGACTGAGTGAAATTGTTTGTTAATGTCAGTGTCTGTCTCTTTCGTATCTGACATCAAACATGTGATATCACTTTAAAAGCAAGCTATTCTAGTTGCGTTTCCCTTAAAAACAAATTCAAATAGAACTGTTCACAGTTAGTAAACCTTTTATCTCGTGCAGACAGCGGTTCTGGTAGTTTCTCCATGTTGCATCGATTTCATCGATGTTGTTTGAGGACGTAAAATTTACTGCGAAAACACGCTTAAAAAAGCATAAAGCACTCTTAGAATAAGAGTCAGCAATTCAAATCTTGATTGTATAAACGCTTCAAACAGAGCGTTTTTAGTATTGAATTAAAATGTTCGAATAATTGACATTGAGAAATGGAAAAGTTGCTCGTTTTGCATGAAAATAAAGAGTACTTTAACGAATGTGCTGATATTCTAAATGAAGAATGGAAAAGAAGTACAAACGCAAGGTAAATTAATGCAGTGCCAGTAAAATAATAAAACCTGAAAAGTAGATTATTCTAGAAATTGAGAAAAGTGACAAAATAATCACATCGTTCTACTGTTGTTCAATAATGTTTCAGGAACTGAGAAAGTTCTTATTTGTAACTAGCCTAACCTTCAGATCACCTGAGCCAAATTCTTAAGTGAATTAATCTGAAAAAAAAATTGTATGTTGTCATTGTAAAGTTCACCTTCTCCAGAACCACCGGAATATTTTCAATCAAACTTGGCACAAGGGATAGACATTAACTTTATATTCTCTTGTCCTTCGGGCAAGTGAACATTTTGACTTGTCCGAATGTAAAAATTGGTTGCCCCAAATTTTTAAAGAATAAAATACCAGTTACTGCATTTTAATTTGTTGTCGAAAATATTAAAGAGTGACAAATATATTTCTATTTTGAAGTTAACTTCCACAAAAAATGTTGATATGATGGTGATGCTACATTTGTAAATATATGTAAACCACTTTCCTGTCATTTACCATCCTGAAAACACACAGAGTACTTACCCCTGCAGGAATATTATTTTCTTACGACTTTTTTTCCCCAAAATTAATATTTTTCCCTTAAAAATTGAGGTTACGCTAAAGGGAAAACAGTTGCCATGTTTTGAATCAAGATACACCGTGCACCGAGAATAACTGTTGTTCTTTATTTTCCGTAAGTAAGTAAATATATTTAAACTATTCTGTAATATCTATTTCATAATAATTCATTAGACTGTAACGTAAGTTGGCAGATGGAGAGTGTATTTTTGTAAACATTGCATTTTTTAATAACAAACCCGATTTCTGAATAAAGGTATGGTCCAGAAATGCTAAAAAGGGATTCCGAATGCAAAAATGTGTTCAATTTATTGTGTTGTTTATAAACTTATGTAAGATTAAAAAAGTGTTTCTATCAGAAATATCTACCTGCCGAATCAGACAACGTCATCGACAGTTTCACTTGCCCGAAGTGAGAATTTGCTTGTCCCTGGCAATCGAACAACTGCTAGTGTCGATCCCTAGGCACTGGGCATCATTGATTTGTACGTCTCACCGGTGAAAGAAGTTCGCACAAATAAACCAGAGAGCTACAGATCCAATTATTGTTAAAAAAAAAAACCTTCATGCCAAGTTATATCGAAATCAGACCAAAACTGTAAGAGGAGTAGTATTTTGATGAAAAAAATTGTTTACAGACAGATGGACAGACAGAAACTAGACAGAGGGACGACCATGGACACATTACCAGGGTACCATCACATAAGCTCTTCTGTTCTGTGACCAGTAGAGCTAAAAATATGCTGTTCACAGTCAGGAAGTAAAAATGTTTTAATTTTTTTGTTCTTTTTTAACAGGTTACATTCCCTACAGAAATCATGCGATAGTTTCCCCACCTGTTTAATTATTGTAAGGGACATTGGTGGAGTGAAAACTGTTGTAGCTCACAGCAGATTATCAAAAGTTCAGGGGAAAGCCAACTCATGTTTAGTGGAATCAGGTATAACTTCTTGGAATTTTTCTTCTATAAAAGAGGCATTTTTCACAAATAGAAGAGAACTCTTTCTTACAGTATGCATCATTTAATGACATGTACTTTTAAATGGAAGTATATTAACATGTTTAATGTAGCCATTCAGTGACTAAAAGTTGGAGCTATTCATTAAGTGCCATATTTTCAGAATAGCTCTTTACATCAAGTTTTGTAAAGTAAGTTTACACAAATATTTATTTGCAGTTGTTGTAAAGAAAAGTCTACGGGGCAAAGGATATGGAAGGAAAATTATGCTTGAAACGGAACAATTTGCAAAGAGGTAAGGAAAGGACATGAATGTTATTCTGCGGAGCATGAAATATTATAAATAAGGGTGTGATTTAGTCTGTCATGTTTCACCGATTTTTATTGCAGCAAAGGAATCAAAACAATATATCTGAGTACCCATGACAAGCAGAACTTCTACAAACATTTAGGATACGCCTTCTGTGACCCTATAGTCAGCTTTGGTGTAAATACAGATATTTTACCAGAGGGTTTTGTAAGTGTTAAGCTAATTTTTTTTCTTTTATAGTTTCACCTAAATGTTATGACATTATGTTATACTTTGGATTCATTAGGTGTTGATGTACATCATAAGAAATTAATTGTATACTACATATTAAATATGCTGTAATAATGTATAAGTCAAACTTTATCATTGTCAGTGTATAAAGCTATGTACCTTTATTGATAATTAAATTTTTAATACGGTACAAGCTTTGTTTTTCTACTTAATGAAGTTAACGTGTACATCATCACTAAACATTTATATATGTTCATGCACTCAATTAAAAAATCCAGTAGCAAATTTGAATTATTTTAACCTATTTTTATTGTTCTAAACATATTTTTTTAAAAATGTATAAAATTTTGTTAACTTCATTGCAGATTTTTCAGAACAGAAAAAATTGCTTAAAATGATTGTTTATGATTAAAATTCTGTGTCTTTAATTTTAGTTGCAAAAGTTTCTACCAGACAACTCATCAGCTGAGAGAGAAAGTGGCAAAAGTTCTGAGAATACCTCCATTCCTACTTCAGGGTCACCTGTAGTGCCCCCCTCTGCAGCCCCACCCCCACCACCCCCTCCTCCCCCACCCACAGGGGTCACCCAGAAAGAAAGACCAGATATAGTTAGATGGGATCCTAGTGCAATATCGTGGATGAAAAAAGATATTTAATGTGAGAGATGCATGTAATTTTTTGTATTTTATGAATTTATAGAATTTTTTACCCCCTGCTTTATTATATATGTTTTAATCCCTGTGCATTTCCGTCCTTAAACTATAGTAAATTATATTTTGTATTTGTAAATTTCTTACCCCTTAATTGTGCAATATACAGTAACAGGTAATATGTTTCAAACAAGTGAAGGCACTTATTTTTTTTTTAGTAATCATGTAATAGTTTTTTTACAAAACTTTTCAAATAGGATGCTCTGTGTCATCTGATTAAAGAAAAATAGAATAAATGATATTTCAAAATCAATATTTTTAAAAATTCTTTATACATGTAATCATAACATGTGTTTCACCTTAACATCATACAATGAGATCTATTCAAAACAAATGTGAGATTTCATCCTCTGAAACACACAAGAGCTTATATCATCAAATCAAAAAATCTTCACAAAGTTTTAAAACTTCGGCTTCCAATTCAAATAGATGAGGGTCTTGAACGTGGGGAGAAATTTTGCGAACAGCCTCGGCAAGATTCAAGAGGTACTCTGTATTCTTGCCACTGGGTCCCACAGAATTCACGATTTGATTGGCTATGTCTTTGACAGGTGCTGGGCCAAGGTAATTAGTATTGGTCTCGGTGGCCATGTATATTGTCACTTGGAATGGCTCCACTGTATCTTCATCAGGGTGAAATAACTCTGTCACACAGGAATAGCCTCCCTTTTCCCTGTGGTCTAGATGAGCTCTCACAGACTCGGCATTCTCTGGTGCAATTTGATATGCCACTCCCCATACTTGTTCCTGGCAGAAGTTAACAAAAATACGTATAAGTAGTTGTACCCAGTTAACCTGTTTTTTCTTTTTTGTCTGTTTTAATAGCATCTATACATTTGAATTCTGTTAAAAGCAGAATGTGATGTTAGTATAATGATATTGAGATTAAAAAAGTTTTGAACATCTTTAACTTGGGTCCAGGGGCCTGTAATGTTGTGACATGTACCGTAATTAGAATTAATAACTTACCTCTGGATCTGTCGATTTAACTAAGGTTACTACACGACCTGGCTGTAATGTTCAAAAAGAAACAAAAATTATTGTTAGGGAACAAATATCTTAATGACATTTAAAAATTACTATCCTACAGCAGGTATAATGAGAAAAGATAGAACTGAATGCAATTAATGTAATAAAGTAATGGAAATAGTCCACATTATTAAAAAAAATATTTTGTTGGCTTAACACTCATATATGCTATGTAACTAATACTTAATTACCTGTAAATATTAAATTATTTTCAACCTTCAAATGCTCTCAGACAAATTTGATGTACCAGTATTGTCATAGTATGGGGAACATAATAAACATAGTGAACATGTATATGTATATAAATAATACAGATAAAATAAAAGATTTCATTTACAAGACATTGCCCCATTTGCCATGCACTAGTGCCCGAACGTTGGTTGATCGGTGTCTTCCCACTTAGCCAAAATTCTGAAATTGATACAGGTGACTAGTTTTGGCTAAGTGGGAATGGTGTACAGGTAAGGGCAGGGAGAGGACAAAAGAAATTAATTACAGGTGTCCTATAGTCTGTTTTAGAATGACCAGTGCTATGAATTGTTTTAAATTCTTCATTTATCATTTGTTTCTAGGTAATATTTTAAAGTGATGTAAAATATTAAATTGTCTTTTCTATTATTTAATTATATGTTTTTTTTTTCATTTTTTTTTTAAATTCTAATTTGAAATTACAAGGTTTTTTTGTGTGTTTTTTAAAATTTTTTTTTTTGAAAAGTTCATTGATTTTTTATTGATTCAGCTAAATTAATACATAAAGAAGCATGTTTTATTTTTTTAATGAACAATAATTGCTTTAATCCTAGGATTTCAAACGGGATTAATAACAATTATGTCCTTTCTGGATTCATTAATTACATCAATTATCAAATAGAATTTTTTTAATAGATACCAACATAGGAAAAGCATCACAGGGCACTCTTGTTTATTTTATAGGCTGTATTTCATTTCCAGAATTTTCGGTAATTATCAACTTTTCATTTTCGACATTTTTTAGCTTTCATTTCCGACATTTTTTTGTTTTCATTTCCGATATTTTTTAAAAATATATGTAGTACCTATATTAATAGATTTGATAACTTTACTTGTGAAAAATTTAAAGGATTAAATAATAGATAAATCATTAAAATCCAATTTTGTATATATGTCAGTAAATATGTCAGTGACTTGGACATAAGTGTGGTGCTGTCACTGACAATTAATTTAGTGCACATTAAATGTGATGAAAAAGTTTCATGCTCATTGAACACTTTCACCTAGACTTAGTGCTACATGTATGCATATATGTATAGATGTTTTTTATTAATATTTTGGTATAAATACTTTTAAAATTCCTTTTCTTAGAAAACATTGAATTGCCGCACAGGTAAATTCCGGAAATGATAAGAAAATTATGTCGGAAATGAAAACAAAAAATGTCGGAAATGAAAAGAAAAAATGTCGGAAATGCTATGCATATTTCCGGAAATGAAATGCAATATATTTGCATTTTGTTTATTTATCTCTGGTTTGATAATTATCAGAAATTTATTTTTTCTGTAAAAACTTTTTCACTTTTTTTTATTTGACATTTATTATTTTTTTTTTTACTGTTTTATTTATTTTAATTATTTATTTATTTTATTTATTTATTTTATTTATGTATATAAATAAATAATTATATAATTTATTTAATATATGTATAATTTATTTAATATTTACTTATTTATTTTATTTCATTATTTTTTTGTTAATACCTATATATAATATAAGTATATAGGTAAATATATACATCTCAGGTGAAAATTACAGGTAAATTACAGGTAATCAATCTAAAACAGACTATACACAGGTGACCACTCAGGTATGAAAATAACAATTTTGGCTATGTGGGAATAAGAATTTCAGAATTTTGCCTAAGTGGGAATAAACCGGTTGATCTCATACACATGGACAAAGGGAAATAACTCTTGTAAATGTAAAACAGCTGACTATTCATTCAATAACGCAATGAGGAAGTTTGTAGAATTTTTTGTCAGTATTTTATCGCATTGTTTTATTTTCGGCAAGGTTGCTTTTAAAGACTGTTTTATATACTTAATGACATTTAAAGGCTTGAAAAAATAATTTAAAAAATACAAGGCATGTTTCCGTTATAAAACAATAGAGACCTTCCCTGGCACTCCTCTATGATCCGTGCTCCCTTGCCAGAATTTACGATGGTAGCCTTTTATATACCCCACAACTTGTCTGTGAATTGGAAAATCAACTTTCCAAATAAGAGATCCATATCCGAATACCCACATCTCTCTCTTTCAAGTCATTTATGAGACAAATCTGTGTTCATTGAATAATTAAATGAATGCATTGTTTACTATCATCAGCTGTAGTCTAGGTCACGTAAGTTCTTTAAGCACTGGGAGATAACAAACATGTCGTTGACCTTGACTACCATCAGCTGCTCTTTCAAAATGTACCCACAATATTGTCCTGTCTTTTAACACTTTTTAAGTATCATAGTAGTCTCGTTCAACCAGACCCTCGGCTGTCTACGTAAATCTCCGACCACCCACCCAGAGACAGCCGAGCGTCTGGTTGAACGAGACTAGTATCATAGTATGAGATAGACAGACAATGCCAGTCTATTTAAAAAAAATGAAAATACGATCTATGAATATCGTTTCGACTCCAATCTAGTTGGGTCCTGGATCATTTCTAACTTTTTCTTTGTTTTTAACCCCTAGAATTGTATAAAGAAAGTTTTTTTTTCGACACATGAATTATCTTTGACTGAAAGAATTTAATTAACAGAAACGATTCCAAAATTTGATATGAGGAAGACTGATTAGGCAGGGGTTGGTACCTACATTATGGACCCTCTGTGGGCATCAGTGTCTGTCAGCCTACATCCGCGACTGTGGGTCTTGGGCTAAATCCTGCATCTACATCCATGTAGACGAAAGCCTGTCCACTTCTCTAAAGTGAAGAGGGCATAGCTCCTTGGGGACCAGGGCCATGGCAAAACCACCGTATTACAGACAGAACTAGATTGACAGCACGAATTAAAAGAAGATATGCCTCCTTGTCATAATTAATGATTAAAAAATTTATTAACTTCTATAATTTTTTTAAGTTCTATAGGATAAAAGTTGAAGAAAGAATTAAGCCGGCCCCTATGTTTATGACAAAAATACAGATATAAAGCCTCTTAATTATACCTTTTTATTTAAATGCACTCTGTAGCTTCAATAATTGATACGTTTTAGGAGGGACTTATACACTAGTAGTATAGGTATTAGTACGTAGGTCCCTGAATTTAGCGCACCAGCTAGCCAAATTCCACCCCCTAAATCCGCCACTTAAAGGACTGAATATATGTTTCAATGAAAATTCAGGAATTCGATCAGGGATTTTATTGGGTATACGTGTATAAAAATTGATCTTGATATTGTAGGCTAAAAACTTTAATCAGGTAAACAGGCACATGTTTAGTCTCTGTTCAAATTCGTCTGCATTGACGTTTGAGTCGGAGGGGGGGGGGGGGGGTGCTTGTTATAACAACTTTTAAAGTGTAAGTAGATTCAAATTTATATTAATTTATTTTGAACTATGAACAATCTGAAAGGCAAGCCCCTGTGGTTTGAATAGGTTCTGCTGTCCGAGTGAATAAAAAAGCTCTTTATTCTTCCTTTTGTTTCTGATTTGGGTATGGAAGTTCGTCCCTGTACTAATGTGATTAGCACAGGCGGCAGTTTAAAATTTCAGAGTAAAAATTACGGGGAAAGAAGTCCACGTTGTTATAAAAAAAACAAGTCAGTCCTAACAAACGATAAGAAATATTAAAAAAAAAAAAATACACTCATGGTTATTTTCAGTGATCGATTTTTGAAAGGGGGGGGGGGCAGCCATAGAAAAAAAATTTCAACTTACTGTACCTGACAAAAATCTTGACATGCACAAAAAAGGAAAATTGTCCAAACTCGAAAATTCTATTACGTAGAGGGAGAGGGGAAGAAGCCAACCTTTCTTTCCATGTCATTTCTTTTAACCCAGACATACTACATTAACCTTAATTTAAACGTACTGAAACAGAAGTGTGTGTGTGTGTGTGTGTGTGTGTGTGGTGGGGTGGGGGGGGGGGGGGGGGGGGGGGCAACCGGACTCTCAAATGAACATTTACTATAGTACAAAGCTATGTCTGGGACCCCCCCCCCTCCACTTCTTGCTGCTTGCCTGATTTTGGAATTAATTTAATTATATATTTTCTTGTCAATCTAATTATTTGACACGCAATATTTAATTATAAAACGTTAGGAGAAACAAGAATGTCCCGTCTAGTCAGGGACCCATTATTGATCGTTACTGTTTAGAAGACATTCTCGCTATCATTGGACTATTATTCTGTGTGATTGATGATAGTACATTTAAAGTACCCCTATTTTCTTTACCTATTGATTTAAGTAAGGAATTTAATTTAGGTTTATACTGACGATTTAGCACTGTGTTTAAACTGCGGCTATAAAATCGTCACCATTTAAATGCGATCTAACTTGTTGCACAGGACTATTTGTAAAACAGGTCCATATTTGTTTATGTGTGCTATAATTGCAGGAACCAGTGATGATCCAAGCATGTCGGATTCTCTGCCGATGTCGGAGGGGGGTGAAGTTCGTGACCCGCCTGATGGCTCTGGGGAGCATCCTCTGTCTGCTGTACTTTACTTTGATGACCTTCACAGTGACGGGTTTATCATGGTTCGAAATCTTACCAAACCTTTATAAACACAAACCCGACGTTATTAGGACCCACAAAATAGTGATAGCTTTCGTCTTTATGAATGCTATGGGAAACTGTATCCTTGTTCTTGGGACGGATACGAGTATACGCAGATTTAACAAAGAATTGAAGAAAAAGGTGCTAAAAACTAAAGAATTCAAGGACTGTGGCGTATGTCACGAGACTGTTCCCGTCCGTACTCATCACTGCTATCTTTGTGAGACCTGCATTCTAAAACGAGACCACCACTGTTTCTTTATGACTGTTTGTATAGGACATTTCAATCACAAGTACTTCGTGATGTATTGTTTTTATATGATGGTGGGAACGTTCTACGGCATGTTTTTAATTGTTCTATACCTCAAGAAATTGTTCAATACAACATTTTATGGGCCACAGACATTCATTACCATTATATATGACCTTATTTGGGGTTTTCTCACGGAGAATTATCCGCACGAGAAATACTTTTTCCTGGTGGTCATGATGTACGGGGGCCCACTCGATTGGGACCCTTCTTATTCCAGAATTACCATTCTGTCTGCTCGATTGGTTTGGTAGGGTAGACTTAGAAGGCCTTCTCAGCCTTCCACATCAAAGATAGAAGGATTTTAATATCATAGCATTCTAATATGGCGTCCAAAGGGTTGGTGAAAACTTTGGGGATTTTAATTATTGTAAATAAACCAAACTTAAAGCAAACTACAGTAGCAAAATGTATTTTTATAATGTATGAAGGGCAATTCTGTTAAGAAGCATTTTTCTGCTATGTAATTGCAGTAAAATCAACCATTGAACACAGTTTTAAATGATTTACCATGTAATTTGGGGTGGAGATTTGAGCCATAAATAGGTCCCTGATTTGACCATATACATAAATTACATAATTATTTTAAATTTTTTTATTCATGTACTAGTAATTTAATATTCTTCTGTCTAAGGCACTTGATGTTTTACCCTTTCTTTACATAATTAAAAAAAATTTCCAATACTATTATATAAAAAAAATTCACTCTTAATTATCTCTATAAGTTTCCCTTTCGAACTAAAATTTAATGCTTTTTAAATTAAAGGATTCAAATTCTTGAAAAACAACTATACTGCAGTAATTCAAAACATTGCAGATAATGTTCTATCCTATTCAATATCCTTCTGAACACTCGATTTAGACATACATATTCCAACCCTTCCAACATCCCCCTCTGCTTCTAGAAGGGTCCCAATCGAGTGGGCCCCGGGTGTCTGACGGCGGGGATGATAGCAGCCTCGCTTTGGTTCTGGAACATGCTTCTCGTGATATCTGGGCAGACGACACACGAATCTAGAAAAGGAATCGCCAGACATACGGGAAAATCATTCTTCAGGAATTTTTTGGACGTTTTTGGAAAATATTGGATAATATCAATATTCTTGCCAGTGCCTTTGCCAGTTTCTAGTGATGCTTTGTTTGAAGATTTTCATGAATGTAAAAGTAATTCAAAACATAACGATTGTAAAAAAGATTAATATATTACAGAAGTGAATCTATATTTAGGAATAGATTTTAACACAGGGAATAGTATCCATTTTAGATGGATTTGTATATGTTGCAGTTTCCATGACTTAAAAGAGAGACATGATACACGACAAAATGTTAAAGTACAACATGTCATTTGACAGTCAGTAAGATCTTGGGCAAGTATTTGACATTAGCGCTTGTCAAGCTGTTGCACCTTGCCAATGTATGCACCAAAACTAACCTTTGAACACAGAAAGACATTAGGAGTGGTAAATGTTAAATCGATTGATTGAATAGATCAAGCTGTTTCGACTTTGTTCAAATCTAATCCGATTACTGAATTGGTCAAGTTGAAATTGAAGGCAAGCTGACGATGGGGTCGAAGAAGTATTCGGTAGCGCAAAGCACAAAAATAAATAATTTCAACAAAGCAATTATTGTTCTGTAATTTATTGATTTAGGCGTTAAGGAAGATACTTTTAAATTAGTTTTTTTAATGCAGCATAACTTTAAATATTGAATTCTCGTCTCTTTGTATAATTCAGTTAATACAAAAAGCAAAGTCTGTATTCAGAATGGCCCATTCATATACTATTTGGGTAATTCTGAATCCGCTTGAAGATAAGTTGGTTTATTTCCACCTGATGTAAATCCGCCGGCTGACGAAGATTCGTTTCCTAAAACAGTGTACGGCACGTCCGGTGTCACCCTTTTGGTTCCGTTTTGATGCTGTGGAGTTGGAAGTGCAGTTGGAGACTGTATGAATGATGGATGCAAACCCGGCACTGTATGGGTGTACGGTACAGTAGGCGGGCCATTAGGGGGGATTGCGGTCGGCAAGAGGATACGCTGACCCGTGATATGAGGACTAATGTCACTTTGCTGATGCAAGTCTGTAAGCGTGGGAGGATATGGGAGATAGTTCAAAGATGTTCCAAAAGCAGGCGACTTGACACAAGTTAACGGAAGACCCGGAAGAGCAGCAGTTTGGAGAAGCGAGTTGGTGATAAAGGAATATGGTGAGAGACCTGATCTGAGAACAGCTTCCCTGAGCATTAGGGATTCCTGTATGACCCCAGGGTCAAAGGTTGTAGGTGAAATCCCTTGGTCGTCATCATACCTTCTCTCAATCGGAGACCGATCCCTGTCACGTGATCTGCCTCGTTTTCGATCTTCGTACCTGCCTCTGTCCCTCGGTCGGTGTCTCCTTTGCTCTGGAAAATCCCTGGGGTCTTTTTCTCTGTCTTTTTGATCTCTCTCCATTTTTACAATTTCATTTTTAGACAGTTGAACTTTCAACTTTGACCCCAGTAAGGAAGTGCCATCCACTCCTTTAACCGCTTCTTCCGCATGTTTAGGTTCGAAAAAAGTCACAAAGGCATAACCTCTTGATAGAGGATTTCGAGCAATCCAAACGGTTTTGACGAGCCCAAACCTTTCAAAAATTTCCTCTAGGTGATGTTTCTCAACATTTTCAGCTAAACCTCCAACATATACTTTGGCAATAGTTTTTACGACATCGCTATCCTTACTCATTTTGATTAAATGGAATCGCCTGGTAAAGTGAAGTCCGAAAATAGATGAAGTTGAAGACCCAAAATAATCAGGGATTTGGCTTGATGGAGTAAGTGTAGTGATGCCAAAGAAGCAGCAGGAAACTGGAAGGAAAAGCAGATTTTAAAGACAAAGTAGAAGAAGCACTTCCTATTTGAAGCTGTCGACAATTTTTTTTTCATACCTTCAGTAGGAGTTATAAGAAGACATCCTTACCGCCCTATCGTCTGAAGTACAAATGAATTAAGCATTCGTATAAGTCGTTGATGTAGAGAGGCGCTTGAAGGTGGATCAATTAAAACTTTGTGATATTTGAAACAGATGTTAGATAATCGGAAAAAATTAGCCGAATAACAGGAAAAAAAATCGACTTTTTTATGGTCAGTTTCACACTGCTGCGCTCGAAAATGTACATAACTATAGGAAAAGTCGATCACAACTCCATTTGTCGATTGACGGATACTTGGACAAATTCATCAATATAATATTACAATAAGTATCATCATTGAAAAAAAATATCTTTAAAATATGCTGTATTTATTTAGTGAGGTCTGTAGCAACCCTTAAGGCAAAAAGAGATCCTTTATTGAAAACAACAAGATGTATTTGTAAAACACTAATATCCCCGTATGGTAGCTTATATAGCAAAGGTTCAAGTTTCTCAAATGCAAGTCAAACTCCAAGGCCAAACAAGGTCAAACGATAAAGAATATTGTTACCCAAAAAAGACTTGTCTCAGTGAATATACTTCTCAAATATAAATTCCCAATGTAAACTTCAAAAGTTATGACCAGAGTTAAAGCTTTTAAAAGGTCAAGGTCAGAGGTCAAAATAAATGGAAAGGCTTTTCACAAGAAGTACGTAGAACAACCTAATAACAACTGTTCAGAAGATATGGGTAAGGTTAAAGTTTTCCAAAAGTAGGTCAAACTTCAAGGTCAAGATCAAAATTATTGGTATTCAAAGGAAGTCATATCATAAATTAGGAATACGCATGTGAAGTAAGCAAGCCATAGCACCAATTACAACTGTTCAAAGTTTGGAAATTTTTGGCAAATGTGGGTAAAACTCTAACGTCGAAAGGTTAAATATGTTGGTACACAAAGACAGGTCTTGTCACAAGGAATACACTTGTAAAATATGAAGGTTATAAGTTCATTCAATCAAAAGTTATGGCCAAGGCAAAAGTGTTTGCGGACAAACAGTTAGGCGGACAGACAGGACAAAACCTAAATACCAGTATCACCGAAACTTCGATTATGGGAGCATAAAAATATGAAAGAGTTATTGCATTACCTTGGCTTTAGTGCAGACTATTTTCTTTTTACAAAAAATAGGGACCTAATGCTTGCTGTTTACGCCACGGGCCCGTTTTAACTTAAGTTGATTATAAAATTAATTATTCTTTTTTGAAATAGTTACCATAAAAATATTCTAAATTCTTTTCAAAAAGAATAAAACCGTTTTCAAATTTATGTAAAATAGAAAGTTATAAGCAAAATTAAATTTTGGTCTTAGTCGTAAGTTCTTTTGTAAAACGTTCCCCAGGGTTTGATTTGATCGAAGCAATAATTAAAATTAATTTGAGCTTTTAAAAAAAGGTTTCGTAACATAATTTTGAAAATTTCGTCGATATGCAAATAATAAATTCGTTTGGGTTTGTTAAATGGGAAGTAGATTTTAAAAGAATATATTATATATTTTGGAAGTAAAATCAAAGTCAGTAGTAGTAGTGGCCGCTCGAAATTAAACAAAAAATGTACGAGTAGTCATCTTACACAGATTTTAAACTCTTATTCCTTATTCTACCTTGTCGGAATTTAAGATTGTAGATAAGACAGGGTGAGACATGGGCAAAGTTTTAATACTAGATTTCTAATTACGCCAAATGTATTACTGAATGAAACGAAAGACAATTTTTTGCAACCCCCATCGTAAAATAAACATACATACTGAAATCGATAAAGTTCTCACGTTTTTCTGTATATACATATCTTTAAAACTGATTAATTTTCGATGAGAAAGATTCAAATGAGTGAATACCAAAATGCAAGGAACCTATACGCTGTTGAAACTATCTGAACAGACACACTAGCTTTACCAATTTTTCAAAACAAAAATATACTTCGTATTAGCTATCGTTCTTATTTTAGAGGGGATGTGTGTAAATAAGCTCAGTTGCCTGTGATTGAAACTAAAAAGGTCTCTTGAGTCATCTATTTATTAAACGGATTATTAGTGCAACTGTGGAAATATTTCAGAATTATTGAACGTTACCCAAAAATCATTTCGCCTAATTTTTATGCCCCCGGATCGAAAGATCTCGGGGATACACTTTTTGCCTTGTCTGTCTGTTTATCTGTTGTCAACTTTAACCTAGCCCATAACTATTGCGCTGTCAAGGGTAAGTATATACCACTTCAGTCTACATCCCACTCCAGCGGGGGCATAGTGTTTCACAAACACACCTTGTTTTTCCTGTAGTCTTGTAAACCTCTAACAAAAGCTATTTCGATTTGCATTGGACTGGCACACGGTACGGTAATTTGCGTGTGACATCTTGTTATCAGGTCGTTCATAATTATTGCTATATGTATAAAGAGTCAGCTGAATAAATGATGTCAATATCTTACAATGTTTTTATTTATTTGATTTTGGATCTTGTTGATTTATCCTTGGGAACATAAAATAAAACGACTTGTGCTTGATTTTTATATTAAACATCTAATTATAATCAAAGTAGTCCATCTTGTATTCTGCTCCCCCCTTTCCCTCCATTAATTAGCCCGGAGTGGTAAGTCTTTGATACCCAAAATATGCTCCTAGGGTGAAAAGTCTACCTAGGGGCTGATTAGGAAAACAACATTTTCTACAGAAATCCACTTACACCTAAAACTGTAGTCATCTTTTTAACAATGATTAGTTGGTGGTGTCCTGTGGATGTACTGCAAGGTTTCAGATAGTCCAAAATCATTTCTCTGCCCAAACTTGGCTCCTAGAACTCTTACATGTTACACAGTAGACAATCTTTTTAAATGATTGATGTTGTCTTGCAATATACAATGTGTTTCATAATTTAATTTTCAACCTGGAGACCAAATGTTAATTCTACAATATGTATCATATGGTACATGTACAAGTATATTCTACATGAGTGGGACAATTATATTGTTGCTTCTTGTGCAAATAATCAGGTACAAATAAGAGTAAATTTAGAGGCAAACATTTTCACATGGGTAGCATTTTTTCATCTTCAATTTCGAATTAAACTTAAAGGAATCTTGATCAGAGACTGACTTTCCCACCAAAACAAAAATATACAAAGTATCTTTAATTTATTCAAATTTGATGAAATTTGGTGAACACCTGCAATTGACAAAACAATTAAGAATAGATTTTCCAAAGTTGGACATACATTAATAGAATAATTCATTTATAGAGAAAGTCATTAACAGCAATGGTACATGTATGTCAAGAGTCAACTCGGCAACAAGGAGCAAAGGATTCAACCAATACATCCAGTAACTTTGTCCAATACACCATGTACTTAGACAAAACATCATCTTTATATTTTTCATCCATATACACATATGGATTTCTTTTCAATAAATTCTCTGTTCTTCAATACAATTCCATGATGTACAGTCAGGTATAAACAGTTAGACCATTTGGTTTATACACATATGGGAAATAAATAACTTTACATCATGAAAACTGGAATATACATGTAGTAACAATCGGATGCTGCCAATATTAATATTAATCATATATTAACATCAACAAATATTTAAATACCATAGCTCTCCTTTATATAATATTTTTTTCTGTAACACATACGCCACAATCTTCGTACATGTATATTAGATTAAAAAAGCAATGCATATTAGCCCAGGGTTTTCAATCTTAAAAGCTAAAAGGAATAGCGGAACTTTGAATGCAATAATCAGGTAAAAATGAAAATTCGATCCCCATCTGAATACACTCTGAAGAACTGTCCTCCAGATTTCAGAAAAATCATCCAAAGTACATAATAATACATACAAACACTCATTCACATCATTAAGTTCCTCACAATATACACACACAAATAAATCATAAGAAGACTGAATTCTGTTACAAATATCACAATTTCAGCATATCACAAAAACAAACAGCTCTTCAGAGAGCTGCTAGCACTCTCTAGATGATCCATATTATGACTAGCCATTCCTTGTTACACAGCCACCATCCAAATTGTGGTCACAGCGGCAAAATCCATGTAGTCACTTCATAAACTGGAATTCATATTACCTCTATCGCACTACATATGCTAGCAAAATCCATCCTCTAAGACGGAATTTGAATTCGAGTCTGTGATTAAGTTTTCTATCGCCCCCATCTGTGAGCTGTTCATTGCTGAGGACAAGGCGGAGTCTGTGGAGAAATGCACCCCCTGGGGGTCGATGGTCTCTCCCCCCTCCTCATCTTCTAGCCCCTCCGGTGGCTTCATTTTGGCAATCTCTTCTCGTAATTGGTTATAGTGTCGCTGTGATTGAAAAAATAAAAGTTTTCTTAATGGTTTTGTTACCAATGTCCTTACAAATTTAATCAGCAACGCATGAAATAAACGCTTTTAATGCTTTACATGTAGATATGATAATTTGGCTGATTATTATGTCCATGATTAAACTGAAATGATACTATCTATGGAAATAAAATTTTACCGAGTAAACTACAAAATTGACAAAAATTAGTGCTTAATGAAAAATATTAAAATCTCAGTATTTTCTAAAAGAGATATGGAAAATATCTATTTAACAAGAGGCCCATGGGCCACATCGCTCACCTGAGCACCGTGGCTAGGAAAAAGTAGAAATTGGTTTATTATTGCAAAGTTTAAATCCAAAAGTAGTCCCATGACCAATCATGGCTTTGCTATTCTTGAGAAGAAGATTTTTAAAGAATTTTCCTACATATTTCTATGTAAAACTTTGGTTGGCCATTTTGGCCCCGCCCTACCCCTGGGGGTCATGATTTGAACAAACTTTAATCTACACTACTGTAGGATGCTTCCATATAAGTATGATCAATTATGGCTTTGTTATTCTTGAGAAGAAGATTTTTAAAGAATTTTCCTATATATTTCTATGTAAAATTTTGGTCGGCCATTGTGGCCCCGCCCTACCCCCGGGGGTCATGATTTGGACAAATTTGAATCTACAGTACCTGAGGATGCTTCCATATAAGTTTCATCCTTCCTGGCACAGTGGTTCTTGAAAAGAAGATTTTTAAAGAATTTTCCTATATATTTCTATGTAAAACTTAGGTCGGCCATTGTGGCCCCGCCTTACCCCCAGGGGTCATGATTTGAACAAATTTGAATCTACACTACCTCAGGATGCTTCCATATAAGTTTCATCTTTCCTGGCACAGTGGTTCTTGAGAAGAAGATTTTTAAAGAATTTTCCTATATATTTCTATGTAAAACTTTGGTCGGCCATTGTGGCCCCGCCTTACCCCCGGGGGTCATGATTTGAACAAATTTGAATCTACACTACCTCAGGATACTTCCATATAAGTTTCATCCTTCCTGGCACAGTGGTTCTTGAAAAGAAAATTTTTAAAGAATTTTCCTATATATTTCTATGTAAAACTTAGGTCGGCCATTGTGGCCCTGCCCTAACCCCGGGGGTCATGATTTGAACAAACTTGAATCTACACTACCTGAGGATGCTTCCATATAAATATGATCAATTATGGCTTTGTTATTCTTGAGAAGAAGATTTTTAAAGAATTTTTCCTATATATTTCTATGTAAAACTTTGGTTGGCCATTGTGGCCCCGCCCTACCCCCGGGGGTCATGATTTGAACAAATCTGAATCTGCACTACCTGAGGATGCTTCCATATAAGTTTCATCCTTCCTGGCACAGTGGTTCTTGAGAAGAAGATTTTTAAAACATGCCACAAAATTTTTATTAATTCCCAATTATCTCCCCTTGAATGAAGGCGTGGCCCTTCATTTGAACAAACTTGAATCCCCTTCACCCAAGGATGCTTTGTGGCAAGTTTGGTTGAAATTGGCCTAGCGGTTCTTGAGAAGAAGTCGAAAATGTGAAAAGTTTACAGACAGACAGACAGCTAGACAGACGGACTACAGACAAAATGTGATCAGAAAAGCTCACTTGAGCCTTTGGCTCAGGTGAGCTAAAAATACATGTCTGAAATTCTTTTTTTGAGTACCATGGTACTCTAGTCTACTTTGTATTCAGTATCTTATAAAATAATAAGTTCTCACTTTAAGTGCTAGAGTACTGTGAGCTATCGTCCTCCCTGTTCGTTTATCATTGCTGTAGGACTCCATCTCTGCTATCCAGTTCTCGCACTGTTTTAACACCTCGTGCCTCTTCAGCCAGAAGTGTTTGTGAATGACCTCCCGGAAGCAGGGGGTGGGGTTCTTGATTTGTTCTAACATGGCCCACTTAACAGTGGCTTGTCGGATGTTGGCGTCGTACTCTCGGGAGCTGGCAGTGCCCGATGGCGTGCCTCTTGATCGTTCGTATCCCGGCTCATTGAAGTAAGGTTCTGAGACTAGAATCAAGGACTGTATAGACACCAAAACCTGTACACATAACATAGATAAAATATTAAATTTAAACTTTATTATATCAAATTTAATTTACATGAAGTCTGTAAAAGTAAAGTAAACTACGTTGGTTAACACTAAAACATTGAATGTAGATGTGTTAGCTTTCTAAATTTTTGTGTGTTTACTCAGTTAGCAATTATGATGTATACATGTATACTGTACCTGTAGAAAACTTGAAGTTTGAGCATTCCATTTTTCTTCTGGTCTACCATGCCAGGTGTTCAACACACTTAAGCACACCTATAAAGTAAAATATTCTCATGAGAAAAATATTTAAAAAATTCATGCTGATCTATATATTTACCTTGAGAAAATACATTTATCTTGAATAAATAATGTCTCAGAGAAGATAATTTCTGAACAAACATACATGAAAAATGGGCCACTAAACCATTTAAATCTCGCACAGCAAGATTCACAAAAAAAAATCTTATCTTACATATTGTCAAATGCATGTAGGGATACACTTTGCCCTGTACAGCAATATGTTCTTAATTAGATACTGACCTTTCCATCATTATAAAGATTTGGGTTGAATCTAATAGTGTGGTTTCCTGTGGTCTCCAGATTAATTAGGGGTGGAGATGTGGGGTAGTCTGGTGGGAAATACACATCAAACTCAAAGCAGCCGTTCTCATACGGAGTGTCAGAAGGACCCGTTATCATCACCTTAAATGATCAAATGCAATGTCTGAATACTTCATGAATATCTTTTTTTTTTTTACTACAGATATTGTATAAAGCTTATTTTACATAGGCCAAATGATCTTTAATTCTTTGGCATTAAATTTAAAAAAAAAATGTGTCAAGAAGAATTTTTATTTTCAGTGAATTTTTGTTTTTAACAATGACAAAAGAATAAATTTCTTTTCCAGCTTCAAGCAAAAGATTTCAATATGAAAGCATTCAGCCAAATGCAATGTCCCTGAGATACAAAGTCTTAATATTTTAAGAAGCCTAAAAATTCCTTCCGTTTCTGTTGTTGTACATATTGGAGGCTCCTTAAACTTTCAAATTGTTGTACAAACATCCTGAAAAATACCTTCATGATGTCGAGTCTTTCTTCATCACACCTGACAAACACACTGCTGCCAGCGGAGAGGGGGAGTGAGGTAGATAGGGTCGTAGCTTCCTGAGCGAGGCGACGTGTTCGAGAGGCATTGCTTACTTCACCTGCCGCCTTCACATTATTCTCGTAGTGATGAGAACAGGTGAATTTAACGGCACTTGAATCGTCCAACACAAACTCAAAAGATCCTAGAAAGGAAGTAAATTCTTTGTACATGTAGTTGATAACATATACATGCACATAAATACATACATACATACATGTAAATACCATTCATTACAGTATATGCATTTCCTTTGTACTGCAGTTATATGCATAAAAGACTTCTCTGTTTCTCAGGCCAAAAATTGTGAAATATTAAAATTTTAAGCACAGAAGTTTTCTTTTTGAGAAGGGGAATGACTACATTGTTTTTCTCCAGTTCTGTCAATAATATTGGTCAATGCATTAGTGTTCAGCTTATTGAAGTGGTGCTAGAGATATAAATTTAAATTTTCTCCTTTAATTGTCCACTCACCAAACTGCTCCTCCTGCATGATGGTCATGTAATGCTCCTCTGCACTGGCCTGACCAGCCTGCCCCGATTTATCTTTACCGGCTTCTTCACTGGCTCCCTCTGTTTCTGACAAAGTGAAATTAAGACATACAGCTTCAATTATATTTTTTCAAAACAGTATTGAAGTTATATGAGCAATGGAAGAAATTTCCATCAACTTCATGTTTTTTGTTACAGTAATACATTGAAACCTGTCTAATTGAGACACCATTGGTTCAATAGAAATTGGTCAGATTAAACAACATTCTGGATTTTAAACAATTCAATTAATTTGAAGGGATTAAGGATTATTATTGAAAAGACAAGATTTCAGATAAAACAGCATCCAGGTTCGATAATTTAACTGTATAAAATTACAAAAAAATCTCTTTAAGGATTAAATTGGATACCCGTGGATTTCTGTAGTCTCTCTGTGGCGATCTTGACAATTCTAGCCGTCTCCTGTATGTTGGGGATCAGCATGGCTAGCCCCTCATTCTCCTCCTCTTCTGCTACACTGCCATTCTCATTCTTGGCTTTGTTAGATCTTTAAAAAAGTTCACCCAAGATTTCAACTAATGCGCATTTGATTGTTTGTCTTTAAAGAATAAGAAGCTGTAAGAGCTATAAAATTCTTAAGATTTCATACATATCACCATTGTTGGATAAAAGTTGTGTTTCTGAGACATGTATTTTTTCAAATATTTTTTCTATATCCCATACAAAGTTTTCATAAACTTTAAAATAAATAAGACAATGTATCAATTTATATTTACTTTAATCTGCTGGCGTATGTATCCACACACACTCTCATCTTGTCCAGCAGCACCCCTACAGAAGTGGCCGATTCAGGTCCATTGTCCTTCTCCAGTGGAAGCAGGAGGGGCACTAGGGAGGGGGTGACGGCTATCCCCCTCAGTAGCTCCAGCAATGCCCGGTACAGAGGAATGTGACGTGCCATGTCTAACACAGAGTCATTTCTGAGATAGGAAGATATGGCGGGGACTATACAAGACTGACTTAACAGTTCATAAATCACGTCAGGGAGCAGGGATTTCTCGGCCGGGGAGGTAAAGTTTTCGGACTCAAACTCTTTTGGGATATCACCTCCTGGGTTTACATAGCTGGCAAGAACCTGCGATAATGAGTTAGAATGTTGCAAATTCAAACAATTCAGCATTTGAAAGCATTTATTCATTTTATTGACAGGTTATAATTTTTTTTCTGCTTTTCTGCAGCTATTACTGTGCTTTTAAACTGCACCACACTGGCAATGGATTATAACCATAATACACTACTACACTATGTATCCAGTATGATGAACAATATCGTAGATTTCTTTACACACTCACCTGTAACAGACAAGCTACATGCTCCTCCTCACTCTTCTGCCTCATCAGCGCCTGTTCCGCATCCCAGCTGGAGGTGGTGGACCCGGTCCCGAACCCCGTCCCTTTGGCCCAGTACTGCTGGGATTTCTCCTCAGTCTGGGTCTGGACCGGGACACTAGCCGGGGTGTTAGCTGACTGCATGGCAGACAAGATCAACTGGGCCTGGAAAAAATCAACAAGTATACTGTGTTAACTAAATACACCAAAGCTTACAGTGTACTTTTTATTCATTTAAGTTTATGAAAATTGGACAAGTAGACCAATTTTCAGGGACACACAGAAATAAAATATAAGAATATTTTTTCATATGAAATAAAAAATTCCCATAAATTGTCTTATAATAATGACTTCAAATTATTTAACTATGAGTTCCTTATTTATCTATTTACATGTACTCCAACTTCACCTTAAACAGAAAATCATAAAATTTGAATTTTATCCCCATTCTCACTGACCTCTTGTTGGAAGCCTTGGACTGGTACCCTGGGGGCGTGGTGACTGAGGACAGACAGACAGGCCAGGATCAGGTGTATGGCCCAGATATCCAGGGACATCCTCCTCAGCAGCACCCCGTCATCTGTAGTCAGGGGGGAGCTGTCATACAGAGACTTCAGGACCAGGAATGGCAGGGTGGGGAGGGAGCAGGCGATGGGGGATGTCAGAATGTGACCTAAAAATGGAAATTATATTGCAAATGTAGATGAGACATTATGACCAAATAAATATTCTGTTAAAGGAAACTTTTCAATTGAAATATGTGCATGTATTTTGTGGATTATTCAAAACTCTTATATTTATTAAAAGTATTTTTTTCAGCTGAATGTCTGGGGAATAACTTTAGTTAAGAAAGATGACATTAATAAAATAAATGTTTTTTCCCTAAAATGTTCATTTTAACAATGAATTTGTGTCATATTTTACCATGTATGGTATATCTATTTCCTTGAAATTACATTTTTTCTGCATCATTAATTTTGAAATTTGTCATTAGACAATGATTGCATTTTAGTAAATAGAGGGTCTATAAATGTACCTTCAGGAAGCGTCTCAAGAATTAATCAATTATCTTATTTGTTAATTATAATTACCTCCATCTCCGTCATCGGTGACTCCTAACACCAGCCTCAGCAGACACTGGGCCTTCTTCCTCTCCTTCAGCAGGACCTCAGCGTATCCAGGAAGTCGAAGGAACAAGCCAAAAGCGACCAATGAATGAGGAGGAATGGTCGGCAAGGCAACAGGAGGGTTGCTGGTTTTGGCTACCAGTGGCTGAGAGAGTTCATAATGCTAAAATAACAATTTTCATAATTGAATAAACAAATGTTTTGATACTGTAAATGACAACATTTTGGTTACAACTTTTTTTGTATTGGGTGGTATTTATAAGCAAGACAAAATTTTCACAAAATCTGGATACTGCTGAATGTAATCAATATCAATAAAAACTCATGATAAAAAATAACATTTTCTTCAGCAGACTCTTCCCATAATTACAAGAAAATAAATTTCTTGCAAAATTAAAGTGAAGAACAGTTTACATATCAAGCCGAAATAAATTTCCATTAATTTCAAGTTTACATATCAAGCCGAAATAAATTTCAATTAATTTCAATCAGACCCATCAAAACTCTACATATACAACTGATTACCCACCTCATAGAAGTCCTCTGGGAAAGGTTCAATCATGGACCACTCCTCTGCTATAGACATGTTCTTAATCATGTTGTCCAGGCCTGACTCCTGCATGATGGACTGTCTAGAAACCTCGGGGTACAGCAGGGGCAGGTGCTCAGCTAGGAGGGCCAGGCCCCCCACACTGGCGAACACCTGTAGGGAGGTAGGGAAGGGGGACACAGTGGTCAGGGCCTGATCCTCATCCAAGTCCCCCCAGCCATCTCGCTCACCTGGAAATCATAAGCATTGTGAGAAAGATGTATGAAGAAATCTGTGTTTCAGAATCCTTTCTTTAGTTCATTTATTAAGTTTATAATTCACAGACTTATAAGAAAAAAATGTGTAAGACTATCAGTGCCAACTTCACTCCTAAAGTTAAGCTTGTTATTACAAATTTATGCATTTTTTCACTTGCTCTTTCATATTGAAAGAAATCTGCCATGTCTGGATTAATATTGATCTGGTAAGTGATGACTCCAATCAGCTAATCTGTTTTGTGACCAATACTTACTTTGATCTGGCTGGTTGCTGTCCTTGTGACCAATACTTACTTTGATCGGGCTGGTTGCTGTCCTTGTGACCAATACTTACTTTGATCTGGTTGGTTGCTGTCCTTGTGACCAATACTTACTTTGATCTGGTTGGTTGCTGTCCTTGTGACCAATACTTACTTTGATCTGGTTGGTTGTTGTCCTTGTGACCAATACTTACTTTGATCTGGCTGGTTGCTGTCCTTGTGACCAATACTTACTTTGATCTGGCTGGTTGCTGTCCTTGTGACCAATACTTACTTTGATCTGGTTGGTTGCTGTCCTTGTGATCAATACTTACTTTGATCCTGGTTGTGGCTGGCTGTCCTTGTGACCAATACTTACTTTGATCTGGCTGGTTGCTGTCCTTGTGACCAATACTTACTTTGATCTGGTTGGTTGCTGTCCTTGTGACCAATACTTACTTTGATCTGGCTGGTTGCTGTCCTTGTGACCAATACTTACTTTGATCTGGCTGGTTGCTGTCCTTGTGACCAATACTTACTTTGATCTGGTTGGTTGCTGTCCTTGTGACCAATACTTACTTTGATCTGGCTGGTTGGTGTCCTTTTTCTCGTCTTGTTTAATGGAGAACTCTAGGACATTAAGTCCGTGCTGCAGTCCTCTCTGGTGTAGGACCTGTAACAGCTGGGATAGAGTTAACTCCCCTGGCAAGGAGGTGTCTGGAAAGGGAATTTCATGACAATGTTAACAAAATAATGCTCTGTACAGTACAATGGTCAACAATAAGTCATGTATCAAATGCTTTACTATATAGGGGGAAAATAACTCGCGGTGTAAATATTCACTATATTCACGGTGTTAATAAATCTGTGAATTCAAGAAACAGTGAATAAGTCTTTATTAAAAAAACATTTTTTTTCTTCAATATGAGTCCAGCTAGCGGTAGATACTAATATGCAAATGCAAACATGTAAATCACATACTCGTTTCGTAATTAAGAGTGGAACTTGATGTTTAATTATTTAATTTCTTTTCATTCAGATCGCCAGATAATAACCCAAATTTATCGTTAAAACACCTGTTACAAATAGCCAATTACCTGTTTGATCAATAAAAACATGTCAGTCAAGATTACCCGTGCGTCACAATGACCTCGGGCGCTTTCCGCATAACAGCAATGTAATTGAAGATTCATTCGAATTTTTTATTTCTGTTTTCTTTATTGAATAAGGTTGTTATTTGAATATGTACATGTTACAGACGTTACATAATAAATGCAATCGAAATTGAATTCGTCACTGAACCAGGCTAACAAATTCCATTCACTTAAACCACTAAACCAGCACTTTTAAACGACTGAATGATCACATCCTTTTGATCGACTAGTTTGTTGATGGAATTCACAATCCACTGTGCATGTTTTTCTTTAATGTAGGACAGTTTCAGATTCACTTCTAAATCCTCAAAACCGACTTTTTCCAGTGATTTTTCAATTTCTGCAGCGTAGTATTTTTGAAACTCGTTTCGTAAATGCTGTTTAAATAAGTTGTTGGGAATCAAATCTAGCGGTTGTATTTTATCCGTACACGCAGCAGGTACAAAAAGGACTCAGATTCTTTTTCTTGCAAGATAATCCAGGAATTCGTCACTATGATGAGCTGTGAAAACGTCGAATATACACAGACCTTTCTGTCCCAAAGGATAGTCATTTTCTTCTCGGATTTTCTGTAGATACGGGATAATTATTTGGTCAATGTAGCGAATCATTGTAGAAGTGTTTGACCAGTGGTTTTCGCTGTGATAGATGTCATATTCCTTCGGAAATGGAAACCTTGGGTGGCATGTGTCTGTTTTACCTTGATAGAGCAATTGTGGAGGTAGGACTGCACCACTCCTCGAAATGGCTAGCAGGGCTGTCATTTGACGTTTGTCGTCGAAGCCCTTTAAGGGGACTTGTTTTGATCCTACAACAAAAATTTGTTTTAATACACATTTCCTTCATTTCATTTTCAAACAATATTCATTTATCAAATAATCATAAATAATTTGAAATTAAAAAATAAATTTACCTGTTTCGGCCATGGTCCATTTTCCGCATGGAACAAAATTTACTCCCGTTTGATCCCAGTTGATGATCATTTCGTCCGGAATAGAATCCTCCTTTACGACGTCCTGGAAGCGTTTAATAAAAGAGTTTTTAAGGTCATCAAAGTCACTTGGAAGAGATTTTACTCCTTTGGTGGCACGGCGCGTAGATAATCCCATTCGTTTCATAAGTGATTTAGCCCATTCAGTTGTCAGTTCAATATGACCTCCGTTTTCAGCCAAAATAGATTTGTTATGGTGTGAAATAATTCCTCTTGCAGCCCCGATCACGACAGATGAATTTACAGCTGAGCCTTTTAATCTAAGTTGATGTATGTACGCCTGTATCATCTTGTCATAAAATCCAACTTTTAATGGGCGGCCTCTTGGTGAACGGGGTAACGATGGAGGGGTATTTTTGTTTTCTGAGTTCGGTGTTTTAACAGCCTTTAAATAAGCTTTTCTTATGCTGCGAACTGTACTCTCATTTACCGTATACGCCCTAGCTGTTTGGAGAAATAACGGGCTGTTTTTGCTGGCCCTGAATCGATATAGTATCGGGCCATTTTCCCTCTAGTTTCTGGAGAATACTGTCCGTAATCTTCTCTTTTTCTTTTTTTGGACGAGCACTGACCATTCTGACTTTCAGGCGCAGAGTCCGATGCCGAGTCAGCGGAACGCTGAATTTCATTTACTAATTCATTTGCTGAAGAAAACGCGCAAGCTTCCTCATTGTCAGAACACTCCCGCGGATCGGGGAGTAAATCTGATGGAGGGGGTTTAAAGTTAATTTTTCCGTATTTCAGCCAGTTTAGCATGGTGACTAAGGAGTGAATAAATCTATACTGAACACTTTATTTAAACCACCCTTGAGTATAGCTCATAAGTAAATACATCTCACTGACGTTCTCTGGTTTTCAACATAACAATAGGAGTTGTCGTTCATGCTAAAACGGTGCAATATTACATACAAAGGGAGGTAACTTTTAGAAACAAAAAATCCGCGAATTCAAGAAACCGCGATCGTGTCAGATGAGAGAAAACCGTGAAAATTACAATCCGTGAAATTAATCCCCTATACAGTATTCCCCCTGACATTTTAATCAGGAAATTATTATTAAGGAATCTGTTATCCGCAAATAATACTCTGTAACCAAAATCATAACAATGAAGTAGATGCACACTGTGTTCTTTTCAGGCACAGTAATTTAAATTTTACAACATGTACATGTACATTAGTAGACTATACTGTTAAGTACATGTAAATGCCGATATCTACTTACTTGGCATGGATTTGTGGCAGATGCCTAGAGTGGGAAGTGGCATCTGTGAGCTGGAGTTTCCCAGGTTCTGCCTCCCTCGGCGAGTTGGGGGTCTGGGGGGTAGAGATGTCTTCCCAGACTTATCCTCTTTCTCTCTCTTCTCCTTTGCTGCCATACTAGCTGCTACTAAAGGATAATAACAAAACGTCAAATCTGTGCAGACTAAGGCACCATCCTTTACATTTTGACTTTAAGAAAAGCATATTAGCAAAGGTGTAGAGATTACTTAAATTTTGCTATTTATTCTGCATCAGAGGTAACCATCATGTCTCTATGCACAATAAAATTGCTAAAATTACTTCTCGCTAAAATTAAGTACTGAGTTTTAAGGACTAATTGCTAAATTTGTGTCTCACTAAAAATTTTACTTACTGGGTATACCATATCTTTCAATATCCATGTTAAAATGAATGATGTGATATGCATGCGCTACATATACATACCCACAGAACTGGAAAGATAGCTGGCCATCTCTGTATAATTACTCAGGTTGTCTTTCTTGGATTCATCACTTTTTTCTGATGCTTTCTCCAGGAACTGACCAGGAAGGAGAGGAAGGTCTGAAATTGTTAAGCAAGTAAGATACTTTAAATTTAATTGACCAATATACGTTTTTCATATCTAGCTTGTAATAACTTATTTGATTTGGTTAGAAAGCATGGACTAAATTTCTATACACCTGATTTGAGGGTTTATGGAAATAAAACCCCGGGTAAATACCTGTACACCCTGAAGTGGACTTGGTTAACTAATAATTTACTCCAAATTTCCAATATAGAGTAAAAGATATCCTTGTAAAAATCTTTACAATAAAATAATATGGATAGTGGATCCTATGATTTTATCTCACCTGTGACTTTGCTTGTTATCTCGCTGATCGTTGTGTGAAGACTGACCAACATCACCTGGGTGTTACGTCCCCCAGTAAAGCGGGGGTGATGTACACCGTTGTTTAATTTGGGCTGCATCATGATCTTCCCACTCTGTTGGCCAGACTTCAGCACTACCAGGACCTTCTCATCCTCCAACAAGGCCTGAAGGAACAAACACCTGGTGAATCCCGAGAGGGGGAAATTCCCCAACAGCTGACCTGTTAAGAAAAATATACATGCATAACACTATATACACATGAACAAAATGTAAAATTGATGGGATACATTAAAATTACTAAAATTAGTTTTTTAAAATTTTCCTGTATTGAACTATTTATTCTAATTTTTCACAACTGTGCATGATATAAATTAATTTTAATAGTCATTACGTTGTTACAAGAGACAGAGATGGGTCTGCACTATCTACTATAAATTTAATAAAATACTCAAAGATTTTTTTTTGGATGAATATGTACATAGTGTACCATGCACAGCACAATGTGGTATAATTTATGTATCCATATAATATTTGTTGGATACAGCTTAATCTCCATCTCAAATGTTACCTGATTTTGAGGAGGAGCTCTGCTCTTTAATAACCTCTGATAAGACTTTGGCAAACAACAGCTGGTTAATGATGTGACAGGACATGACTTGTGTGAAGAAACAGACAGCAGCTGACTCAATGCTTCCTCGATTCTCCATCGTCATGATCTAAGAACAGGAGATGAAAAAAATCAAATCAGGAGTGATGGAATAATCATTTTCTTTTTATACAACTACATGTACATGCATCTTTATCAAAAGCAAAAATTGAGTCTTTTTTATGTACACCCCCCCCCCAATTTTACGCTGTGTAAAAACATTATAGAGTACGTTTTTTACTTTATGTTGCAATATACATGTAGTTGTATTACAGTGTAAAACCAATCAGTAACACTGACCCCTTCCCTGGGAATGCTGGCTGGAGCTGTAGTGGACTGTATGGGTGTATTACACAGCATGGTCAGTAGGGAGGGCCAGAAGATGTTCCCCTCATGTCCCCCCAACCAATCTTTCATCAGCGGCTCAGTGGAAACCTTGGCCAGGAAATACAGAACAGAGGGCACCATGTCTGCTGTTATCCAAAGGGCTTTGTCTGAAATAACCAAAATCAGTATTTCAATGATTTTTATACATAAAAGAAAAGTATAGGTTGGTATATTGTGAAATCAGATATTTTCGTGGGGTTTTTATTTTTATTAAATTTTCTCCACCTATGAAATTAAATCCCTTTGAACCAGTATTTTTTCCTCAATCCACAAAAATACATGTAAGTGAATTTTTAGTACTTTTTTCTTTATTATTTTTAAATAAGCATTCTTGACATGAATTACTTTTCACATTACAGCTGACCTTGTTTAAAAAAATATCTTTACTATTATATTGCAAGTACCTTTTAAGTCAAAACCGCTAAAACATTGTATACTTAATTCTATGACTTACCTGACACAGTCCTGGACATGGATCCCAGCACTGACCCTGAGGCCCCACCCTCGTCACACATGGACTTGTGGGCATCGGTCATTCCCTCTGGAGGTGAATAATTCTCCGTGAACTGAAATATCACTTTGTTACAGAACTCAAACAAGCCCTGGGCCAGCACGGCCGGAAATCCTGAATCTAGTAACTGTTTAATGGCCACAGCAGACTGACAGGTCAGAGCGAGGGTGGAGAGACAAGACTCCTCCAGGGTGATGTGATGGAAGTCCTGGGGGAACCTCTCCTGGGTCTGAGACCGCGGTCCCTCCTGGGCACTGCTGGCCTCCTTCGAGTCGTCCGTCATGGACCGGTGGTGGCGGTTGTCCTTGGAGTCGTCCGTCATGGAGCCCTGGTGGAGATGGGAGTTGTCTTTGCGGTCGTCGCTGATGGAGGCCGACAAACTGTTTTCTCCGGTCACAGTGATGCCCATCCACAACAGGATCTGGGAGAAGTACTCGGGGTTGATGTGACAGATAGCACACAGTATGTAATCTACCGACTGCTTCAAGTTATTGTCGGTTTTCAGAGTTGTGGACCATTCATAAAGGAAACTGAAAAATGAAAAATTTACAGCAATTAGACTTCCCCCAAAATTCCATGCAATTTCTGGTAGTTTTTCTATTTTTGAAATAATGCTTCAACTAGAGAGATGATCAGAGGGTAGAAAGAGCTTAAAAAGACTCATTTTTCACACTATTAAATTTGGAGAAATTTCCCTTATACGTATTCCTGTACCTGACTAGCTCCCTGGTAACAAGACCACCGAGATCATACTCCACAGGTAGATCATTGCTCTGCCACAAAATGGCCGACACCACTTGTATGTGGGAGGGGGCGGGACTAGGAAGGGAAGATAACTCCTGCTGAACTCTCCTGTATCCTTCAGAAGTGGAGAGTGAGGACCTCTGTAGGGCCAGTCTGGCACTGTCCTTCAGCCAGCTCAACAAAGCCTGAACTCTGTAAACACAAAACAACATTGTTTATATGTATAATCTGAATGATAAATATTGTGTTCTTAGTGGGCTTCATATTTAAGCTACTTTATCAAAGACAAAACTGTGCATGAATACCCTCAATAGTATTGTCTACAATTCTGGTCAATTAATACAATAACATACAATATAAAGCACACATGTATGTATAAGTGGCATTGATTCATGATTATGCCAAACACTCAATACCCAAAGAATTATATCAATTCATGAACAAATACTTTTCTTTTCTTTTCTTTTTTAATTCTATTAGTTTAAAGTTATCTCTTTCTTCCTTCCTTATGTGATTTATTGTGTAACACATACCTTAATCTTGTTCCATGGTCTTGGACCATTCCTAGCTGATACAGCAATTCCACAGTGGATTCATTGGCCTGGCCACTAACTTTTCCAAGGTATGGCATACCAAAACCTTTTAAAACAATTAATTCATGAATTATCACACATACTTAACTATATCATTGTAAAATCAATTTTTTGTGGTTTGAGGTAATAAGAGGTTTTAAGGGATTTGATTTCATGGTTGAAGATTAGTTTTATGAGTCTCTTAATGAAAATTTAACCCTCATAGTACTTGTATAAACTTAGCAAAAATGTTCTGTCTTCTTCTATGGATAATGTTAAATTCACTTTCACTTCTGACATCGGAGACCTGTACCTGAATTAGCCCTGTTGCTGGGACTCCTGAGTATGTTGTCCACAAGAGCCAGCCCCATGTCTACGGAGTGGAGTCCCAGACACAGCAGGACCTCCTCAATGTTAGGGACGTACACACTGGATATAGGGGAGACCAGCAGGGCCGAGCAGGTGTTCATCAGATTGGGGATCTGAGCCGCGCTGTTAGCTACAGCTTCCTCCACCTCCTTGTAGGCTGTCAGGCAGTGATGTAACAATCGGATCCAACGAACACTGCAATAAATCATAAATACATAAAAACAAATTTCTATCTTTAAACATTTACACCCCCCCTCAAAAATTAACAGTAGATTTTCCACTCAATATTGAAAAGACCAACAAAATTTATAAACATGCATCTTATAATCCACTAAATTATCCATTTAAATGACACAAACCTTGACCTGGCAACATAATCCTCGTTTGGCATGAACACATTCTGAGGTGCTGAGCTGGAGTCTCCGAAGGCACTGTAGCCCATCAGCATGATCTGTGACAGCCCGATGGTCATGGAGTCCCGGGCCTTGTGGAGCCTGATGGTCACCATGGTGGCTATCTGTGGCCGCTGGAACTGCAGCTTGATGAAGGCCAGACTGCTGGTCATCAGGGGGTGACAGAGGGGGGTAGAGGTCACTCCGTCATGACTCAGTTCTAATGACACACTTGAGGGACAGGCTAAAGTAGGAGAGTATCAAATCCAGATTTTACTATAAATTCTATCTCTCATATTTGCAATACAGTAAAATGTACTTATAGCAAAATGTCAGTGACAGACAATTTTGCCTAATTCATTATGTTCCTTGTGAATACATTTTAAAACCACTGGGAATAAAAATCACTTTGATATAAATGTAAATTCCTTAGAAGCTATCTTGAAATTGTAGAACATTTCTCCATTTGAACCCTGTATTTAAGTATCAATTAATAAATGATTACACATTACTTACTTGTGAGTGATGTACCATGGGGCTGTATCTGGACCTCTTTGAGTAAGACAGCAAAAGGCAGCTGAATTGTTAGATCCACCCATGCCTCGTCAGGGTAGAAGTGGTAGGACCAGGCGGCCGAGCGAGCTCTCCTGTGTGGAGGAGAGGATTGTATCAGGACCTCGGCCGGACTGGCAGTGGGACTACTGGAGCAGATGTATCCTAAAAATAGAACAGCATGTTTACTTGAGCAAATGTATCCTAAAAATAGAACAGCAGGTGTACTGGGAAACCCCCTGATCAGGTGTCTTAGATTTCTTTGCATCATTGAACACTAATAAATTCTTTCAAAAAATTTGTTTAGAAATAAAGTTGATTTTTTTTTCACATTTGTAAATGAAAATAATAGTGTGTAGTTACCTAGTGGAGCAAAGTTTTGTAAGCCATCTGGGGACTCAAAATCACTGTTCTTTTTCTCTAAGCGAGATCGGCCATTGAGGTTCTGCATTATGGTAGATATCAGACTAGGGTTTGTGCTTATTATGCGACAGTTACAGTTGACTAGATTTTGACAGATTATAGATATTCCACCTAGAGAAGCAAAAAAAAAAATTCATTAAAAAGTTTCTTCAATCAGTTCACAATATACACATACTGTACACATACTATAAGATTATAGTAAACCTAGAAGAAATTTCTTGATGTACTCTACATTCATGAAAAGTAAATAGTCTCAATATCTGAAAAAAATGTGGCTACTTTGGATTAAATCTATTCTAAATATTAATTGAACATGTATGTGGCACTTACCCATTTCTAAGAAGGTATTAATTGATCTAGCACTATCTAGAACTTTGAGTATGAACCACAGGAGAGGTTCAGAGAGTTTGTTCAGGGACTGCTGTGTTCTGACGCTGTATGAACCGGACAGGTACTTGTACAGGGACTCAATCACACACCTGCTGTCCGAGCACAGCCTGGTTAAGGTCACCAGGATCTGGTATATCCCGTCCCCCACCGAGATCGGTTCACCCCCAGTAAACGTCTCCTGCATGTTGCTGGAGATTCCTCGGCTTCCCAGAATCATAGCCATCGTGTTACTGTTGCAGTAGCTCAGGGCCTGTATCAGATTGCACATAATTTGATGGTGGCCCAGGATTAAGTCTGTGACATAGGCCTGAGTGTTGAGAGTTTCTGTCTTCTGTTCGTCGGTCTGTTGGCTCTTTTCCTCATCCGACAGCCTTACCCCTGGGGTCGGGGTAGAGGTGGCCAGGGCCTGCTCCAATTTGGCAGAATCTGGGACGGGTTCTGACATGCTGATGTTTGTGGGCGTCATGGGTTCCACGGTAGCTGAAGAGTCCATGGCCACAGAGGATCCACGGGCATTCCTGGGAGAACTACACTGAATCTGAATCAGATTGTTTACAAGTTTCAGAAGACTACACATCAGGAGGTCCCTGCTGGCATCGGAAGTCTTCGAATCGCCACCCCGCAGGAAACTGGCAAAAAGTCCCCCAAAACAGGACCTGGCATTGACAGAGTTCTCTGAGGTACTCCTACAAGAAACTTTCTCCTGACACAGAATGTGTTGGTGGACTAAACTGCTAATAGACTCGATAACACTGATGGCATTACTCAGGTCTACATTCTCATATGTCTGATCCAAGATAAAGTCCATGAATTTACACTGAGCATCTAGTGGACCCAGACCACAATGGAAAGCCCCTCTGTAAAGATGAAATTTGTGTATTAATCTGTCAAGCAGCATGACATAGCTGACATTTCAAGGTGACAAAAGAGAACAACAATTTACCTTTCAGCACTTAAAGTGTAGACTAATTTCAGCATCAGCTCTTTTAATTTCTGATGATAGTCTTGAGGACATTTTCCCAAAAGTCGTAATAAAAATTCATAGAATGCTTTGGTAGCAGCAGGACCAACCTAAAACAAGGAGAGAAAAATAAAAATTCAAACTCACATTATTTACTCCATCATTTTTCAGGAGACAAAGAAACCAAAATACAAGATAACTCACAGTTGAGAACTGAACAGAAGAAGCAGTAGGCCCATTATCTGACGTCCCTGACAAAAACTTCTTGATGACACTGATCAAGTTAGGATCAGACAATAAAGGAACAATCATGGACACCTCCCCCACCTCGCTGAGACCGGGAATCCTCTGATTGGCTATAAGGGTGAGGCTCTGGAAGGCCAGCACCCAGGAACTGATGGGGAGACTGGGGATAGCCGTGAGGACCTCGAGGAGTGTGGACACTGAGGAGGAGCTGAGGAGAATCAGAGGAGTCCTGGAGGAGTCGAATATAGGGCCCCCCGAGGCGTCGGTATTGCCCTCACTGTTCAGGGTCAGCCAGAGCTGTAGGAGGGAGTCCAGGTTAGAACACTGAGGGAGGAGGTGACATAACAGGTTGTTGTAGCAGGAACTCAACATCTCAGCTGAAGATACCTGAAGCATTGAATATTAATTATAACTATAAAAGCATAAAGTAATTTCAGGTGCTCTTATTCAAAATTGCTTTTCAAACACAATGCACTAAATACTGTACAATCCATTATGTTTCTTTTTTTTATTCAGAATGTTGCATACAGATTGGAGAAAGAGAGACGGAAGAAATTTTGTTTCCAAATATCTCTTTATAAAGGTCCTAAAATGAAGCAAGAAAATTGGCTATCAATATACATCTGTACAATACCTCTGACTGTGAGAATGAAGCGGTGGCCTGTGACAGTTCATCATCAGTGGGGGGCGGGGCTGAAGACAGGGAGTGACCTACATAGGGGGCTGGTGGGAGGGTGTTACTAAATGCCTGCTGGACCCCCTCAGTATGCAGTGACAGCATTACCTACAACAGAAATAAGTAACTTAAAATCGATTTTAAAAATCCTCTTAATACACACACATTTATTCACTACAACTTTATTGTCAGTGACAGATTGACTTCTGTGATTTTCTGTGATCTGTACTTTAACTATCAAACAAAGAAATCATTGCATACCTTTAACCTGAGTTCAGCCTGAGTTTCCAAACCAAACTCCAGCCTAGCGTCCATGGCAGTGGACATTCCCTGGGCTCCGGCCACCAGACTACTGCGATAAGATGACCCTGATGTCCAACTTTCTCGATCCCGCTCTGTGATCTTGTCCACGATTTTTTTGATAAACACATCCTTTTTCTTATCTTCAGTCTCAGGTCTGAAAAAAAAATTAAAGTCTCCATTACATGTACTACCATTCTTTGGTTATACAGAGTGTTTATCTTAAAAATAAACTGAACTACTACTCCTCCCATATCTAATCATACAAGAATGTATACGTTTGACTATTCTATTCTTTATCATATTTTGAAAAACTACATTTAGACTTTAAGTTGAGCATTAAGGTAGTTAGAAATCAAACAGATTTATAGGTAGGAAAACAACATCAAGATTGAAGTATATACATGTACATTTATATGAAGGCTATGAAAGACAAATAAATCATTGTGAAAACTGACAAATTCCTCATTTTCATAAAACCATTCTCTTTTCCACCATGATTAAATCTTTGTTGAACACATTCAAAAATAGCATATTTAAAAAGAATATACAAGCAAATCATGTTTACAAAGAATCACATGTATATATATATATCAAAGAAATACACTTAAAGCAAAGACCTATGTCATGTTTTCACTGTAAAAATTTGTAGCTTTACAACATGTATAGCAACATATTTGTGAAATTGTTTACATGTACATGTTGTAAAACTTATTCAAATGGACTTTTAAGTCATTTAGTAGTTAAACCACAGGTGCACCCTACAGCAACTTCAACTACAGTTTCTTAAATGGAAAATAGAATTATTAATACAGGGACCCACTGTATTCAGCTATCATGTCCACCTTTTCACATTGAGCCAGTGGCCTCAACAAGTGTCTGTGTGGTTAAAACTGAATCTGCATCCTGAAATATACTCTAAATCCATAATGCGACGAAAAGTTCTACAAGTGAAAATATCCCATTTTGATCTTGACCTTCAAATGTACTAGATGAACCCAAAGCCCCTCAAACCAATTTTGGTTACACACAAATGTGACACCCCCCCACTCCCACCACCTTAGCTTTGATTATTGAAAACATGACACAGTTTGACTGAGATACACACATTGAATTGGCCACATCCAGTGTTCCATTCAAACTGGAGGTAGGCAGACCAGATTCAAAGAGGATTTGTTCAGGAGGGGGTGGGGGTGGAGGTACGACAGATTCCCCAGTCACGTACGCGTGAAGTTTGGCGGAGGCGTCATCCTCGTAATCCATGTCGTCCAGAAGTAGGTCCACCATCAGTGATGACTCTTTGTCAAAGGCCATCTTAGAGGGCTCCTCCTTACTGTCTGATAGCTCCATCTCTGTGTACAAAGGTATTACATTATTGTTTTATTTAGCTAATCGCCTTGAGAACATGATCATGGCATTTTCATCATAACTCAAAAATACTATTTAGTACATTTCTAACAAGAGGCCCAGAGGCCACATCACTCACCTGAGCACATCGGCTAGGAAAAAGCAAATATCAGATCAGAACTGAAAGTTAACTGAGGTGGGTGGGGAAAGGGGGGGGCTTGAATTTTAATACTAATTGAGAATGCCTTCATACAATACCAGAGGATGATTTCACATGAGTTTCATCTTTCCTGTCTCAATGGTTCTTGAGAAAAAGATTTTTAAAGATTTTTCCTATATATTCCCATGTAAAACATTGATCGGCCATTTTGGCCCCACCCTACGCCCAGGGGATCATGATTTGAACAAACTTGAATCTACACTACCTGAGGATGCTTCCACATAAGTTTCATCTTTCCTGGCCCAGTGGCTCTTGAGAAGAAGATTTTAAAATATTTTTCCTATATACTCCCATGTAAAACTTCAACCGGCCATTTTGGCCCCAACCTACCACCGGGGGTCAATATTTGAACAAAATTGAATCTGCACTACCTGAGGATGATTCCACATGAGTTTCATTTTCCCTGGCCCAGTGGTTCTTGAGAAGAAGATTTTAAAACATTTTTCCTATATATGTCTATGTAAAACTTCAATCAGCCAATTTGGCCCCACCCTGCCCCCAGGGGTCATGTTTTGAACAAACTTGAATCTACACTACCTGAGGATGATTCCACATGAGTTTCATCTTTCCTGGCCCAGTGGCTCTTGAAAAGAAGATTTTTATACATTTTTCCTAAGATTTTTAAAATATTTTTCCTATATACTCCTATGTAAAACTTCAATCGGCCATTCGGCCATTTTGGCCCCACCCTAAAACTGGGGGTCATGATTTGAACAAACTTGAATCTACTCTACCTGAGGATGATTCCACATGAGTTTTATCTTTCCTGGCCTAGTGATTCTTGAGAAAAAGATTTTTTAAAATGTTTCCAATATATTCTTATGTAAAATTTGATCGGCCATTTTGGCCACACCCTACCCCCGGGGTCATGATTTGAACAAACTTGAATCTACACTACCTGTGGATGATTCCACATGAGTTTCATCTATCTTGGCCCAGTGGTTCTTGAGAAGAAGATTTTTTTAAAATGCCATTAATTTTTTCACTAATTCATAATTATATCCCCTTGGAAAAGGGCGTGGCCCTTCGTTTGAACAAACTTGAATCCCCTTCACCCAAGGATACTTTGTGCCAAGTTTGGTTGAAATTGGCCCAGTGGTTCTTGAGAAGAAGATGAAAATGTGAAAAGTTTACGACGACAACAACGACAACGACAGACAACGGACAAATTTTGATCAGAAAAGCTCACTTGAGCCTTCGGCTCAGGTGAGCTAAAAAGTAAACAACGCCGACAACAACGACGACAGACAATGGACAAATTTTGATCAGAAAAGCTCACTTGAGCCTTCGGCTCAGGTGAGCTAAAAACACATCTACATAAAACACAGTATTACATTTGAATTTTGACAACTGAAACACTGATATATCAAATTCCATGGATACTGTATGTGAAAGTGATTTGGAAATTTCATCCATGTTTTTTTTACCCTTGATAACTTAAATCCTGGGATATCTCAGTCCCATTGCTTCTGAATAATTTTTATAGCGTATTTATAAACTTCACAGGAATCCTCCAATATTGTTTGATTTTTATTGAAACATACATTACAGTGAAATGGAAGCTACAAGGTACATGTAAGTATTTATAATACCTGGTGTATCGGGTACACTGTTGTCTTGGTCTGTATCCAGATCCTCCATTGTGGGCAGGCTCACACTGTGGGGGAGACTCTCGTCTGTCTCGGTGGTGAACCCTCCTGTGGCTTCCTCTCGAGTGTCACTCACGCTCGAGTCAAGGTGAGCAGGATAGAACCTCTCACCTAAAAACACAAAGTAAAAATAGTAAAAGGAGGTGTTTTCCCAGAAATCGAATGCTAACATAGAATATTTACCCATGTGCCGTCATTTACATGTATGAACATTCATTCATTCAAAGTCCCAGAGATGTTTCGTGAGAAAATAGCTAACTACCTGTTTCTGGGATATAACTCTCACATATCCTTCGCATGAACTTGTAACAAAATTTAATTTCCTTAGTAAAATACTAGTACATGTACAGGAAATTCATTGAGACAACTTCTAATATTTGCAGTTAATGTAGCAGAAGCAATTACATGTAAACACAAGTACTTGAATTCTATTTGTGATGACAAAAGTGAATACAATTCATGAAACTACTGGAATTCTGCTTTTATCAAGATTAAACCAGGTAAAGACATTGACAGCCGAGGATGCTGACTTACCGTCCAGTATGTCCTGTAGGAGACATGTAATTGCGTGCCCCGCCCAAGGCCCACCCCAGCTGACATTCCCGTAACTAAACTCCAGGTTAGAGGCCAGTAGAATCAGTCTCTCTAGCTGCTCCTGGGTCATAGCCTCAGCCAGGGTGATAGCGGGCCTGGTACTCACACACACAGTGGCTATCACCTGTAACAAAAAAATAAACATTGGTAATAGCGGGCCTTATACTCACACACACCGTGGCTATCACCTGTCAGAGAAAAATAATATTGGCTCTCGAGATATACAATGTGTCATAAAATGTCAGTAAAATAGGATACCATATTTTCCAAAGCCTAATTCAGTACCCCCAGGAGAAATGTATGTTTTGCATCTTTTTAAAATTTTAATTAAAGTTATCTAATTTTTGTTTTTATTGGTTTTTCCCATTTATTACATTATCCTTATTATTTAAGACATTAAAATTGATACCTGTGTAATGCAATAATCATTTATACATCTGAAGAATCATAATCAAATACAATTTAAAGAACATGGATGCATACAAATACATGTACAATGTATTTACATTTTCAACTCCGCTACCATCTAACAGACAACATCAAAAGATGATAAAAAAGGGGTATTCTATCAGAAATATTGACCCACCCATCCATCCTGAAAATTTCACACCATCATAAACTTTTACCTTGCATGTGATGAGGAAGAGATCCACATTACAGGTGAAGTCCATACTCAGTAGTAGACACATCAGCCCCCTCACTACCCTCAGTGTCTTCTCTTTAGACAGAAGTAACACTCCCTCTTGATCCACCTCCCCGTTACTTTTCTCCGACTCGGACACACACTCAGCTCTGGGGCCCATTTTTCTCAGCATCTCCACCTCTGTTCTTCTCATGTGAATGATATCTTTTATATGCTATAATAAATTAAACAATCATGTACACGTGTCAGGCATGACCAAATTGTCTATATGTACTCCAGACAGTTGATGTTCCAAGATATTTGGAAGCATTAATAAAGCAAAACACTTTAATTAATTACAAAATCCTTAAATAGAATGGAAATAAACTTTTTTTTCTGTTTCACAGCAACATTCTGACACCATACGTGTTTTTATCCAAAAATGAAAAGGATACAAAATCTAAATCAATACACATGAAACTAGTGGGTATTGTTTTTTTAACAAAAAACACATGTCTCCCCTTCTTTAACAACATTAACAAATGAAGTTTTACAATGAAGGTGAAAAAGAATAATGCAGTGCATCTTTCAAGTCTTTTATAGGATCTAAAGTAATTGTCTGGTCTTGCTTTTTTCTTAATTTAATCTTAAAAGAAGAAAATGGTCAAGGTCAAAAAAATTGATGTAGTGTATTTAGTCTTAAAGTTGTCTTTACTTGTTCCAAATAACAATCCTAATGTCAAGAAAGGTATCAAGTTATCAATTCAAATATATTTCATATGAACGTTTGACCTTGACCTAATAATAATTGGATCAAGGTCAAAAATTTTCATCACATAATCTCTCCATCTAAGTGTCCTCTGCATGTTACAAGTTTGAAGTCTAAATGTCAAAAGATTCTCAAGTTATGTTCAAAACATGTTTTTTTCTCTATTTGACCTTGGGTCAAGGTCAAAGTCCTTGTGCACTAGATCTTGTATTTAATGTCTTCTTTCTATGTTACATGTTTGAAGTCCTAATATCAAAGGGTACTCAAGCTATGACCTAAACTCTATTTAGATGTGAAAATTTGACCTTGACCTAATAATATTGGATCAAGGTCATATAATATGATCACATAAACTTTCTCCAATGTGTCCTCTGCATGTTCCCAGTTTGAAGTCTAAATCTCAAAGATATCTCAAGTAGTGGCCAAATCATGTTTTCTATATTTGACCTTGAACAAAAAAAGGGTCAAGGTCAAAGTTCTTGTGCACTGCATCATGTATTTAATGTCTCCCTTCTATGTTTTAAGTTTGAAGTCCTAATATCAAATGGTATTCAAGCTATGGCCTAAACTCTATTTTGATGTGAAAGTTTGACCTTGACCCTTTAAACATTGGATCAAGGTAAAAAATTTTGATCACATACACCCTTCTCCTATGTGTCTTCTGCATATTCCAAGTTTGAAGTCTAAATGTCTAAGGTATCTTAAGTTATGTTAAAATAAGACTATTTGACCTTGAACATAGAAAGGGGTCAAGGTCAAAGTTTAGGTGCACTACATCTTGTATTTAATGTCTTCTTTCTATATTTAAAGTTTGAAGTCCTAATATTAAAGGGTACTCAAGCTATTGCCAAAACTCTATTTTAATGTAAAAGTTTGACCTTGACCTTATATATAGATCAAGGTCAAAAATTTTGGTGGCGGACACTCCGCCTTAAGGTCATCTATCTAAGTTCCAAGTATGAAGTCTTCAGGTCAAAGGGTATTCAAGTTACGGCCTGGACAAAATTTGGATGAAGAAGAAGAATAAGAAAACTAGATGAAACTCGTTGCGAGCAACGAGAGGTCTTCCGTCCGATTCAGGAAAAAAAACGTAAAATCGAGCTGAAAAGTAAAAAAAAAAGATTTGCACACAAGGGGGATTGAACCAAAGTCGCCACATGAAATTCCAACGCACTAAATATTACGCTATCGGGACCTCTACTCTAAATCTACTTGTATATATTAAGGAAACAGTGCTTCTCTCTTAAAATTATGAAAGGTGGGTCACTATTCAAATTTTAGCGCCAAACGCCACGAGTTAATCTTCGCCCCTTTTCTTTGGAATGTTCTATTAAATAGTTTTGATAGCTTCAATGAAATTAATAAAAAGAACGTTCTTATAGCCTAAGATTCGAAGTTTAGAAAGTATGTTTAACACATTTTACAATTTCCATATTGTATATATGCATGTAACACTAAAGCGGTGAAACGGATATGATTTTTTTTTCAATTTCCTGTTTATCCTCAAAGTGAACTATCCCGAATAGTTAATCGAAAAAGGTTGAAAAGTTTCGCCGGAAAACATGGCTCGCCACACACCCTCCCTACGACTGTCAGGAATCCGATATCATTTATGCTCAATAACTTGAATCAGGTCTTTAAGACAAGAATGCTAAAATAAACTCCATGAAGCGATCTTAAAAAAAAAATCGTTTTCTTATTTTTGTCTATTTATTTGTTTAATATGACACAAGTGTGCATAGGAAAAAACAGTGGTTAATATTTATACTGACAAAATTAATTGATATTCTTTTTTGAGAAAGTATTACTTATAAGTATGATTTAAGATCTGTTTTTCGGCGATGCACAAGAGATATTAGGTATCGAATTTCATTTGCACATTTAGTCTTTTCTTTTTCTACTTTGAAAACCAGCCAAAACTAATTATAGAAGAAGTTAGTTTGACACAGAACTGCAACGTAAATACGACGTGACAATCCATGTATTCCTTTGTCTTCCATTTATTCTTATGTTACTTTCGTTCAAGCAAACGCTCGGCTGACTCCGTAAACACCTATTGCGAAATGTCGGCGTTGACAGAGACATCCGCCATTTTGGACCCGCTTCAGATTTTTGAATGCTAATATTTAGAGTTTAGATTTATCAACATTCAAACAAATTGTATAGTAAGCACTAGGAGGAGGGTTTCTATTAACATACCAAAAATAAATGAAAAATACTGAAAAACAAAAAAGTTGGAAAATACGATTTTTTTAATGTGCATCTCGTAACGACAGGAAGTATTGACGACGCACGAGAAGGTGATTCTGCAAACCACAAAGTGACAAACTATCGTCTCCAATAAGTCTCCAGATCATATCTTTAGCCATTTTGTGAAAAAGGGGCACAAAATTGCATTTTAAAATCAGGAAATTGTCAATAACTTGGCAGCGAATTTTCCAAATTTCTCTACGGATGTAACAACTTCATATAATAGACATATTTTTTGAAAGTTTCATGAAAAACTGCTGAATAACGAGAAATCGCCTGCACAAAATTTTGTCAAAAAAAAAGAATAATAATAATAATAATAATAAGAATAATAATAAGAAACAATAGAATCACTATAAGGTCTTCCGTGAAGACGGAAGACCTTAAATAAGAAGAAGAAGAAGAAGAAGAAGAAGAATAAGAAAATCGACAAAAACAATATGTCTCCCCTTCGGAAGGGGAGACATAATTATTAACTTTAACCATCAATGCAAAAAGAGATTATTAGAATCAAATCGAGGAGGGGTCTTTAAGATAAAAACTTAAACTTGGGAGACCAGTTTCAACCTGAGAGGGATTTCTCGAACACATATTCTCACCTTGGAGGCATACTTGGACAGCTCCTTTTTGAACTCTTTCTCCTGCTGTTTTAGCAGTGTATTACTGGAGTTCTGGGCCGCCTTGTCTGGGTGTGTGGAGAAGAACGTCTTCTGGGCCTGCTGTAGATCCATCAACTTCTGCTTGTGATGTAGCATCCTCTTCTGCATGGATAACCTTGACCCCCGCACCAGCTTGGTGGACTTGGCCTTGGCATTGCTGGCTGCCAGTGACCCAGCAGAGTTGTGGTCTCCTTGTATGAAGTTCCAGCGATTCGGGAGGGAATTTCCTAAAAACAATTGAGACACATTATGGGTAATTTAAGACACATGCAAAGTTGGTGAGTCCAACCAAACAGGGGAAAATTATTTTTACATGTGGCATAGTTACATGTCATTGTTAACAATTTTATGAACAACTATATTTTCTTATACAATATGTATGATTGAATTTACTGGGACAATTAATTTTAGCAATTCCAAAACCATCATTAATAATGCCAAAATTAGATAACTGCTAGATATTCCAGTTGTACGGCAGTGCTAAGCAATGTGAAAATCAAAACACAAATGTTGGGCAGTGAGAGTGGGCGATACTTACCATTCTCTCTTCTGGCTGCTTTAGAACTGTCATCATTATTGAGAGAGGTGTGGTCTAAACTTCTACACAGGAACAAGAGAATCCAACCAACAAGGGTCAAGTCAATCATTCCTACAACACAGGACAATGTGACTTAGCCTTCAGAGCATAAACTGATATTTTAAATAAATACTTAAGAAATTACATTTCTCAGACTAGTACTTTGCTCCAGTGCACACTATTCCTACCTGCTTGTCCGGCCACCAAGGGAGATAACACTCTAGCTAACATGTCTAGAAGACTTTCCATGATTGAGACAGCGCTAGGTCCTGATAAGGATTTCTGGCCCATTGCCAACAGCAGCACAAACACTCTAAAATAAATGGATGGACACATTTTCAAAACTACCAATAATCCAAACCCAGTGTTAATCAAGTTTACTTTAACTGGTGTTTAAGAATATAGCCCATGTCATGTGTGGCAGAAGTCTATTGAAGGTAAGCAAGAATTTCTTACCTATCTTGTGGAAATATCTGCGAATTTTCAGAATGGAAGAACTCCCTGAGGACGTTTCCCAGGAAGCTTCCCCACCAGGGCTGGCTGCCACACACCCTCATTAACAGCATCCCACAGCTGATCTGAATCTTCTTAGTGCCGTGAACACACAGGTTCTTAAACAGCATCTCGGCGGCCTGGGGACTCATCAGGTTATACAGGGACACGGGGGGCTGGGGGATACTGGCCGAGGAGCTGGTCATGCTGAGGACAACCTCCAACAAGCACTCTTGTACAAACCTCAATTTGTCCGTACACGCGTGCTGGATCCTCTCCACAACACTACCCCCATAGTCAGTTTTGGGCACATTAAACCCTAGCGCCGTGTGAAGTCTCTCGGTGGCTTTCTTGGCCAAGTTCAGCTGCACCTGTAACTGAAGACAGTCATTGTAACTCTGTATGATCTTGTTGTCCTCCTCGTTTTGTTTCTTGCTTTTCTTCAGGAAGTACTGGATGTGAGTATTGGCGAACTGTTGGCCATCCAGCCCCGCCAGTAGAGATTCCAGCCTTGTCCTCGCTAGGCTGTACCGACACTGTATGTCCTCTAGCAGTGACATGTAGATCCCTAGCTGAGCTAACATCTGGGATTGAGTTGGGAGTTCAGACTGGGATCCCGTGGTGGATGAAGACCGCTGCTCCAGGTAGCTGTTCCACTCCCACGGCAGAAGACAGCTGTGTCCGTAGAAAGCACCAATGGGAATTTTGGATCTTGTTGATCCACTTCCAAATCTTCCAATTGTTGTTATCTACACACAAAAATACCATCGATTGATTATCAAAATACATGTAATATATCCTTTTAATTTTCATTTAATATGACACAGGGTAAAGAAATTCCAGATACATGTCTGTACATATGTTCACATAGATTGGTACTTCTTAATTCCTTTATGGAAATCAACTTTTGTCAGCTGAAATGTTTTGGTTCTTTGGCTTTTGAGAAAATAAAAAAAAAGTTCAAATCATCAACATTTAACATTTCTTACCTTCAGATACCTGCATACTACGGGTGGCATGATGTCGGTCATGATAAGTGATCTGACTCCTATATCGGAGGCTACCACAAATCGCTGCCCATCTAATTCCTCCCCCTGTACCCAGACATCAATAGACAGAGAAGCTAGATCCGTACAGGCCGGAATCACCACGTCTGTCAGGACAATAGGCTTCCCAAAATCCAGGGTCACAAACCGACGAGCACCTGTCAAAGATTTACATCAATAAGTCAATACATCATTTATCAATTTCACATAAACAAAACTCCTGTTTATTCATGAATAAACATGAATATTCAATACTGTACACAAGGGAAATTTCTGCCCATTTAATTTTTCCTGATTTCACCCACAGGTGAATTCAAAGAACAAAGTATAACTTCTGAAACAGAATTGTCACTAGGTGAATATGAAATGGGGCAAAACTTTTTGCAAGTGTGAAACGGCAAAACAACCCCAGGCAAAAATAACCCTGTACACAGAAACCAGATATTTACAACTATACAACAGGACCAACTTGTGAGTACAGAATATTTCAGTTTTCAGATATCATGTAAATAAATCCATCAAAGGTGATCACTGTGGACAAACCTGAGTGCATTCTCTCAATGACTAGAACTTGTAGTGGGGGCTGTTGTAACAGAGTCTGGGCATTAGGTAGTCCTCCTAGAGCGGACTTAGCCGAGAAATGTTTATTGTTGTCTGACTTCCCATCATTAGCAGGTGTGGCCGTTCCTTGGCCCTAAAATAGACCACATTTTACATCTCATGTATTTACACAGACTATACTGAAAGATTCTTGTTGGAAAAGTCATTGAATTAGTAAAAATTTTATTTTTAAATGATTTGATAATTTTTAAAAACTTTCAAATATGCAAAAATTTACTATGAACTCTGGATAAGTAGGATTATAAATAAAAACCAGAAGTCTCTGACAAGAGCCTAGCTCTACTGGTTTGTACTTATAACAAATAAAGGTCTCTGACCAGTAGAGCTACAAACACACCCCAAACACATGTCTCACCTGTAAGAAGGTTTCATTAGGTGGGGTCAGTGGGGGAGTGATGACCATTGGGGTGGACTTTGGAGTTGGGGGCATCAACAGGTCACTACTGGTCGCTTTCCCTTCAGGGGGTAAACTCTTCCCTACCTCCGACAAAATCTGCTTAATGTGCATAATCTTATGCTTAAAAGTTGGGTAAGATTTACTACTGAGTTCATGTAAGTGTTGTTTTGTCACAGCCATGCTGGAGGACAGAGAAGCCAGAGTCGAGGCCCCGATATTTCCAGTCGCCTGGGGTGGTATCCCCTCCCCGAAATTAATCGTCCCCGACAATCCTGCGGTCCCTATGGAGGTGCTCTGGGAAGTTGAATTGTTGTCCATGCGCTCCATCTTTGTCCCATCGCTGGTGGAATGACACGTGAAGTGCAGAGGTTCCACTTCCATCAGCCCAAACAGACTGCCTTTAGCATACTCCAGCTGCACCTTCTGGGATTTGTCCGAGGGCGGGTTAAATAGGTCGTAGTAGTCCAGTTCGTCGGTGACTGAGGAGGAGGCAGAGGGGGCCGTCAGGTTGTTGTTGGTGTTCCCTGAGGTGGTGGAGTTACTCCCACTGCTGCTGAGGGTTGAGAAAGACACAGAGGGCACTGTATGCTTCAGGGCCAAGGGCAGCTCAATGTCAAACAGGTCAGGGTCAAATGGATGACCATACAATCCAAATCTGAAGGAAAAGAATGCACATCTTTTACACAATTTTTCTTTTCTGAAATTTTTGTTCTATTAGATTTAGAGAACCCCTTTTGAATTTAAATGTACAATGTACATGTTCAGTAAATATATTCATACAGGGACAATATAAGGCAATTTCTTGTAGAATATGAATAAATATAATATACACAGTATATGTTTTATTTCTAACCTGGATTTAAGGAGAGCATGGATTGAAGACATTTCCATTTTACATTGTACTGTTAAAAAAAATTTTATATACTATTTCAATTTATTGCTACTAATAAAGACTTCAGTTGTGATCGTGAAAAAGTATTTTAAATTTTGATATGGTTGCGGAGACTTGAGTGATGTCCATACACTTAACTCGGTTAATGGCATGTTGTGGAATTATTTACTAGATGAACAATGCCTTTGTCATTAACGAATATTTAATGGAATTTATTTTGTAGAAAGCAGAATAAATATTTTATTGTTTACAGGAGCATTAATTTTTTTGCAAAAATAATCAAAAAAGAGCATGGACAAAGGCTGTATTTTACTGAAGCCACTGGCCATGTCTGGGTCTGCCATCTTCTTACACTGTCTGTAAATATATAGGTAAACTTAGACCTCATGTATAAGCATTTAGTGTCCAAATGTGTAATTATTTGGTTCATAACTACAGAAATATGTAAATGTAGCTTAATGCATAAAAATTTGACAGTTTAACCACATAGAAATTTGCCTATGTACGTGTAGCTTGATCCATTACAGTGTGACAATGAACAAAGATCTCTGCCAAGCTAAGAAATATACTATACTTACTCCATACACATAGCCAGTAGACGGGAACACTTGTGAGCTGTTGTCCTGGTACCTTGTATAAAACAGGCCCTCACCACACTATGTAGATGTGTCTTCAGTGTGTAGGGAATTGTCTTCATTGCAGCTCTGTGTAAAATTATACCAAGAAAATATCAATAACCAAGACTTACTTTTCATGTAATTCATTTCCCTCCTAAAAATCTTAATTAATCAGAAAATATCCAAATATCAATAATTTTTAATTATTTTGATTTGATGTATTTCTTTAAATTAACCCCCTAACCCCCCATCCATTTTTCCCCAATATCATAATCCCAACAATTTACCTCCTAATGGGGTCATTCATCTGGACTCCCGATATCCACAGTAGAATGTCCAGTGCCATGTTCTGATAGCAATCCGAGCTGATCCCACTAAAGACATAACCATCACTCATTCCCACTGCTGACATCAAACGCTCGTGGAACTTCAAGTTTTCTATCATTGTGCTTCTCTGTAGCCTGTAACAAGTCAAATAATGGCGAAATAGAAATGTATGCTGATCAAAGGACATAAAAGTTCTTGTACATCCAACACAAAATCATAATCTATCATTATTACATTTTTGGCAGATTTATTAACACAAAAATTTGTCAAAAGATCCGAGTTATGAAATAATTATGATTTTGTTTTTTATATGCACTCCCTTGTAGCTTGGACATCAGTGATTTTTCCCCTTTTCCCACAATTTTCTCTCATTTCAAGAGTTCCAAAAAGATTATGTTTTTCAAAAACTGTGCACTGTTGAACCAAAAAGAATTTTTTATGTGTGAAAATACCTTTCTTTAGGAATCTGTGTCCTCTTTGTTTTTCTAATGGTCACAGAAATCTCCTGTATCCAGTCACAGCCCCTGAAGTTGTCAGCAAACTTAGGCCTCGGTACAGCTGTCATGGCTTCCTTGACCTTGCTGGTGGGGATAAATATGTCTTTATCAAACGCTGACTTCATAACGATCATCTTCTGTGTCGAGGAACTGGATGATGATTTCTTTTTCATTTCCTAGAAAACAGAATGTTTTTTTTAAATTACAAAGGAAAGCTTCTTTGATCCTGAGTGTATAGCATAGGACCTAAATCTGCAGGTGATCAAGGCTGAAAAATGATCCTTTTTGTATCTTTAAATATTGTTTATTTTTTAATTAGAGCAACATTTCAGATAACATGATATTTACTTCCACTTTCTAATAATGGTTCTCATTCAACACATGCAGTTTTTCTTGAATATGTGAATTTCCCTAGATAGAAAATTGCCAACAACAACTACTGAACTTATCACCCAAAATCCTCTTCCTCCATACAATATTTATAATATCAAGTTAGTGCTAGGGTGTTATCATCAGAACAGAATGTCCACAAGAGTTTTCAGAGACTCCAGTTCCAAGTATCATCATTTGATAACATTACCCTACTCATTAATCATCTTTCCATGGAGTTCTAATAGACTATCCTTTTCTTGTGAAGGCCGTAGCACTTCCTAGGATTGCTTAGCAACACAAATTAATAGAATATTTCTACAAAAAGCTACATAACAAATGTGTAAAACTGATTCCTACCCTTTGTTTTTCATTGTTCTTGTCATCGTTCTTGCTGTGAAACCCTTTGATGTGCAGGAGGAATGCCTTTGGCTTGGTGCTCAACAACTGTGGACTGGTCAGTGTTATCAGGCCACCATTCCCGGACAAGTCCAAAAACGAGGCCAAATTGACCGGCCCGCACAGTATCTCTGCATTGTGGTCCTCCAAAAACTCCGGATCCAAAACACTGTTGATGTTCTCGCCAAATCTGCCATTGGATTTCTCAGTGCAGCTGGAGTTTGTGTTCTCTTCTTCAGCCTGACAGAAGGCATTGATATTAAAATCGATACTTTTGTCTACTTCTGCTGGATGCATTGTGTTGGACTGCCGGCCCAGGGTAGTTACGTTTTGCTTCAGCAGTGTGATTTGTACGTCGGGAGGAGAGGTACACATTGGGTGTAACGAGAACTTGATGTCGACATGGCCCACACAACAGGGACGTGGTAGGACGATTTCAAACAGGTGTTCATCCCAAGTGGAACTACAAAGACACAGTTAACATAAATGTACATCAACTTTACATGTATTTACAACCCATAAAACAATGTAGATAAAGAGTACAATACATATATTAAGGTTGTCCCTAAGAATTGAAATAGAAGGGGACATTTAAAAAGTAGAAGGAGATCTGGGGAACCCCCCCCCCCCCAAATCGAGGGTTTAGGAGGAATATCAAAATAACCATTGTAGGTTGGGAAATTCCCTGGCCAATGGGTCAACTCTGATTTATTAAAACAATGACAAATATTCTAACATATAAAGACCATTTTATCATTGACCTCAAAAGGAAACAAAGTGAGAAGCAAAACTTGAAAGGAAAAGTACATATAAATAAAGCTTAGAACATACCTGTCTGGTTGCAGTTTCCAGGTGCGGGTGTGCTGAGTTGCCTCCCCCTGATGCTGTAGATGCTGAGGGTGGCGCCTCTGTTGCTGTTCCTGTTGTATCTCAGTCCAGCACGACGGGACGGTGGATGTGAATCGTGGCATCAGGTTCTCAAACTGTATCAAATTATGAAGTAGCATCAGGTTCTCAACTGTCAAAGATTTCTTTGCTAGGAGATCAGTACCTAAAGAAAACAACACATTTATGAACAAAGAAATTTATGAATTGAAGTTTTCCCTCTGTATTTTGTACAGAGCCCTATCACTATTCAATCACTTATTAATTATGACCTCCAAGACGAGCTATGAAAATGGTGCAGCTCACATCTGATTCTCAGTCTTTTATTTCAATTTATCTACATTTAATGTGTATCAATGGGCAAAATAATACATACATCTACACTGTCAATATCAGCACTTTAATTTCTATTCCTTATAACACAGATTTTCTCACTGAAATCACACATGATTTTACCTGGGCTATTTTTCTCCAGATGTTCCTTCGATTCTGTAGATTCGGTATTACTGGAGGAGAGATCCGGTTCTAAGCGAGATTCTCCATTACACACTCCATCCGGAACATCCATCAGTGAGCCGGACTCCGATAGAACCGGACTGTCCTCACTCAACTGATAGAAGTGAAGTTTGCCCTCCGCTGAACACACACACAACCTTTCCATACCTAAAACATGTAAAATATGTAGACTAGTTTTACATCACATTTATATTTCATTTTTTTAAACATCTTGGCAACTTATACATAAGTAAGCATTTACATAGCACCAATATTTAAGTAAGCACTGAACTTCCCTCAAAAAGTTCTATGCATTATTAGATTGAAACTTCCCTTCACAAATATTTTTGTGCATAAACAGTTCTATAAGTAAATTAATTTAAAGATTGAAGATACATGTACTTTCAATAATATCAATAGGGGAAAAATATATACATGGGTGCACTACCTGTGCAGTAAGCTGCTGATACAAATTTTTCCTCAGGTTCCGGGGGTGAAATCTCAGCTACCACACTTAAATCATTCAAGTTCAACAACCACAGTTTTCCATTACTCAGCGTAACAACAGCCTGGCCAGGAACATGGTACGCCATCTGGGTGCTAGCACTATTTGTTGCCAGTGACTCTGGGCCCGGACTCTCTTCCTCTCTCTCTTGGTACTCACTAAATTCCTGTGGTAGCACAATAACACTAGTGACGGATAGTTCAGCCTGTTCTAGGTACTTTGTGACCACTGGGGTCTCCTCCAACTGTGCGTAATCCTCGCTGAATTTATACTTATACAGCAGGACACAGCCTCCGAGACATTGATCGAGCGAGCTCGACAGCTCTGAAATGTTTTCAGAGGAATTCGCTATCGAGTTTGAACCATTGTTTACGTTAACCGGTAAACATTCATCACATGAACCCGAAGCCTCGATAGTGGGAGAAGAATCCGAGATCACGGAAACAGATTTGCTTTTCGTAGAAGACTTTGAGAGTCTATCTGCTGGTGAGACTACAACTAGAATGTGCTGTCCGTCTAATATAGGAGAGATAGTGGAGACTTTGAACCTGTCACTTTGTAATCTCTGTGGAAGTTCCACACATTGTAAAACACTCCCGGTCTTCGTGTGTCTACTGGAACCAGAGGGCTTACTGACTGTGGGAACCTTGGCATCGGGCACTGAGTTAGACATTCCTATGCTCGGACCTTCTGATGTTAAACTCACCGGCCCAGGGGTTACACCGATCAACATATCGGGGTCAGAATCAAACATGGGGTCCATCAAACTGAAGTCATGATTCATCATGGAAATGGACCCTAAATTTGGCACAGCGTTTAAATTATTCAAACTAGCACTACTTGGTAGCATCCGCTTTTGTTCCTTCTCTTTTTGCTTCATCCCCTTGCGCACGTCGTCCCTCAGGGCCAGTACCAGCAGATACGGAATGAAGACCGTGGACTGTAACAGTTCATTGTCTACTAACTCCCCCTCCCCACAGAAGCTTTCCTCCTCTGAGGATATGATCTGGGGAGAGTCACTGCTCACCACTTCATTCACTTTGTTCATCAGTTCCACCTCCTCTGTTTCACATTCCACATTGTTCTGTTCCAGAGGCAAACTCATCCTCGTCCTTCTTAGAGACACCCCACAGAAGAGGGTGGGATGGGGTTTCGATCTGGACTTTTTCTTGGCCTTTGAGATCTTAGCTCCATTACTTTTTTCTGTTGAGCTTTTCTCTGTCACAGGTTTCCTTACAATACACATGGACTTTACTAACACATCTTCACATGGTCTATTCCTAGTTTTTAGTCCATCTAAACAAAATATAGAGGAAAAAATTGAATATTCTTATTAACTGTTTTGCAATAAATTTATAGTCTTATATTTGATTTAACAATAAAGTTCCGTCATTGGTGAGACAGACTATGAATTCCTCTCTTAAAGGATCAGGATTTTTAACTCTCTGATCAGTTCATACAATCTTTATGATATGTATCTCAGTGCAGATTCGTCTCAATATTAACTTCTTGAGATTTCATTTTTTTTTCTTCTTGACCAACCATAGATTTGGTTACATTTTTAGTTTTAAAACTTACATTAACATTTTTTAGTTTAGTTTTAGTTGCTTACATTTTTAGATTTAAAACAGAAATCTACATTCCACTTTGAATTTTTTTACTAATATATCATTTAAATCATTATTTTTGCTTTTCTTTTCAATACAAACTAACCCGATTTATCCAGCTTCTCTTGTGGCAGTTCGTACAGAGTTTCTGCGGTGCTGTTTGTGGAGGTGGTGGCAGTAGATGGTTCACCACCACTTTCCGTAGAAACACCATTCTCTACTTTCTTCACAGTATTCTCAGGCTTGGCATCAGTTTCATCATGCAAAGATTCATCACTGCAATTTTAAGACATTTATCTTATCTATTTGCTAAGAAACTTCATTCTTCTGAGTGTTTTATTTCTTTTATTACATTGTATTTCTTTATCCAAAATTTACTATAAGGAAGAATCTGGGTTTGCAGTAGTGAAAAGGCAAGTTATCCCTGGCTTTTTAAAACAAATTAAATTCCTCTCATATCTCAAGTTTACAGGGAGATTGACCCACAATGTCCAATTAGCTAGTCAAATGAAATTGTCTATTTTCCCCTTAAATCTGTCACAACATTTTTAAGCATGCCTAACACATTCTTATTTCCTGATTACTGCCAGAACTCGACAAAATGTTAAACAATTCATCATAAACATACAAGTAATTTCTTACAATTCTCTTTTATCAATAGACTTTGTTATAATTACCCATCTACAGCTTTGGGAGATCTTTCAGACAGCCTCTCGATCTGAAGTCCTGTCTTCAAGGCTATCACAGGGTTAGAGGGATCCAAATTAAACTGGCAGTACTTCTGTAAGCAATAAAAATCACTTTTGGCATTTTAATTTATTCCCTTTATTTAAGAAGTACCTTTCATAAAGTATACATGTATATCAAAAAATGTATACAAGATTTACCTTTAGTATTTTATCTACATTCCAAACCACTATATTCCCATTCAGAGTTGATGTTGCTACAAAATTTTCTGTGGCAGTTGTACTCATACACTCAATCTAAGAGACAAAAAAAATCATCTGATTAGGGTTCTAGACTTAAAATATTGAAACTAAAAAAAACAAAAACAATGTAAATCAAATCACACACATTCTACTTTGAACCACATATGCACACACATGTAAAATATACATATTCTGTAGATCACTAAATTTTCACGACACTTTATTTTTGCAAGATAGTCATTGACTCTTAAATAACAAGACAAAATTTTCACGATATGTGGTTATTGCTCTATATAATCTTAAGGAATACCATTATACGTGAGAATTAAATTTTAAATTTTTGCGAGCACACTGTCTTGCGAAATTCCAGGAAAATAAAGTTCTTGTGAATAAAAATTGATCTACAGTTTATGTTTGGTACATGCATGTTGAAATGTTACCAAGAGGCAAGTTAAGTATTTCTTAAGGAAACTTTCTTTGTCACCTCAATTGCAGAAATTTATAATGAAGATTAAGGAAGTAACTGAGAAAACTGACCTTATCATCATTTTCACTGTGTCTTTTTGCAGGCTGGCTACCATAGGTGACTGAAATCAAAGTAATACAACGTCAATGATTAATAGCAGGAAAAATAGGAATTAATTAGTGTGATCACATTTGTACAGTTCATTTTGTTGTGTAATGTCTTTTAAAAGATGTGTTTTAATATTAGAATAAAATCATGTCACAAAAAGGCACCATAAATTCTGATTTAAAATTCCCCGTTTTAACAAACCATATGCATATATATGTTACTTTTAAACACAAAATCATGGTGTAATTTCCTGTTATATTTAAATAGCATCTACTCACCTGCGAGTGGAACATTCTGAGTGTACTCTCCCTTAACAAAGGGACAGGTTGGTGAGTGTCGCTCGTGCTCAGACCAGGGCTCGTCTGTCGGCTCCCAGCACACCAGACACACGTTACAGGTAAAACACATTGCACGGTCATCTCCCATTGAGTTTGGTTGATGGTAAAATCCAGCCTGGGACATTGGATCAGGCAATGCCCATCTGTAAGACAAAATTTTTAACCATGTTTACTATTATCTTCAATTTTAATTGCATCCTTTCCTAAATGATATTTACAACTTCACAAAATCGTTGATTTCAAACTTTTACTCAAAAAGTAAAATTAAGGTGGACTCATTACAAAAGTACATATACGTACAAAAATAGCTTTCTAATGAGCATTGCTAGTCTAAGAATTCTGAGCATTGTTATTATGAAAACTGTATCATTAAAAATATGTACAGCAACGAGAAAATTTTCAAGGAAACACTTGAACAAAAGATTTACTTGTAATTCATGTGAGGCCATGTCCTGAAGGTTTTCTGCCGTGCCACTTCGCTGTACATCATGGACCTCTCCACGGTGCTGCTCCACCCCTCCCCGTTGTTTGGGAGGAGGTAGTTCAGTCTGTCCCCAATAGCTGAGGCCACAGACAGACCTGGATTGTTCATGCTAAGCCTCTTCATCTCGTTCACCAAGCCTGTACAAACAGCCTTGAGTGTGGTGAGTGGTAATTCCAAGCAAATAGTGGCCCACTGAAATTAAATACACAGTTGTAGATATTGGTTAGGGATTTAGAAAGCAACAACTGTTATTTTCAACAATCCTTGTCCACCTACAGAAATGAAAGTTGAAATTTCAGCAAAGTTTTCAATCTTTCTGGATTTTTAAAGGTATTTTTGATGTCAATTTTGATTTTTATTAAAAAGTTAGGCCAAGCTTAAAAAATTCTTTGTTTGCAGTTGCCGACCTATAATTTTTAGTCTGAGTAGGTAGGTAGGCAAATTTTTTTTTTTTTGAAAAAAAAAATTGTTTCCAGATTTTTGTTAGATAACATAAAATAGAGTTTTTCATAGACCTACTATACATCAATAAGCTGCACTCTTGGTATAAACTAATAATTGATAAAGACAAAAATTGAATATGAAATAGTTTTAATATCCTGAAAAATTGGAGAGAAAAAATAATATTACAAAATGGCTTTAAAAAAAAGTTTGGGTTGGGTGCATTTTCAGTTGGTTGGTCGGCAACTGCAAACAAACAATATTTTATTTTAGGCCTTATCTTAGAATCTTAGAAATTTTAAAATTAGTTTGAGCTTTAAAATTCCTGAAATAATCAAAGATAGATTGACAAGCATTACTTTTGCTGCTTTTAAGTGGCCTTTTGTTGCCTCTTGAACTGCATCTATCTTCTTCTCTAGCTCCTTACAAACTTCATCAACATGATCTATCCCAGGGAGTTCTGCATTCATTAATGCCTTGTGGAACTGTCCAGCCTGTAAACAAAACATTTTTTAAACAAATTAAGGGAATTTTGTGCCAAAATACCAGCAAAAACTGTACACTGCTGACTTATTTCCTTCAGATACAATCATCATACATCAGCTATATATAGCCTTGCATTTTATTCTTTAACTTCAAATGAAAAATCAATTAAATTTACCCATGATTCAATCCCCTTATAAAACAGAAAGCAATTAACCACTGTCCTCCCAAAATACTCAATTCAATTTCGGTACATATACATAAACAGATAAATTCCAAATCTTAAACATGCTGCTTCGTAACACTAGCTAGGTTCCAAAATATTTTTACTAGATTTCTTTCCTTACCTCGGCAAGTGGAATTTCCACTTTGACTTGGTCCTCTGATTTGTTGATGGGTGTCTGCAAAGCAGTGTCCAATAGGAGCATACCTCGCAGGTCATTTCTAGCACCCACTGAATAATCATCAGCAAATATCACCTTGTCTTTTCCAGGTAAATATATGGCATGAATGGCATCACTTGTATTTGCTGCGATCAAAAGAAACGTATTAACATTACTAAGTGATATTAATGTAAAAACTAACAACATGTGACAAAATGAGTAGAATTTCTTTCAGTTTGGTGTAAAACAGCTCAAATAAACCATTATTCTTTTCATAAGGAAGATCTATCTATAAGAAAACAGAATTTTCTTGCAATATAGATTCTTTCTAAATGCTAATCAAACTATGTCTGAAAAACTACTTCTCAAGATAGAAGAAATGAACTTGAGGATTTTAAAGAAATTGTCCTTTCAAATAAATACGTAAAATTTTACATAATCAGCATTTATGTTCTCTCCGATATATTTCACAATGTTATATCACTATACCTGACAGATCCGATTTTTGCAATAAAGCACCCGAAGCAACATCATATATTTTTACAGATGGTTCTTTTGTTGATACTATAATTGAATTTAAGGCGGAGTGGTACGTGACGGCACTGGCAGATACTCCAACAGATATACAACCGTCTTCTCCGACATACCACTGTTTTTCAGTGGCAGCCATCTTCTTTCCCTAAAGTCAATTCTCGTTTAAATGACATCATCATATGGTTTCGTTTCTTTGTTAAACATATTTCTATCGCAATATTTGAAATAAATAATAGTTAATGATTAAATATATTCTAAATTGGTTCAATAAGATGGAGCCAATATATCTATATTCAAGACAACAAACCAAGATCGAAACGGGAATAAATTGTATCACGTGACTAGAATAACGTGATTTCATTTTTCAAGCGTCTCTGTAATCTTGATTATTTACATGCTGAAACAGCATCGTCACGATTGTGATTGTCAACCAGCACATGCCAATCCAACAATCTAAAGTTTTCTGAATAGAAAATGGAGAAGTTTAGCGTAGTAACACAAAGTCAAGTTAATGTGCGAGTCACGAGCTCTGCAAATTCATTTGGGACAGAGAAAAGATTCCCAAAAGACTTGACAATTGCAGATTTTAAGGTTTGTGATTGTTGTCATCGGGTCTAGAATATTCCTTGACGATTTTATGTTTAAGGACCCTTTATACACTATACACCCTAGAGGGTTCTGATAATCATACGGTCTAACAGCTAAGGTGATCTGCGTTAAATGAAACTCATACAGTACTGCATATTTTTTCTACTTCTCTGTTCAGCTGATGTTAATTTATGAATATTTCCTGATAGAATGTGTAGAGTACCTGAGCATTTACAGAGAGCCATATTGGTCTGTACTGCTTTCAATGCTTGTATACTACGTTCAGTTGTGATGTCACATTCTCTGCTGAGTGGTCTCTCCGTTTTCATGACATATCGATCACATACATTTACAATTGACATCGTCACCTGCATGGAGCAGTGGTTAGAATGTCTGCTCTAGGGTCGCAAATTACGGAGCTATCCTGACGTCGCAGGTTCGAATCCCACTGTGGGGCGTGAAGTCCGGTCCTTCGGATGAGACTGTATAAACTGCATGAATACACAGCAGGCGCTGACACGAAAAACTTCAAAAAGTTCCCTTGCTGCTCAGTGTCGTAAATGTCCAGTATAAGACAAAATTTGCAGCTCTTCAACAGCAAGTTGTGGTATCTCCATATGAGTGAAAAGTCCTCTAGAGGGACGTACAAAATATGAACAAAACTTATGAATAATAAGATTTTATAATGTCTTCTCCACAAGTTGACACAAGGTTGTGAGCTTTAAAGTTGTTGAAATTGGAAACCTCAGAAAACAATATCTAATTAACAGACCTGTTTACTCTTACGATTTCGCCGTATTTTGTATGGACTTTAGTCTAAAATATGTCTCACGTTTTGCCATTGTGAAAATACGGAAATCGGAAATACATTAGTTTGGAATTTAACAGTTAGTTTTCGCTATGATCTGTCTTAGTTTCACCCTTTTTATCACTAAACAAGACTGCTGGCTGCACCACTTTGCGCCACCTTGCTGCACTCGCTATTAATAATAGAGAAGATTTCAAACACATAAGTGATGTCAGGTTTCCAAAACGCTGTGGTACTATTAAATGACAAAGACCTTGTTGTTAAACCATGTTTTTGTAATCAGAAAAGCAGTTTTTTTCTTTTTATAATATATGCAAAATTGATGGAAAGTGAAATCTTACTGGCAAATGGCAAATCTCACAGAAAAATCTAATAAAAAATACTGAGAGATAACGATATGGGTAAACAGGTCTGAATTAATCAAACTCTCTCTTTGAAGAACAAATTTGTTGTGACCAATGTTAATTTAAAAGTTGTTGAAATTGGAAACCTCAGAAAACAATATCTAATAAATCAAACTCTGTCTTTGTAGAACAAATTGGAGCTGTTAACAGGGTCAACACCTGGTAACATGAAGCTGGAAGTTTATGATGCAGATAACAAGTTAGTGTGTAAATTAGACAATGATGATGCACTCCTAGGTTCTTATCCAATAGAAGATGGAATGAGAATACATGTAAGTTGCATACTTGCCAACCTCCAGCATGTAAAAATCTGGTCATGACCAGATTTGGAAAGTAAAAAATCTGGTCATAACGCGTAACGACATTCACGACATATTTACCATGATTAAATTTTATACATATATATACAAAGTATTTGAGTATTGAGAATTCTTTTATTGAAAAAGGATTTAATTTACTATGACAAAAAATTCATACATAATTTGATTTAAATTTACATGTTAAAAAAATGGAAATTGAAGGTTTCTTGTATTAGTATTGACCTGAAGTAAGTGTGCATTAAAGCCTTTTCAGTTTCTGCTAAATTTGAAAGAATACCAATTTCAGTTTTAAAGTTATTTTTCCTCTCTCTTAATTAATTAACTACTGCTATATGTTTTAAATGTGAAGTTAGGCCAACACTGTTATCGATCATTTTATTTTGTCTAGAATGAAAGTTTTTTTTCCGAGATTCCTTGATATGTAGGCTACATAAATATCGTTTCTCTTGGTAAGTTGGTTATATCAGAGACATGTGTTTAGTTCAACTTGTTCCTGTTGGCCCTGATAACGATTTAGTTCTATCGGAAGCCATTTTAATTGACTTCAAACATTGTTTTGTCAAAACAACACCCTGTTAATTGTTAACACCTGCACTGATAATTAATCCATCGGCATTGTTTACGTAGATCTAAGCTTGGGTTGTAACTGGAAGTTAAAAGTGCAACCTAATTTCGAACCAAATCCGGAACAAATCGGGAGATTTTCGGGTTGATCGGCAAAAATCGGGTGATAAGCATGACCCGCCGGGTCATAAAAAATAATCTGGTTACGGGTTGAAAAATCAGGTGTGACCCGACAAAATCGGGTGAGTTGGCAAGTATGGTAAGTTGATAAATATCTATGATCCTTCGAGTTCTTGTTCCTTCTGAAAAATTATCTGATCGGTATAGTATACCAATATACTCATGTAAGTAATTTCGAAGATATTTTTTAAAAGTCATCATTTTCCACAGTAAATCCACATATCAGATTCAATCCAGATGGATTGTGCATCCATCACCGAATTCAAAAAGTAACCTCTTCTTATTTATCTGTAAGGTTATAGATCCAACAATTAGAATAGGCGAGTTTGAAGACGTCTCCAAAGTGCAAAAGTATGAAATGTCTGAGGATGACTATGCCCAAAAAAGAGGTAAGTGCTCAAAGTAGCATTTCATTTTGTTAAATAAATTTCTTTGAAGAGTTGATTCCTGAAAGACTTTTCAGTCTGCAAAAAAGTCATCAAATACTTTTATTTTCAAGGATGTAAAGAAAATTTTTTTTTACTAGTTTAACAAGCTGAACAAGTTAAGGAAATTACTACCAGTAGTGAATGTAAGATTAGTATTTTTTTTTAATGATGTTGGCAAAGTTCATATAAGTATTCCTTTGAATTAGAATTAGAATACAGAATTGAGTTCGAATCATCAAATTGTTATACGTAGATGCAAAAAGTATCTGCTTACTTACCAAACTGCAGGATCTGACCTACATTTTCCTTTGTTTGATATTAGAACTATAAGCCCTATTTGGACCAAACTTGCATGGATGATGCATCTAGGGATGTACACTCATCCATGAGAAATTTGAACCACATTTAAGCATGCTTATATTAGGGATGTCAAAATATTAGTTTTCCGTAGTCGAACAATCGATTGCATTATTAACAGTTACGAATATTTGTTTACACTATACATATACATATTTTTCATTTTAGAAATGTGTATATATGTAAGGGGTTAAACACAACTTGTACTAAATATAAGAAAATATGATGTGAGATTTGCATTACTTAAACTGATAACATTCGTCGAGGTGAGCTTCGTAATCTTTGATTACCTATGTTTTGATAGCACAGTGTTTATGAATGCTTTTCAATTGAAAATTTGAAATAAAGTGGATAGACTGATTGATTAATGTTTTACACCGAATCGGCAATATTCAGCCATATATCGGCGATAAAAAGTAAATCACGTGGCCAGTTTTTAAAGTTTTGGGTTTCTTTGATGGCCCCCAATGAGCCTACTCTTTTTCGAAAATCAGGGAAACGATCTTTTGCGTGCCAAGGGGGTTGTAATCCTTGACATGGGTCACGGGGTACCATAAAATTGGAAAAGGGGAATTGTTAAATACTGTTTGTTCAATTAATGATTGCCTGGAGCTATCAAAATGTCATTTATGTAAGCTAATGTTCTTGTTTTAATAATTATCAAAGTTTAAAAACCTCACAGCTATGTAAAATATTGTGTGTTCCTAGCATTTGAAATTCCTAGAGTTTATAAATACAATTGGTACAAGTCAATTAAATAATTTTCATAGTCCAGTATAGCATTGCATAATTTACTACAATAACAAAAAAGTCAGTGATTGAAAAATAATTACTGTATTTTCCATATGTACAATGTGAAAAATTATTTAAATACTTTTACTGTGTTTGAGCTTTTATTCGTCTGAGGACATACACTATATAGTTTGAGGAAGGACGCTTTTCAATTTTGAGATGAGAATTTCATTATCACCTCCTTTTCTTGCATTTATGTAATATTGGAATGTCGTTTCATTGTTCGATCGTCGGTCCATTCGACTGATAGTCGAATAGTCAACTATTCATTGACATCCCTAGCTTATAGGCTAGCAATCATGCTTATAATGAAATTGACACTTACAGGGACTGAATTTCAAACTTTGCTTTTAATATATATTGTAGGTATAACAAATTACATTTATATAGAAGTAAAATCAGCCATTCCTGGCACTTTGCTATAAGTACATGTATGTTTTTCTGTATTTAACAGATTCTGTTCGAGCTTTTAAGGAAAGAAACAAATTAGGGAGATTCAAAGAGGTGGATCCAGAGGAGCAGAAGAGATTAGATGAGGAAAAGGAAAGGAAAGAGCAGGAAAACAAAGAGAAAGCCGAGAGCATGAAAACGGGGGACAGGTACAGGGGAACTCTGTCTAATAGGAAATGTCATAAAGCCTTTAAAAACCAATTCAGTCTTAGGACAATTGAAGTTAGACCAAAAGAAAAAAAAAAACATTGCATTTGATTTTTCAATGTTAATTAGTTGTCTTGTTCGTATATTGAATTTTAAGTTAAACTTGGATATCCAAGACTCTCTGATGGTACCTTTTTTCTGTTTAGATGTGAAGTAAGAGTCCCAAATCAACCTACAAGAAGGGGTACAGTCAAATATGTAGGTAAGTAAAAATAATTATTCATTAATGCCAGTGTTTTTCACACAGTTTCCAGTTTTTAAAATGACAACAGCTGTTTTGTTTCCCATAAAATTCATTAAAAATAGAAATATATTTTGGCCTCAAAGTCAGGGTCAATTCTGTTGATTTTATAAAGTCCCATTAAATTTTTTCAGATTGCGAAGTGAAAGGTGAAGGCCTATGTCATTGTATTTGAAACATCCCATCTTGATTAAGCAATGTGTATGAAGCCAAAAGATGATAGAAAGTGTAGCTTATTTTAACTTGTGACACATTTTTTAGTCATAAGTTACTTATCGTTACTTAAAGTAACCAATGATTATGCGTTATGAACATTTTTAACTGAAGTCTGTTTTTGCAGGTTTAACAGATTTCAAACCAGGATACTGGGTCGGCATTCATTATGATGAACCTGTGGGAAAAAATAATGGAAGGTAAGTCTTATACTTGTACAATTAAAACAGTGAAGGGAAGAAACAAGTGGTCCTACAATAAGTGTTATTTTCTCTGAAACTCTCAGAGACATTCTCAGAAAGTCTAGGAAACCTTTTTTTGGGAGTATTTGAAATATTGACTATGAGATGTGTAAAGGGATAATATTTGAGTTAGATGGCCAGATCCCTTTGATTCCTTCTTCAGTTTAGTAGGGTTTTTATGAGACAGAAGCAATAGGTAATATTGTGAGTACTTAGCAGATATCTAACTTACTACATGTACCGTTCTTTTGAGGGGGAGTCGAGACAGCTCTTAATCTCGCAAGATTTCTGGGGCACATGACATTGTTTACAGTAGTGACAATCAAATGATTCAAACAATTTTATGCAGAAAGAAAAATGCAATGCCAAGAATTCAACTCCAAATAGTAGATTGTCAAATAAGCAAAATTTAGAATATTTTATCAGCTTTAAAATGTGACAACTTTCAATGAATATTTTATTGGAAGAGTCTGCATAGTTAAAGATATGGTAAAAAATTTAACATTTTAGGATTAGCTCCTGTCAAAAATGATTGGGCTGGTTCAGCGATTGTATAGCAAGGTATTCCACCAGGATTTTTTACTTATCTGTCCTTATAAATTCTACAATGATCGATCTTGCATTGTATTCAATAGCACAGCCCCCCCCCCCCCCCCCCCCCCGAATCTTTGATTCAATAGCCCCATCCAACAGATGTTTTCTACCTCCATCGCGAAAGAGTTCCGCTAAGTTAAGTAATTGCGATATCAAGTATTAACTGATGCTAGTTGTAAAACAAAGCAAAGTCTAAATTTTCACTTTTCATTTCATATGATTGTGTTTAGGCCTAAGCCACATAATGTTTATAGAAATTTTTTTTTCTCTCTGTTCAAATTCAATGAATACAGTATCTTTTTGTCATAAATTTCCAAATTTAATAAAAACCTAACTTATAAATTGAGCCTTATTGAGGGTTAAATTAGAATATTTTTGGCAGTTTACTGTTAGTTGGAAGACAGAAAAAAGTTCATATTTACAAAAGTCCTTCCAAGGACCCAATATGATGTGCCATTATCTTCCATTATATATTATGTGTATTCTCCCAATTTACCTGACCTTTTTAGTGACTTTTACATGAATTAATTTTTTTTTCTTTAAAATTATCAAGGTTTAATTTTTACTTTTCAGTGTTGGAGGTAAGAAGTATTTTGAATGTCCTGATAAATACGGAGGGTTCGTTCGACCTGAACACGTGGAAGTAGGGGATTTCCCAGAGGAGGGTCTGGATTTCAGTGACGAGGATGAAATTTAGGAACTTTTAAAAAATTTCAAAAAATGTGTTCTAGAAGTGTATATGTTCAAGGTTGAAAGTGCTTCAAGTCAGCTGTAGTGGTTGTAAAATGAAAATATTACATTTAATTTTCTTGCAAGGTTTCAAAACATGAAACTTAGCTTGCTTGCATTGTACTTTTCCTGCACAAGTACATGTATTTACACGATATAAGAAAATATTTTGTTGATTTAATTGTAGATCTTTCTGTCATGCAAAAATTATTATTTGCTGATTTCATTACCCTTTTCATTCAAAACCAGATTTATAAATTTTTGTATTTTGTATGCTACTTATGCAAATGTTTATTTGTGACTCAGTGTGAACAAAAGAATAGAATTGTGAACAGTGGATATGCCATTACACATTGATACTGGACACATAATAAAGCTTATTATGACGAAAATTGTATGTATGTTCTAAAATTAATTAATTATGATAACAATATCAAACTTTTATCTGATAAATGCATGGTAAGCAATGTTAAGCATTGCAAAGGGAAAACAAGATGTGTTTGTGAAACATATGGCAGCTTATAGCAGAGTTAAAGTTTTGCAAATACTAGTCAAACTCCAAGGTCAAGGTCAAATTTGTTGGTATCCAAAGGAAGCCAAGGTCATGTCACAAGGAATACACCTGTGAAATATGACAGCCCCAGTATAGACTACTTACTGTTCCAAGGTTTAAGTTTCTTAAACATTGGGTCAAACACTAAGGTCAAGGCCAAAAGGTCAAAAAATATTTATACCCTTTGAAAGATCTTGTCACAATTAATACTTTTGTGACGTATGAAAGCCCTAGCACCAACTGCTAAAAAAATATAGCCAAGTTTGGAAATTTTTGGTGTAAAAGTGGGTAAACTCCAAGGTCAAGATCAGGAGGTCATATAAATTTAGTGGTATACTGTACCCTAAGAAAAGTCTTGTCACACAAGGAATACACCTGTGACCCCCCCCCCCCATTGAATTTTTTATTACGGGGGCATAAAAACAACTTGTTAAAGATTTACAATATCATTCTCATTCCCTTGGTTCACTAGTAAATTATAATAGCTCAGCAACTTGTTTAGTCTGCATATGGATAGTGACAAAATTGGTGACAGTACAGGAAAGGAAATTGATGGATTGAAAGTTTTTTTTTTATTGGGCACACAATTATTTATTTTCTTGATCCTTGATCATATTGACCATCTAAAAGTATTTTATTTGCTTTTTTTGGCAACATATAGCTTCATTTATCAGCTTATTTAGTAAAATTTTTTAATAAGTTTCTAGATTTGGATTTTTCATTATTAGCATTTTTATTATATATACTAAAGTGCCATTGGGCCTCTTGTTATGAAATGTGATACCCCCTTCCCCGTGTATAAATCGTTAATACCCGAAATGTTTAAAGAAAACCTTTTTTTGGAAAACACCTGTGAATAAAAATGCATGAAAAGATCGAAGACCCTGAATCACTTTTACATTCACACGATGCGTGTTCTTTGCATAAATGTTTTGTTTACTTGCTTGTTGAAACCACTTAGGGCAATGGTCAGTATTTGATACGAATTTTGAAATTCCGCCTCCAATACACAGCTATTAGATCAAAATCTGGAACACAAACCACACACAGGGCACTGAAACCCATAACCAGCAGAGCGATTCCTGCATCTCGAAAAGACAATCGATTTTATTGTGAAATCTCCTAACATATAAGTGTATATATATATATAAAGTTTTTGTGGTCAAGTTTGATAAGCAGGTCCCGCCTATACGTGTCCGGGATTTTACACATATACCTCGGAGCATTTACCCTCTAGAGGCTGATCACAGTGAAATCGCTGTGGGCTATTGATTTTTTTCAAAATGGAAAAAATGGAGAAAGAATTAGAAAAAGTAGATCCACGCGGTAAGTATGAATAAAATATTTTTAAGATTTATAAGACGGAAGCTCTTTCATGCCTTTCCCTTCTACTACTGCTACATTTTAAAGATTATTGTGATTACATGCAAGTTATCGAACTGTAATTATACAATGGTATATATGATAATATATAAAATATAACAACATACAATTATACCTTTGCAAGCACGAAATTATTTCAAAAATATTAAGCCACACCCGTTTTCTTTTTTCATCGATTCATATAGGTCTATATTTTCTTGTGTAAACATATTCGAGATTTCTTGGTTTAAGCTTTCGATTGCGATAACGTTGATCAATGTAGGTCATTATGTCAGCAGGCCGTGGCCTGTCCAGTTGTATAAAAAAAAATTTCGGCGGGGGTGGTTTCAACAAATATTTTGACATGAAATGTAGGTGGGGTCAGTAGTTAGTTTAAGAGGTGCGCACTTGGTACCTTAAATTCACCCCTGTTTATGCTAATTTTCACGACTGTATACCCATACGATTATAATTTTTCTCAGTTTGAATTATTTATTTATAACGTACACCATCAAACATGAAATATTAATTTGTAAAGAAATAACTGGAATGAATCTATAAGATCTGTTTTTCCAGTTAGTCATGAAAAAAGGATGATAAGTAATAAAGTCAACGCAATCAAATTGATATATTTTTAACGAATTTAATTCCTTTAATTTCATTTAATAATTTTATTTATTATAAATAAGAGAAGTATAGGCCTGGAAAATTGAATTTTAAAGTACCAACTATAAATGATAGCGATCAGTTTGAGAAAAATAATGGTATTTAGTCATATACCCTCTTAATCTTTTGTAAAACTTAAAATTATATATACATGTAACGTACATGTATACAGAAAGAAAGAAAACAACAAAAATATTAAAAAATTCGTGCATTGCTATTACCCCCCCCCCCCCCCTGAAAAAAAATGCCAGGATTAATATTTGTAATTGACATAAAATATATTACAAGGTATATATATATATATATATATATATATATATATATATATATATATATATATATATATATATATATATATATATATTTCAATTAGGTGTATATATATATAGAAAATTATTATGATACAATAAATTTGATTTATTTATGTCATTTTTTAATCCAGAAAGAGAGAGCTGCCTGTCATACATTAAAATGATGTCTGCGGTTGTTCTATTTCTCGGAGTGTGTAGTATTGGAGTCGGTATCGCCGTGCTGGTCCTTCTTGATGGCGCCAAGTACCCTATAACAACGGGAACAGGGATCTGGATGGCAGCCAATGTAAGTGTTTGCAATGGGGACAGTCATAGTTTTCCCCCTCTCACTTCAAATCAATTGGCTAATGTCGATCATCACAACTATAGGTACACGTGACGAACGTGATTCCACACCAGAACGATTTAGACCCCCATAACTTTTCAACCTTTTTGCACATAAATTATCTTTGAATGACATAATTAGTATATACTCCATACCAAAAATTCGAAAAATTGAATATAGTCTACTAAAACATGAAGTTTTATTTAATTTGTATATATAATAGAGTGGTATATACAAAAGAAATGATAGTTTTATATAATTTTCAAATTGATGGTAATTTAAACTTGTAGATTATATCATAAATACCAGTGTAATTCTTAGATAATTTATGAGAAGAATGTCTTTTCAAAAGATCCGGGGTCTATATTTAAACGGGGGTGGGGGGTTCTCCTTTCCTCAAACATTTGTAAGAAATCCCATTTTTTTCCTTCGTTGTAGATGGAAACGTATATAATATATACATACAAAATATTAAGACATATAAAAAACAACGCGAGGGAATACACTCACTAGATCAATTTCCGCTGATCATGTAACTTTTAAAATATGTTTTTCAGCATATAGCCTTTGGGTGTGTGGGCATTGCTGCTGCCATGACATCAAGTGAGATTGCACAGATGAAATTGGTAAAGTTTATCAATTTTTTAATATTTACCCCATCCCTAATTTAGAATTATCTTTATTTCCAGAAGTGTGATATTTCATTATTGTTCAAAATCGTGTGCAGACTCATGTCCCTTTATTATTTTGGTATTTTTTTTATGAAGATTTAAAAAAAAAAAAAGATCTATCCATGATAAGGATTGTTTGTTTGTTTTGTAATCAATACAATACGGGCCCCTTTTTTTCATGCCAATAAATAAACTGATTTCTTATGATAAAAGATTTCATCAAAAATATGATAAAAGATTTCATCAAAAATATCAGAATATACTCTATAGCACATTGTAGCACATGTCTCAAAATACCATTCTGTACGAAAAATTGTTTTTATGCATGTATACATCTAAGTGCTTCTTCAGTAAACATGGTACCCGGAAATATGTAAATACCCCGGTATTATGATAAATAATTTTTAAAATTGTTCATTAAAAACTGATTCCTCTCTCAAGTATTTTGTAATGCTGGATTTTCTTATTGAAAATATGCCTATCCCCTGTTTAGTCTTCAATATTAACATCTGTTGAAATTCACATCGGTTCTTATTTTGCCTCTTTAATAGTAGACCTATTTTGTATTCTTATGGAGCAAAATTTAATTATTAAAACAATTCTAAATGGAAAGAAATCCCTTGCATTGTGAAACGTCCCTCTGTTCGACATTTAGATGTATAGACGATTCTTAAATTGATAAACTATATTCATTTTGATTCTTACATTAATTTGATGTCTCGCTTAAATGAAAATAAAAGACATGACAGTTTCACAATTCTAGTTTATAGTTATTTTTATAAGAAATAGGCATTGGTGGATGACTAACAGCTAATAAGTATTCTTCATTATTAACTTGCTGACTTCAATAATTATTTTACCCTCAAAGAAGCAATTAGCCATTGGCATGAAACTATGGTTTTATGATTCGATTCGCAAAAATGCATGTTCTGCATAGAATCAAATCGAAATAGGCTGCTGACAAATACTTTGATGTTACAGGGGTATCGAAATTTTTGTTTGAAGTCAATATTTCGCAAATTTTGTGCTCCTCACAATGACCTTGTCTGCATATTAAATAAATCCTTTATGAGGTCAAATGTTGACGGACGTGTTGAATGCAAAATTGTCATATTATTTAGCCATGTTTTAATGTGTTGACATATAAGGGATGCATAGAACGTAGAACTTACTCTCTCGTGTCCATCTACTGAGAGATATTAACTCATATTTATAAACATCGCCAGTGGTTATATCGCTACATAGAGGAAAGTTGGTGTTAAAAAAAAGTTAAAATCGTCACGTTTACTTGTTTTTAAAAAAAGTTAGTAAGTATCCCATCAGTGTCCTCTCTAGTAAAACATCTAATATGAAAAAGACTGACAGTCTCCATGCATCTTCGTTAGACAAGGGTTTCTGATACGCTACTCTCTCCTCAGCCTTCATTTGTAGTATGTGCTGTATCTAAATCAACGTATGAATATAAATGTAAATACTAGGAACATATATTTTTGTTTTCAGCTGAATGGTCACTACGTTGTGAGTATTCTTCTCATGACACAGGGCTACCCTTTGTCCACCTCCATACAGGGACTGGTAGTGTGCGCTAATGGCGACGAAAAATGTGGAGGAAACGTCGATGCGCAGACAGCTCTCCATGCTGTACAAGTCGCGATACTGGCGCTGTCCTATTTCATAGGGGTGGCTTCAATGATCTTACACATAAGAAAGAGGAAAGTCCTGCATCCAGAATGGAAATACAGGAGAGGGTGTTGCGGGGGGTCTTCATGTGATTGAGAAGGGAAATTTACATTGAGTCGAGTAAATTTCATAACTGTAATCGGTTATCTATAGTGTACACTCAGGGACGATTTACAACACGTTTATTTTCATTTTCTTTCCTTCTGAAAGGAAGGATATCATTCTCATCTTTGTATATATAATCGTTTGTGAAGAGGCTGATTCTTTGATGATGAAATTAATCCAAAAAATAAAAAGCGCATATGACAGATTAGAAACATCATGTGAAAAAGAGAATCCATTCATGAATGTTTTATAGTGGACCAATGTTATGGAGCCTGTGCCATGAAACTGCTGTAGGCCTATATATTTTTTCTTCTTCTGTCTTTGTCCTGTGCGTGAGTCAGGAAAAAAAACAACTTCTGCAATTGTACTAAAACTTTCGAAAGTTTTGACCCCCATTTTTTTTAGATATTGTAATTCCCTAACAGATGTAACAGACTTTTAAACCTTTTGAATTCACTTTGTGTAAAATATATTTTTGTGTTAAATATGCTGTTTAACCAGACCTCAATTTCAATGTTTGCATTGTGTAAATAAAAAGTTTACTTTCGTCTAAATTTTAATTTAAGCCACCATAGAGCTTTTCGTATTTTATCCTCCCATTTGCAAAGCACAAACACTTGACATCGTATTTACATTGCATTCCATACTTATTCCATTTTGCAACAACGTTAAATATTCATGATTTTGTGAATCAAATTTGTGTTTTCCAATCCTTTTATAAACAAACGTTTTTCTTAAAATATCATATATAAGCAATCAAATGTATTTCAAAATTTCTAAGGGATATAGACGATACTTTTCACTTTAATAGGGATTTTTTTTTCTTTTGAATTATTGTGTTGTAAGGAACATGTGCATGTATCAAGTCATATGAACTTTTAAAAAATGAAATATACTAGTAATACATTTACATGAATATTGAAATAAATTATTTGAAACAGTTGTAAAATAGACTTGTTTTATCTGGAGTATAAGTCTGGTGCATAAAATTTATGATAGATATTTTCTTTACTTTTTAAGATTCAAAGATTTAGATCAATTAAGAATTAAAGATATTATTCATACGATTGACTTTTTATTATAGAATAGTAAGTTTCAAGTATTGTTTGAATTTCTAAAGGATTTTGCAATAAATCCGAAATGCTAAACGTCATCATTTTGTCGCTCTTCATATTAAATCACTAAACCATTCTTGTGGTTGTAAATTAATAAAAAGAGAAGTACAGTAATAATAAGTTAAACAGACTTATGACCAATAGTACCTTATTCTCTTTAGGAAGAAGAAGACTTTCTCCTAAACGTAGGCGAAAGTCTGTCCACTTCTCTAAAAAGAATCTTGGACCAGTTCTGCAGCTACCTTGGACCTCGCAGCTCTTATAAAACCTTACTTTTATCGAGCATTCTGTTTTTATCAAAATTTATGTATTTACTTAATTATCATATCACAATTTTAAAAAGAGATTTTAATGGTTTGTTGTCAGTAAAAATATATTGTCCTTGTTTAATGCTTTTCTTTCTGACATCTATTGAGCTGACCTCCCGGGAAAACCAGGTCAATATCGAGGACACGACGCGTATGTATAGCAGACGATTTCAACAAACTGAAGATTTTGAAATACCCGACATAGTTATGTATATATAAGGACGCACTCGGTGCATTTCTTAATTAAACTTAGTATTAAATAGCTGTTAACGGAGTTTAGTTCCTGCAGTATAACCTGTTGTTGATTGTGAAATCGACTGAATTTATAGAAAATGGAAAAACTACCAGAAAAAGTAGATCCACAAGGTAAGAGATATACATTTAAAATACAATCATATTTATTTATTCATGAATTCTAAGCGAATGTTACAAACGCTAAGTTTTGACCATGATAAATTCCAGAAAAAAAATCAGAAAAATAACAGCTTGACAAAACCATTTGATGCCACAGAACAACTCTTTCGTTCATTTTGAATCACGCTCAGGATTACTTATAAGCATACTCAAATTTAGATACTAATTATATTTCAAATCCGATCTTTCTTCTAATTATTATTGTTGGCAAACCGTACAACAAGCAGTCAAATTTAATAATTTTATCAACAGCTTATTTCACAGTATTTTTTTTTATCATGCTTAAAGCCAATATTTGAATCTATAAGATTGAGCTGGTATTTGATAAGTATATATGCTAGTTATGAATATGATATGTACTGTTATGTTATTTGATTTTGATATGTAACGTCCAGGGACAATTAAACAAGAGATATATGACAATGAAAATTTGATATATCAAATGTTTGATATATGAATGGAGGACGATACGCATATCGATACATATGAAGAAATATCGAAATATCGCCCATCAAAATCTGACTTCTATTTGTCTTTGTTTATTTAACATTTGGGGTTTAATATATACAATAAATAAGTTAAATATAAATATAGATATGAAATAAATAATAATTAACACCATTTGAGTAAAATATTTTTGTTTTACATATATAATAAACAACTATTTTGAATAAATTATTCTTATTTGCAAAGAAATAATTTGTTTATTTAGAGAGAGAATGCAAAAAATCCTCTCCAGATATTTTATAAGCAATTAAACATATCGTGATACATATCTGTATCGGTGTTTGGTTTGCTCAAATATCATGATACACATATACAGATACAGTTAAAAAGTTGATCACATTATATAGCTTGCCTAATATAAATAGTTTTCAAGAATTTTTTTTTGTTTTATAATTTCCTAACACGGTGACGATTGATATTCACAAAGAAATATGACAATGAAAATTTGTTTACTGTTATGATCAACTGTTTGTCAAATCCTTTCTTTCCAAGTTTATGGTGGTTATGGATATATTCATTTCATTTAAATCGAGCTTAATTAACAATCATGCATAAAGGTAATGTAAAAAATTCTACCAGGGTATATCTTGGACATTTTTGATATCAAAAAGTCTGTTTCATATTTAAGACAAAAATAATTGATTTTAGATCAATCAACATTTCGTAACCGTTTCTAACCATCTAATAATATGTCAACTTACATTTCAGCCCATAGCGTTTGGAATACTAGGAATTGCTGCTGCTATGTCAACAAATGAAAACACACAAAATAAATTGGTAAGATTTTTCGCCTTTAATTCCTGTCACTTTCTCTTAAGACTCTCCCTAAAACTTCATGTGGTAGTTTAAAAATAACCAAAAATCAAATTCATTATAACAGGGGTAATTTCTCTTTGAAAACCGCCACTTTAGATGCATAGACAGCACATTTCATGATGTGAAAGTTTATTTTCAAAAATCCACACTTTCCCCCAACATGTTATATAATGTCTTGCTGTAATCCTTATATAGCTAATAACATCTGTTAACCTTGTAGAATATGTTTGTTTTAAATCATATTTTCAAGATGATTCAATAAATTGTTTAATTTTTATTTTAGAGAGAGAACGTGCCATGTCTTACGTCAAAATCCTCTCCATGATAGGCCTTTCTCTTGGAACCTGTAGCTTAGGAATTGGTATTGCTGTGCTGGCATTACTGGACGGCGCTACTTACCCTGTTGCATCAGGAACCGGTGTTTGGTTTGCAGCCAATGTGTATGGATTTAAATATAAATACATAATATACAGTGTACAGTTAAAAATATGAAATATATTGGATCACATTATATAGCTATCCTAATATAAATAGTTTTCAAGAAAATTTATTGTTTTATAATTAAGCTTGAAAATTACCCGAGATTTGAGAAAACATGTTGATATTCACCAAAAAAAAAGAACAGTTTTAAAACCTTTCTTCGGTTCATTTATATGTTTGAGGTAAAAATTTTTGTATTCGTTTTTTTGTTGTTGTTGTTTTTTTTTTTTAGAAACTACTTTTCTTTCCAAGTTTATTTACACTTATACGCGATATATTCATTTCATTTGACGAAACAGACTTAATTAATAATCATGCATATTTAAGGTATATATCAATGGATTCTACCAGGTATATCTAGTCAGAAGAAACAACATTTTTAGAGATATCAAAAAGTATTTACAATATCAAAAATAAGACAAAAATAATTAATATCACATAAACCTCTAAAATCAACATTTCGTAACCGTTTCTAACCATCTAATAATATGTCAACTTACATTTCAGCCCATAGCGTTTGGAATACTAGGAATTGCTGCTGCTTTGTCAACAAATGAAAACACACAAAATAAACTGGTAAGATTTATCGCCTTTAATTCCTGCCACTTTCTCTTAAGACTCTCGAGTCTAAAGCATACATGTACTTTTAGTTTAAAAATAACTTAAAAGGAGACGTTGATAAACAATTGTTTGAAAGTTTGTTTTAAGGGAAATTCAGCAGGGGTATCTGGAGAAAAAAAATTAATAATACGGAAATTTAATACAAGATATATAGTCATGTATACAAATATCATAAGCAATAAAATAAGACGAGAGTACAACCATTCTTTAACACTGTTTAATAAGACTGGGATTATGTAACAATGCCAAAGCTGCACAAATAGCGAGCTAATAGCGGTAAACCCATATCTCTACTGAAATAAGTAAATCAACAACTGTCTTATTTTTGAATTAAAAAGAATTTGAGAGAAACATTTGAAAAAATTTGTCAAGTTCATTAGCCTATAATAGCACTTATAATAGACCATTGATCTTTTTAAACATCCTTTACAAGATGCAAATTTAGCTAGATATATCATTGACTCTTATTTGTACACGTTTTTGCTACTATTTTGCATGACAAATACTATGTGTGTTTTTTTAAGGAGAAGAACTAGTAAGTTGTTAGAACTTGTTTCTTATCCTTTTGCTTGTCAATAAAATATGTTCAAAACAAAACAGGATGTATCTTACAGTCTACATTCTCCTGAGTGTAAATTTCTTAACAAACCAGAATGAATAATAATGAAAAGACATTCTTCCGGTTGATATGGCCATCTATAGTGAGAAAATCATTACAATTTTAACTTATAATTTCTTGCACTTCTCTTCTATTAAGGGAGAACTGAATGTTCCATTTGAGTTTGTATGCTTACAGTCTTATTGTCAAAACTGTCAAAATACTCTTAAACTTGGAAAAGACATGTAAAGGTATCAAATATGTTAGATGAAAACGAATTTAATTCTATTTCAGTTGACCGGACATTACGTCACGAGTATTATCCTGATGACGCAAGGTTACGCCTTCGCTAGTGCTATACAGGGTTTGGTTGAATGCAGCACAGGCAGTGAAAAATGTGGATCAAACGCTGATGCTAAGGCTGCCCTCAAGGGGGTTTTGGTCGGAGTTATCTTTTTCATTTACATAATAGGCATCATTTCTTTGGGTATCCATTCTAAAAAGAAACATGTTCTGCACCCCGATTGGAAGAAAGGGGGAGGATGCTGTGGCAGCTCATGTGATTAAATACCCAGAAAGTTTTTCAGCACTTAATATCGATGAATTATGTTTGCTATAGTTACCCATCACCATGGCACCAAGGCAGATAGATATTCCAGAATTAAGTATTCAGTGGCATGGATTTCGTAGAGAAACGAGAAAAACCTTAAATTAATACACTCTTATATGATATGGGCATTTATGCTTACATGAAAAAGTACAGTATCTATACATAGTTACCATTGTTTTTCCACATTTACAAGAGAGAAGACGGATGAAGGTATTAAACTGAGGGAATGTGTAATATTGAATGAATATGGCCAACCATTTTTTCCATTCAATGTCAGGGTGAACTTTACCAACTTCTTATTTTCAAATTCTCAACTACCTCGATGGCAATTGAAATAAATATCTTTAGATTTGAAGTGGTGTTTTCCTATTTAATATGCTCCTAACCGTGAAATCTGCTCGGTATAAAATCTCCAGAAACATCAACAGATTTGTTGTTACAAGAAAAAGGTGCTTATTGAAAAAAAAAACATAACGTTGTCTGCCATCGCAATTCAATGTAGTTTACAATATTTTCCTTTTCTGAGAAGAAAAACTCGTCCACTTATCCACTTCAATTTGTTCAACATAAAAATCCACAATCCATCAACGGTACGTGTTTCTTGCTGCATGGATATCACAGTTCCTTGACACAATTGTCTATAAATTATTCTGTTAACTTATTAGGAATTTGTCTTATATCTCAATCTTGTTCTCATAAAACAAAACATTTGAGATTTGTTTTTATTGTTAAATGTATATTCCTTTATTTGTTGTTTTGAATTATTGTCATTAAAATTTGTTAACAAACATATACCGAGTTTGCATTGTATGTGTTAATGAAACTTGGATTTGTTTTTCTTAGAAAAGCAACATTGCTCATTTAAACTAAAAGCCACGATGATCACCAGAAGAGTTAGAGAAGAATTTTTATTCAAGAATCCATCTTCAAATTTTTACGTTATCGCAGTATATGTTGGCACGAAAAAGATCCCCCACTGCTAAATGGCCAAGAGCGCCGAGTATAGGACAAAATTTTTAGCTTTCCACCGGCAAGTGGTGGCGTCTCCAAATGAGTGAATAATACTCGAGAAAGACGTTAAACAACATGCAATCAATCAATTTTTACATCTGGAAAATCCATGGTCCTTGTTTGACTAGCATTTACATTATAGTCTTGATTTGGAAAAAAAAAATGAATGTACAACTCTGAGCAAGCTCTTGAAAAGCGAATAAACATCATGAGCAGGTGATTAGTGTAACATTGCTACATAAGTAAGGTAAGTTGAAAAATCTGATCGAAGTCGTCTCCTTCGTCATACAATTTAGCCTTAATTAATTGTTCGTTATCGTCAATAATCATGAAAACATCCGGACAGGAAACAAATACTAGTACGTATTATTGAAGATTATTCTGAAAATGAGTGCCATTTCAATTCTTTTTTCCCCCTTAAACTCCAATATGCCAACAAAGGAATATTCTTAATCACAAAAGGGTCCAGTCTTGTATTCCACCGTATTTCAAGTTGAAGACTACACCATGTATTTCCTAGAAATATACATCGACTATTGCTTCCAAACTTTTCAATTACAAAAATAAATTTACATGGCCTGGATATCGAATATCTGAAACACAGTCCTCCTTCCTGTTCAGGTTCTTCACCCTAAAACTATAGTCCTGCTGGACACGTTCTTACTGGTGAGGTAAATATAGTAAATAAATAATGAGGACCTTAAATCATTAATTTTAAAAGGGCCAAAATTTAGGGAACGCAGATCTTTTAACTGGCGTCATAATTTCACAAATATAATGGATTCTGTTAAAGATTACGCCAGGCGATGGACAAAAACATGAAAAAAGAGACATTCACACGTTATCAGAATGAATAAAATGTATCACATGCATGTTAAGATTTCGCATTAAGCAATTGAGGAGCAAAATGAAAACCAACTATCCTTATGTGTTCAGTAATTCAGAAGTGCAAAAAGAAATGTGTACTGGTCCCTGCTGACAAAGCAGGTAGCAACATTGTCTCATTACTTGATTTGTATTTTAGAGGAACTTGGATTTAATTCTACTATTGGTAACTTAAACCCATAGCTCCCTTTCTAAGGAGGAGATTCTTCAAAATCCTGTCAGTTTTGAATATTTTTTCATATTCCTAACTATCAGAATAAATTCGAATTACTAGTACCATATGCAGGCGTTTGGCCAGTTCCGAATAATTATTTACTTAAGAGCTGATAATTAATACATTCAAAGGTGTAAAAATAAATTGATACCTATGGTAAGAAGGCTTATTTATGAGTGCTTGAATTATGCGAAGTTTTGATTTTTTGCCGTCAGTTCGCTTTTGTTATCGTACTTGAAAGAGTCGAGATACTTTTACAATGCAACAAATCTGAATCGCCGCGACGCGTACGTCTGCAGAAAACCCTCTGTAGAGACACCATTTTTTCACATAAAACAACATTCCAGGTATCAAAAGTAAGTTTGATATGTACTCTAACAAATATTAAAAACTTGTCTAAAATAAATAATTAGAACACTGGAAGATATCGGAATATTTTCGTGTTGTCATTTTACTAGTTCCGCATACCCATTTTAAACACTATTATAGATTCATTCCTCGTTTTTTCTTCATTGTAAAAAGTGACGTTAAACAATATACAAGTAATCAATCAATCTTCATTGTAAACGTGACTTATTATACCCCTGCTTGAAAAGCGGGGGGGGGGGGGGGGGGGGAAGAAGGGGTACATAGTGATGGGATGTTTGTCCATCCATCTGACTGTATGTCCGTCCGTCTGTCTGTACGTCCGTCCGTTTGATACGTTTTGAGGTACCCATTTCTTATCCACAACTCCTCTTCTACCACTGGATGAAATTTAATGAGGCTTCACAGAATTAAATGATGCTTTCACAGAATCTTTGTTAAATAATGCCAAAGTGCACATTCTATTTTATTTTTTGATCTGGCACAAAATTTGGGCTCCTTTAGATTTACATGGATACTGCCATTCTTTCTGTTATTGAAGGGTTAATCCGTCTCTTATCCGCAATTCCACCATTCCACAGAATAAGATTTAATGATACTTTCATATATTCTTTATTACATGTACATTGTGCCATTGTACATATGACCTCTTATTTTACTTTTTGATCCGACACTTATTTCGAGTCTCCCAGAGCAAAACATGGACTTAGGCAATATAACCGTATAGGAGGCGTGGGGTATCATTAAAGTGAGCTCAGTGTTCACAGTACTGGTAGTTTCTCTTTATCCTTTGGATATACCAATAACTCATTAGTAAGCAATTAATTTAACTTTTCTTAGGCAAGCTAATTGATAATTTGTGGGACGTATATTTTTTAATTTATGGTTGAATTGAATGGGTACCGCTAGGGCTATTCGGAACTCGTCGGCTTATTCGTAACTGGAAAATAGACACCTATGTAAACTTGCGAAGGAATTTTTTCAGGGAAGGCTGAACTTTTATGAAACAATATCTAATTCCACAGGTCATTGAACTACCTTGAAAAATTACTTAGATTTTTAAATAATGCCTCGTATATTTATAGCACCACTGAATCCGTTTCTTATTCGGAACTGGTCAAATAACTGTATTTATTGGATTCCAAAACTCAAAAAAAAAAAAAAAAAAAAAAAAAAAAAAACTTCGATACAAAGCGAGTTCCAGTAAATATTCTACGAAGCTTCTTTCTTTACTCCTCACCAAAATATTAACAGTAGTGAAGGAGAAACTTCAGAAGGACTGTGCAACGATATATTCGAGAAGTGGTGTAAATAAGTTGTGGATACTTAAACATTCCAAGGAACTTTTGGAAAATTTGAAGTCACAAAATTTCAACAAAATCAACAGCATTAAAACTTGTGACTTTTTAACTTGATATACAACCATTTACCTTGATACTTTAAAGTTCAGGCTTTTTGGAAATCAGATTTTCCTACAGTCAATTGGAAATCCCATGGGTACATTGTAGCAATTAGCAGACCTATTTTTTGTATTCTTATGAAGCAGAATTTGTCCAAAATCTTATACGTGAAAAGAACAAAATACTTGCTTTGGCCTTCTACTCGACATTTAGATGAATCGACGACGTATTTTCAATTAAAAATGGTAATTTCCATTTTATTTTGATACGATATATCCCTATGAACTTGAAATAAAAGATGCTACAAAGTCTGACACATTTGTTTCATATTTAGATACACTTGTAAGATCTTAACGGTAGTCTATCAACCCAACTTTATGACAATTGAAATGACTTTAACTTTTCAATCGTCAACATCCCTTACTTTTGCAGCAATATACCTTCTACACCTGCATGCGGGGTTTATATCTCTCAGTTGAATCGATACGCAAGTGCACGATATACTTACAACGATGTTCAAAACGAAGTAAGTTATTGACAAACAACTTGCTGAAACAAGAATATCAGCTCTCTCGTTTAGAGTCGTTATATTCTGAGGTCCATGTGCGATACAATGAGTTTATATTTTTTATAAAGTCAAATGCAAACTGACGTTAATCATACTAATTGTTAGGTCATTATGCATCGTATACACACTGAATTGTCGACGGATTCCCGTTATAATGGTACCTGAACCCACCTTTGATGTTTTGGAGGTCCTTGTTTGCTCTGCTCCTATTATGTATCGTTTAATGGACTTTTGAGCTTGAATGCTGTTCGTTATCTCCAAACATTTCATTGTACAAATGACCTTCTATATATACACGTATAATAATGCCCATGGTATCATCTTTATATACTTGTAGATACTGGCATAACATCCCTGATTTTCAGGAAGAACGCACATAGCATAAGTTAGAGGAATCGTAATACTAACCAGTAAATAAAAGCTCGTTATTAACCTTTTAGCAATATACATGTATAACCTTTATCATTTCACAAATTAAATAAAAAGTAAAAAATTTCAATTGTTTTAATACAAATTTGTCTGCAGTTACATTCATGAACAAAGGGTTAACGTTGGGTGTGACCGGTCGTTCAGTAGTCACTTACTCCCTCTTGGCACCTGATCCCATGTTATTCCTCTGTTATCTCTATTATTCTGGGTGTCCGTGTTTTATGCCAAATACAAAGATCTGTATTGTTTGTAGTTTTTTTTCTTCGTTTTCTTCAACTTTCTTATTAGAAGAAGCAAAATTGATATCTTGATCAAATGACGATTTTGTTTAAATGAATTTTAAACGAAACTTTTTTATTTGCTAAAAAAAAAATGCACAACCTTGTGAGCTCTCGAGCAGAAAAATGCACATACTAGATATACATGTATATATGAAATATGGGATCATCAATACACTTCAAATTGCATTTTTTATGACAAAATGGAACTCTATGAAATAAAATAAACTGATACTTCTGGCAATTGGATAATATGGCTCTTACTATCATTCCAAGAAGGCATGCATAGGAACTAGTGGGAACTAAATACAATGATAGATGGAGATATCGAACTGAAATAAAGCTTAGAGGTCTATTGCATCACAATACGAATTGGAAGAAAAGCAAACAATTAAGGACCTCTAAAACATCTGAGGTGGAATCAGGTGCCATGGAGAAGCAAGCATCCACTGTCGTTCGATATCAACTAACATGTTTGCTCCTTTTAATTTATGATAGGGAAAACATGCAGAAAAATCAAAAACAATTCAGTGTATAAATAATGGCCTAACAATTTTCAAGAAAAAAAAATCAGTAAATAAGCTTAACATTATTATGATGTATAAAATAACGCCGCACGGTCTGTTTTTGGATACATACCTAAAGTGCGATTAAGGAAGTGAAAAATTTACATCTGTATTAAAATCTGTTTAACATCAACGTAGTCTTTATGAAAAATCTCCAAACCAAAAAAACCTCACAATAATTAAAAGTACAATTCGATGCATAGATTTCAAACAATAAAACACCAATCATACTGTATGAGAATTTTTTAAAGTGAGTCTTTACTCCATTTTTCGAAAGATTTTACGCCAAAAAAATCATATTTTTCAGGCTAACAAAATTGGAGCAAAGACCCTCGATACCTAAAAATAACATCTTATATAATACAAAGATTACACAATTTTCGTATCTTTTCTCTGTGAATTATTTGAAGTCCATTTAGTCAATGGTCATATTACAAAAATACTTGATAGCCTATATTTATCTTGACAAGACTATCTTGATCACTGTGGTAAGTATGTTAGTCTCGAAGTAAATGTCAAGATAGGAGTTTGAGAAATATAGTTATTATTGTTAAATATATGTTTGCATCGATCATATTGATAAGCGTCAATAATTGAGATGGGCAAACAAGGCTTTTTAATACCTATGTACAGCTTCAAATTAATGTATTAAAGTCATATTCAGATTTTTATTCAGACTAAATTTCTTATTATTATAATTAAACAGAATAAGATTATTATTTACAATAATAATATCCTTTATGTGACAGAGTTATATTAACTATAATTGTTTTATTTGTTATAATTTATTTCTGAGGTATCATGTTTTATTTGGTAATTGTAAAGTTGTTTCATGTTTAAAACTATTTAGATCGGGATCAATTACCTAATTTTAATCTATAACACCATTGTCTTAATTTACAGCCAATCAGCGTGGCTTCTCCTAATCACGTGACCATTGTTTTATTTTTTACCATTTAGGAGAAAGCCACACAAATTTACAAGGAAATTTTTTATCGAAAAACCCTCCATCCATCCCCCTTTCTTCCACCGTCTTATATTATATTTGTTATATATGTACTTATATTAGTGTTCATATTTATTTGTTTGGCGTTTATTTTCTTTTAACCCACCCTTTTTTGATGACAGGCATATCAGTGCCTGCTTTGTGATATATGTAATTTTAGGGGGTCAGATTGCATAATATGTTACCAAAGATTTTTGTATTCTTTCAAAGTTTGTTCTAGTCTTGTCTGACCCCCTTATAATATGTTTATATTTTGTTTTGCGTCATTTACTTCAATAAATGACATTTTTTCACTTTCACTACTGTTGTTATTTTAATTTTAATCCATCAAAAAACTAGCCCAGTTGACTTGGCTTCGGTCTTGCATAATAACAGAGGAACATAAAGATTATTATAAACAAAGATTTCTGCGGAATCTTTTTTTCGGGAATAAGTATTTGATTTTTAAAAAGAAATATGGAAATATTAAGCTATCATTGATGTATTTATCTAAATATAATATAATTGGTGTCACAAATTTTATAATAAGTTGTAGATGCATGACGTCATGAAACAGGCACAGTTTTCATTTTGACACAATTTATTCTCTTATATCTTCCTGTACTATAAATATGACAATATGATAAATATTAACACTGAATTTAAATATGTGCTGAATATTCACCCTTAATTTAATTAAGTAGTATGATGTACTTGTTTACAAATACAAACAATGTCAATGAACTACAAAAAAGACAAATGCGCTGAATATTCACCCTAGCTAGGTTTAATTCAGTAGTTGGAAATATACAAACACAAACTTAAGATTAATTTGAAATTGAAAGTAGCGCTAAATACTCAGTAGTGTGATATATTAGTATACAAACACAAACAAAGCCAATTAAGTACAAAGTTCTTGCAGTATACACTTAGTAACTCCAGTGAAAAGAAAAATGGAGAAAGTACCTGAAAAAGTTGATATACAAGGTAAGATTTTATGTCATTTATTACCATTTGTTCACTTATGCCTCATTATGATTTTACACTATGATATTGAATTATACAAGAATTTAGCATATTTGAGAGAAATCATTGTAAAAACGGAAAAATAACGCATGTATACCCAATCGAAGTGCCTTATACTTGCGGGAGTGTTTTCTATAGATATTAATTATATTTTATATTTTGCACTGATGTTTTAGAATTGTCGCATTTTATTTCAGAGAAAGAACGTGCCCTGTCCAGTGTCAAAACCCTTTCCGTGATAGGTCTGTCTCTTGGAATCTGTAGTGTGGGAATCGGTATTGCTGTGCTGGCATTAATGGACGGGGCCAGTTACCCTCTCACTACAGGAACCGGTGTGTGGTTTGCAGCCAATGTAAGTATTTCCAAATACAGGAAATCACATTTATAGCGAACACGCTAATGATAAATTATCGCTTACAGCGAAGTAGTTTTTTATTCCACATAGCTTTAAAACATACTGTGGACTCAAGAGACATAGAAATTTTGTTTATAACGAAACAAAATGGTTTATCCTTGTTGATTTGTTTTTGGTGTGTTGTACTGTACAGATAATAGACCCCGAGTAGTAATTATGTAATGCTGCAGCATGCATAAAAATATATATTCCTGGTATTTGTTTTGTTTGTTTGTTTTTGGCTAATTATTGTATTCAAGTTTATTTCAAAAAGATGAAAAACTACAAACACGTTTACATTACAAACATAAAATACAAGATAGATGATAAAGTCATTAAATCTCATCCCTGGTACAGTATATCTATCCAAAGGTAGATATATTTTTTAATAATATATTTAAAAAAACCTTTTTAAAATATTAAATGATTCCATTAATCAATAATCAATTTTCCCTTTTTAAAAATATATTTAAATTTCATTTCAGCCAATAGCATTCGGGATATTAGGAATTGCTGCTGCACTGTCAACCAATGAAATCACTCAAAGAAGATTGGTAAGATAAAACAGCTCTATTATTCACCCTTTCCATATGTAAAGAGTGAAAGGTTGCATTGAGTATAAGCTAAAATTACTCCTACGAATAGATATACTTTTACAAAAAAATAAAGTACTACTTACTAAATTTGAAAGAAAATACATTTACATGTACCAGTTTGAAACTCAATATATGAAAATTATTTCAAAAATAAATGTTTATATATTTTCATGATATATATCTAAATTGAAGTTATATTTTTATTATTTGAAAGCATCCCTTCTTCTAGTTAGAGAGAACTTACTCTTCCATTGAAATTCCAGAACCTTATAGACATCTTATTCATCGTAAATACGCCCATAGCCCTTAAAAGTATTTTAGGTTAACGACTTATTCTATTTCAGTTGACCGGACATTACGTCACGAGCATTCTCCTGATGACGCAAGGTTACGCCTTCGCTACTGCTATACAGGGATTGATCGTATGCAGCAAGGGCGATGCAGATTGCGGATCAAATGCTGATGCTAAAGCTGCTCTTCGTGGCGTTCTGATTGCAATAATTTTTTTCGCTTATCTAGTTGGCATCTTTTCTATGGGACTTCACTATAGAAAGAGACGTGTGCTGCATCCAGATTGGAAAGGAACACACTGTTGTAGATCATGGGATTAAATGCACAGTTTTGCCCGAGTATTTAGTAACAACGAGGACTTTTTGTCGTGGTTTTCAATCTCTATTTATCAACAGAATATATATATGAATAGCGGGAAATTGTATTCAGTGGCAGTGATTTTCTAAGGAGAAACCGCTCAGTTTCGTGAAATACTGTTTTTTGATTTGATGTGTACGCTAGTGTTGATAGGTAGTATAGAAACTATGAATAGACAGCATACTTTCCTTTCACTTTTACAAAGATGGATTGACTGGTTATGTGTAAGGAGTACTTCAATCAAGAAATACACTCTAAAATGAAATGACAAAAATATTTTTCTACCAAAATAAAACACTACACCCCAGACATCCATAGAAATGCTAGGCCATAACAGTACCAATTTAAATGAATATTTTGAGTTAAAGTGAAGGATTGCACATTTCCCCATTCCCATGTGTGAATTGTTCCAAACTATAGCTGCATGATCATGCAGCAACCGAATTTTACCACTGAGCAGTGCATCATTAGATCAGGGTGCTTTTGGAAAACGAACATTTATACTGGTGCCGTAGTAGAGAAAAATGTTTTGTTTTGTTCACCATACTTCTTACTTGGAAAGACACCATCTACTTGTAATTTATTTATATAAAAAATTCAATACATATACAGTTCTTTTTTAGTCGATTGAATATGTTTTGTTAATCTAGGAAAAAAATTATTCCACAAACATTGAATGAACCTTTCTTCAATCTGATGTCTTCAAACATTATGGCATCTCTAAAAGAGTGGGAGAATTCTATTCTCGAATGTGACGTAAAATAACTGTTGTTCACAATCAAACAACATAAAGCCATTTTCTCTCATCTTGGAATATTCATACATGTATTTATTTGTTTGTTGTTTATATACATTGTTGTGACTAAAAACTGTTTTTACATTTTTAACAAGTATTTGTTGTATTTTGATGTTCGTGACACTTTGATTTGTCTAACTTATGAATATATCACTGTTCGAATACCTAAAGTCGCGAACGCGACAAAGATCGCCAGAATTGTTATGTTATGTAAAGTCTGTTATGGATTACTCACCTTGTGCCAATATAGTGACAAAACAAAATTCAGACTTTTTCTTTGGCGCTTTTTCTTGTTGTCCTTTTTTCTATTTTTTTTTTTTTTAGATTTATGGTAAGAGAAATATTCCAATTTTTTTTCGAATTGAAAAATGTCATGTAAAAAAAAAAGTGAATGTCGAGGACATCTGCAGTTTAAAAATAGTCTTTAATTTTTGAAACTTTGGTTTCTAACTTTTTTTTTTTTTTTTTTGTTTTTTGCATATCTATGCAACAAACTGTGATTTTTTTTAATTCAAAAGGAAAAATATCCCATAAGCTAAAAGTTTTCGCACTAGTTGGGAATGTATCCCGAGGAGTTTGAAATAAAAGATATTACAGATCTATATGTGTCATATTTGGATCTTTAGCTACAAAAGGACGTGAATGGTTATCTAACAACCAAGCTTCATGACAAACATTATGACTTTAACTTTTTAAATCATCAATCGTCAACTTCCCTTACTTACTGCAGTATTATACCTTTGTCACATGTGCACAGAATTTATAGCTCTCAGTTGATTCGATACGCAAAAGCATGTTCTACGTATAGACAATATTAATTTATTAAAGGAGGTAAGTTAGTGACAAACAAGTTGATGGAGCAAGAATATAAGTAGTCTTGTTTGAAGTCATCCTTTCTCTTTCGTATATGGTCGATACAATGACCTTGTCATGATCAGCAAATACAATTTATCATTAAGTCAAATACTGACTGACTTTTTAAATACTGATTGTTAGACTATGATGTACACACCGAGTTGCCCACTGATTTTTTCCCCGTTATTTCCCGATCATGACAAGGAGCACACGACGGTTGTGACCGGTCGGCAGGGAATGCTTACTCTTGCATGACACCTGATCCCGCCTCTGATGTTTCGGAGAACTGTGTTTGCTCCGCTCCTATTTTATACTGGTTAATTGACATTTGAGCTTCTTGTTTATATTTTCTTTTCTTTTCAAAGCAGGGACTTTTCTTTTTCTACAAAATGTGACATTTCTTGATGAATTATAATCTTTTTTATCATTATAAATTGAAAAAGGTTAATAGGACAAAAGATTGACAATTATAAAAATAATCTCATTAAAAAGTCCGAAATGGGCTCATTTGCTCATCTAAAAGTTGATTTGAGAACGCCTTAGATTTTGTTAAGACCGTAACGTAAGAGTACGGAATGAACGATTAACCTAGAAATTGGACATTTCAAAGAATTTTTAGTGTAAGACATTCATTCTATTCTAAAGAGCATTAATAAAAATACTCACCCATTTAACAGGAAATATAAAGAGAAGACATAGTTTCTGAACTATTTATAAAATTAAATCTGAAATTTCACATATCTTGCAATTTTTTGTAATTGAAAATGCAATTACTTAAATATGAATAAAATATCTCTGAGTATATAAAGAAGCATATAAATGTTTACGAGGGTTGATCCAAAAGTTCGTGGAATTTCTTTCTAAAATTTTATCTTGATTTGATGAAATTAAGCAAAGGCATATTCATAAAATAGAGTCATAATGCAACAATATTGGAAAAGCCACTTTCAAATTACCAATAAGGTGTTTCTGAAAATGGATAGTTGGGAAACCCAAACGTAACGTCAATATATATGTCACGTCACGATATAGAAGCATCTCGCCCAAATGTCCAATTATAATACGTAATTCTAAAAATGTTGCCCTTTTCTCCATTTTTTTCTCTCAAGAAAATGCATCCTCTTGCACCAACTTATCTTCATTTTTTACTCATATTTCAAAAAAAGCTACCCATCTTTCCATATAATGTTCCAACTTCAGTAGCAATTCCAAGAACAGTGCCACAACCAACAACGTCCATTAACGCTTTTAATTTGTCTAGGGGGATACTTCTCTAAAAAGCGACCACATACTTTATCAATGTCCATGGAAGTTCTATTTTTCTTAAACTTCTTATGCCACTGGAAAACTAGTAACTAAATGCATTTTTCCCAAGCCTATGTCAATGATACAGTATGGGCCGGGATTTTCACAAAACGTGTGACTTGAAATTTTACGTTATCTTACAATTTAGAGATGAACAATAAACCATCAACTTATAAACTAAATAAGTAAAATCAGTAAAACTCTCACACACAGGTTTATAAAAGATCAAACAATCATAATAATGACATAGTTTTCGTTTTTATTGCGGTTTAATTCTTATTTCACGAATTAAGAATATGAATGATAATAAACGCGTTAATGTCTGCCTTTCCTAACAACCGTTTTAAACTGCCATAAAGTTTATCAAAGATACTTCAAAGTAAATAACTTTAGTCTGATTTTTTTAGTATGACGTCATAATCAATTTCAACTTTCTTTTTCCCGTACTTTAAGGCCTTAGCAGAATTATATAGAAAAAGGGTATTTTCATGACATTCAATTTGAAATCATATTAAAACTGGAAATATTAAATTTGAGATTGATTTAAAGAGGCCATGAACATACTAATTACTGTTTTCTGAGAGACTGTAGGCAATCTGGATACATTTCCTTTGTCGAATATGAAAAAAAAACTCCCATATTCAACTGGTTTTCTGAATTTTTCATTGAAAAATTTCACATATGCCCCGAAACACCTTATTTGAAATTTAAAACATCAATGAAAATTTAAAATTTGATAAATCTGTATCACATTTACTAATATGACCTTAAAATGTTTTTTTATTTAAAATATTCATCAAGTGTCTATATTTTTATTTGTAATTTTCAACCAATTCCACTGAAAAATATAAGATATGAAGCATATAAATGTTTATATATTTTTCATATTATGCTTCATAATTATTAAGGTTTTCCCCTCCTCACTATTTCAATGTTTAAAAGTACAAAAACTGCATTTATTTTCATTTATTATAGTTTAAATGTACCAATTTTTGCATATATATATTATATATATATATATATATATATATATATATATATATATATATATATATATATATATATATATAGGTTGCCATATTTTTTAAGATGGTAGGCATAAATAAACAAAAATATATGTCAACATAAAAAATCGTAATTTTTTTTTGAAAATCGTATTGTATACGTTAGGTAAAAACTGGTTCAAATGCATAATTCTGATACTGAAAGTTCTAAAATACTTGCAACTTATAAGATATCAATTTTTGAATTATGAATATCGGGGAAACTATTTCATATTAGAAGTACAATAAAGAAAACGTCTTGATAAAGATCCTGAGAAGGAGTTGTTGCCTTGCAACATTTTTTAAAAGATTGAATAATTGATTAAGTAATGAAAATATACATTTTTAAGTTCTATTAATCAACAATATTTAATCATTACATCTATTGAAAAGCATTATTCCAAAAAATATTTTTTTGAATGAAGTAAATTTTTAGTTTCTATATACCTATGCTTAATTAAAATTCAAATCAAAAAATTGTCAATGATATATACACTTTTGCAAATTTACACATGTATATATTGCAGTTTTTGCATAAAAAATTAAATAGCAATTTTCAGTGCATAAAAGTCAGTTTTTCTGTTTTGCATTTGATCTTTTATCCAATTAAAGCATGAAACAAAATGAACTTTGTATTAAAAAAGGACACTTTAAAATTGTGACTAAATAAAGTTAAAAATTACGTTATGTATAAACATATAATCAATTATTTGACCTTTCTGCACTAATAAAATGTGATTTTTCTGGCTTTGAAAATTTAATAAGCAAGAAAATTATTCTAAAGTCCTAAACTTTTACTGAATTTAAGCAAATAGGTAAAAGTTATCTTAAATATCTAGAAAAGAACATCAAAAGTGGAGGTATATGTAAATTTTCAGATATTACTAAAAAAGTGTTGATTTTATGTTAATATTGACTCAATTTTTTCCCGGGTTTTCAGAATATATTTACTATATTTGTCACACTTCGTTGAAAGAATTCATAAGAAATAATTTAATAGATATTTCAGAACCAACTTAACATAAATTCACTCCAAAAATCAGCTTTGTGTGAGAGATGGAAAAATAGGACATTTTACATAAAAGCAACAGTACTGTTATAGTTCAAAACGTCACTTCTCCATGGCGCCATTAAATGCTACATCTTTTTAATGGATTACTCATGCTCCTATATTGTATTGACACAAAATATACTTTAGCTAAATCTAATTGAATGTATTTCATGTAGGTTTTTTAGATTTGAATAATATCTAGCAATTTGCATCATAGAATCCAAATTTAATGTTAAAACTTAAAAATGAGAGCAGAATTTTGTCAATACAAGGACCAGTTAAATCAGGCTACTGTTATTTGAAAATAAGTATATCACATTTTAAATCCCTAATATGAAAAATAATTATGTATATATTAAAATTTAGTTTATATGTCATGTAAATTTAACACAATAATGGGGTAATGTTTAATTTTTTTGCCGTCATTTGGTCGAGACTTTGCAACAAGAACGTTGTTAAATTAGCCAAATCTGGGCTTAAGAAAAACAAATTTGAATCAAATGCTACATCTTTTTAATGGATACTTCATGCCCCTATGTCGTGATTCTTTTATAATTTGTATGGTAACATGTGAAAAGCAAATTATCACTCTGAGAGAGATAGATATTCTATTTTTGCATGTTTCACGCCATCCTTTAATTGTTTCAGTCAACCCACTTGTTCACCCGTAACTCTCATGCTTAAAATCTTATAAAGTAACTTATTGTCGAAAACATCTAAAAGTTCAATTTCAAAACAAATGAAAATAAAACAAGATGGTAATCCCGTATGTCAATTCAAAGTTAAGGTTAAAGATTTTTTTAAGTATGTCAAACTCAAAGGTCAAGAGTTTTCGAAAGGTTGGTACCTAAGAAAAGGTCTTGTCCTAAGAAATGCATAATTGAAAGTTATAATGTTTTATTTTTCAAATGTAGGTTAAATGAGAGTTCAAGGTCCTGAGGACTAAACTGTTTGAACTCTATGAAAGGGTTATACGTTTGTTATATACGGAATGCCTAATCATAAGAAATATACATGTGAAATATACTAGCATATCACTACCACAAACCATTCAAAAGTTTTA